TCGCGCATAATGCGTGCTCGAATAGAGCACATCATACGCGGCGAAGGCCAGCAGTACGGTAACTAACCAAAGAGCGCCTTTTTTTTTGCAACGAGAAATGGTCGGTATTTGCTCTGCTAGTACTGCAGGCGGTCAACATTGAGCAACGTCGTTAACTAACCCGGTAACTAGCCTCGGCCCTTCGTATCGGAGCATGTAGGTACGTACATACGCCGTACGGAAGATGGAGTACATAGGGAGTACATAAATAAAATGTGCTGAGTACCCGTACATACGGATGTGGGTGGTGGTGAGGAGAGAAGAGGGCTTACGCATGAATCTCCGTGAATCAGGCTGTTTTCACGGCGGCCAAAAATAGAAGCCCCAAGCTGGCTGCTGGGCTGCTGAACATTCAATGCCGTACTCTAGTTGATTAGCTCGTAACGGTATGTAAGCCCAACACGTCCGGTGTTTGGAGAGGTTGGTATGATAGAGCAGTAGTAGTAGTACCGGTAGTAGTAGTAGTATTAGTGATATTAGTATTAGTAGTAGTAGTAATTACCTAGAGCGGAGTAACTACTACTCTATGTATTGTACACTCACTCCACCTACCGTCTTCGACCGTCAGGAACCTCCGAGTCCGGCGCATTTCGCTCATCACTTTGCATACCGACTCTAGATACCGTGCATGGACGGTAATTATGACTACGGATTGCCATTCGGTCTCCACGAGGTCATGTGCGAAACGTCCAACAACATCTCAGATTCTCAGTCCGCTTTCCATGAAGGAAGCTAGAGTAAAAAGGCTGTCTAGCATACCTAACTGCTATCGTAGGTAACCAATCGATTTTTTGACCTGAGTTGATACGTCTAAATAACTTTCCCGAAGTTGTGATGAGTAACATTTCCCGCACTCACTCACCCCCCGCTCTACTCTGCTCTCGAAGGTGGACGCAACTGCTCTCACCCCCCACCCCTTCCAGTCCCCACGCCGAAACCCAGGAACTGCATCCTAGCTTTTGCTTATACGCCGCATCGCTTGAACATCGAGGGGGGATGGAGTAGGTAGGTAGGTACCGAGTGAGTAGTAGGGTCGGTACTTGGGTGGAGTTAGGTGGGTAGGCAAGTACCGTAGGTACACAGGCAATCTATGGTGCCGGTGTTCCGGTAATTCCACAGGCAACTCTGAGACTCTCGATTGAGCTTTTTTGGAGGGGGGAGGGGGGGGGGGGGGGCGGTCTGGAGCGCATTCGGCCAAGGCTAGGTACCGGACGAAAAGTACCAAACCGAGCGGTAGCCGGTATGATACTCTAGATAGTGCGCTTCCGAAGTCTCATCGTACGATGTGGGGGGAGCACTTCGTCGATTCGTCGACTCGGCATTCGTCAACTGGTGTATGTATGTAGTGGTGGTGCAAGCAGCATGCTCCCCCAACTTCTGTATGTATGATATGTGTATGTGTGTGTATGTGTATGTACGACGACTGGACTTTCCCCCCCAGTCTCCAGTCTCCAGTCTCCAGAACCGCCACATGTGTGCGTCCATGCTATTCTTCGCAGCGTCGGCGGCGGCGGGCCCCGGTCCTTGCTTGTGCGTGTCCCCTCCCTGCTCTCCCGCACGTCTCCTGGGGTTCCCTGTCGTGCCGTTGTTTATCGAAAACCCTGGCCATCCCTCCCTCCCTCCCCAGCTGACTACTGCTACTATGTAACTATTATTCCATGCCCCCCATCCAAGTACCCATCCCCCCCACATCTCCCGCGTCCAACATAACTATACTATACCTATAGTATATAGTATGCTACACCATGTGCCGAGATGAGGGATGAGATGCTGATGATGATGGATGGACAGATGGATGGATGTCCAAAGCATAAATTGAATCAGGCAGAAGCCTGGGGAGGAGGAAGCTGAGAGATGGATGGTGGTTGTGGATCGGATACGTACGTAGGCACTAGTACCAGGGGGTTTGCAGCAGCTGCTTCAGATATTCGTGGCGTACTGTATACTCTGCTCTGGTACTAGTTAGGTATCATGGAGTAAGTATAGAGAACTGACCAGCGGGATATGTGTCCATGCCATCACGGTCAACACTCAAGACTCGACTTGAGACAGTAGTACAAGCCGTAAGCCGAAGTATTCTTCACATCCAGTTGTGTACGCGGGACGAAAGCGAGAGAAAGCGCTCGAAGCCTCGACTGGTGGAACCATCCAACCCCATCCAACCCCCTCTGACACCGGGTGTGGGTTTTGTCTGTCCGTCGGAGTGCACCTGAGGCTGATTGCAGTTTGCATCCGTACCTGTGTATGCGCCATAAAGTGCTCATATCATATCCACACAGTCGTGAAGAGTAAACACACACGAACGCGAACGAGCGAACGGTGCGCGGATAAAAAAAAACAACTTTGGATCGCGATGGGACCACACACCTTCACACCCACACACCCTCACATCGACGAGAACATCATCTGCTGAGTAGAGTAGAGTAACTACTTCCTAGGTGGAGCGGAGTGGAGTGGAGTGGCTTCCCACTGGCGACGGTGTGGAGGCTCCCTCCCTCCCTCGCCTTCCTTCCCTTCTTCCAGGGATATTACATATGCACCACCCCATTCAATTGTGCGAACTGCGAACTGCCCTTGTAGGCATATTCTCCGATGTGGCTTGCTGATGTTCTAGGTATGTAACTTCTCGGATCGGTTACAGAGCAGGGAAAGGGGGAGGGGGGAGGCCGGGGAGTTCTCGACATCGTGGCTTCTGGAGCTGAGCCCTCCTCCGCTGCTGTAGGTAGATATATATATTATTAGTGCCGTGGAGGTTCTCTCGATGTAACTAAAAGCACGTACTTGAGGTCGGCAAATAATCGAATCTACTAGTATTCTGCTCCGGATCCGACTATCCGGCCGCCCCCGACCGACCGCCCGACCGCCCCCCTGACCACATCCCGAGCCGCCGCCGCCGTCGAGACAGCGACAGAGTAGAGCAGAGTAACGACGTCGCATCGGCAAGTCGGCTCAGTGTAAGCCCGACATTCCAGCCTCTATGTGCCTAGGTGGCTACATATTTATCGGCTGGGCTGACTGACGTCTGGAATGGGGTCCGGTCCGTCGTTCACTAGTGAAGAGTGTACTACCTAGTAGTAGTAGTTAGCCCTTTGTTCGATATGTAGGATTTGGGGCTCGCCGAGATGTCGAGACTCGAGACTCGAGGCGAAAGCGGTGGTGGGCGGATTGATGTGCAAGAGCAAGAGCAAGAGTGACACGAGACCATCTCCGCTCCTACATACGGAGGAAAGAAAGGTGGAGGAAGGTGCTCACTCACTCACTCTCACCCTTCGCCTAGGAAGAGCCTGGAGGTCCCGCTTGGGGGTTTGGGGTTCACCAAAGCCACAGCACGCTCCGTACCCAACGTGATGTTTCTGATGCGCATCGGTGTGTGTGGGGGGTGGGAAAACCGGGTGTACGGATAACCTCAAGCCCAAGTTCCAACATTCTGGCAAGCTCATGATAGCCCATGATGTGTGGCTCATGATTGATTGACGGTCAACCGGTAGAGTACCGGTACGGTACCGTACTCCAATTGGACGCAAGGGCGAGATACAGAGTGAGAGACAAACACCCCCCCTCCGCTTTCTCAGCAAAGCAGCACAGAGCAGAAGCCTTTTTTTTCCTTCTTCTTGTGTGGCGGTCGGTCAGGTCACGCTCCGATGGAACGATGGAGAGAAAGTTCTGCTTTGCAATGCAATGCAATCCCCCCTCCCCTCCACTGCACTCCACCCACACGCAACTGCAACCCACGCAACTCACGAGGGGGCCAGCCGATGCCTTGGTAGAGTATGTAGAGTACCGTACTCTAGATACCCCAAAGAGAGTGTCATACCCAGTCAACCCCAACCCACGCATTCAACCGTCCCCCACGCCTCCGCCTTCGTCGTCGCCGCCTGCACCGGCGATTCCCCTTAATCTCTCCCTCTCTCTCACGTAGGTTGATATTTGCTATTTTCGGAAGGCTTTTTCTTTGCTTTCTCTCTCCTTCGATTCGATGCGCAAGAGGCTAGGTAGAGAGGCGAAAGGAGAAAGAGAAAGAGAAAGAAAGAAAAAACATCGCAGAAGCTCGTCTGGATGGAAGGATGATATCACAATCAGGGAGGCGGTAGGGAGCACGCATACCGTATACGCACACACCGAGCAGAGTAGCATAGAAACCAAAGCTTCAATGAGAAAGAAAAGGAAAGAAAGAGAGAGGGCTGGTTGCATCTGCATCCATCTGCATCATCTGCATCTGCTCCTCGATGGTTGATGATTGATGGTTGATGGTTGGTCGTTCCGGTAGGTAGAAACAGAGCGCCCCCAACCCAACGGTGGATCATTTACGCCGTCGACCGACCACCACCACCACCTTCCTCCCCTTGTCAGGCGCGGCCAAGTTTTCCGAACATTTGCCCCCTGCCCTTTCCCCTTCCCTTCTCACCCTCGCCCTCAACCCTCATCCTCCTCCTCGCCTGCGAACAGACGATCCGATGATATCGATGATGCTTACGCTGAGGATGACGATGCTGGTGCTGGTGCTGGTGGGAGTGGCTGTGGCTGTGAATGATGTGTTTTGTGGGGTTTGCCCCCATCCCCCTCCCCCCGCCCCGTGTCGTCTTCTGTTCCATCCGAGCCACTCGGGGGCCGCGGCCCAAAGGTTGGGTAGCCCAACTCAACTCAAATCGCCCTTCGAACACCCTTTACCTTCGCCTTCGCCTACACACATACATACGAGCTCAATTCACTGGTTGGTCTCACGAGGCCGGCCAATCAGATGCCATCTGTAGACGAGTGGAGTGGAGCATGTAGACGCAGTGACGCACAGCTGCTGTGTGCTCTACATAACTAACTCTAGTGTGCGGTAGTTGGATCAGCGAACGGACCTAAGGAACACGACGACGATGGTTCGAGAAGGGGGTCGTTTCTTTCTTTAGAATTATCCGGTGGGCTAAGGGCTTCGTACTCTGCAAGTGCTCATCGATCCAGCACATGTAACTGACTATCCATTTGTAAAGTACCGGTACTTACTAGAGTCCTGTAGACGTGCTGAGGTGTGCCGTGGAGTGCGCATTGGGCATTTTGCGTGAGGAATATTTTTATGAGTCGATAATATACGGTACTCGAGAGTGTCGATCCTCCGGTTCCCGTGCTGGTTGTCATTTGCAGTTTAGCTGATTGAAGCTCCGATGAGACGTCGGAAGGATAGTGTCGTGGGGTGGACGGGGGTGGATGGGTGGGTAGAAGGGGGGAGGGGGGGGCTACGTAGGTAGGATGGTGTCGTGATTCGTGAGCGTCGCATCACGCATCCACCCACCTTCCATCCACCACCATCCACCATCCGTCCATTCATCGGCAACAGTGCTCCTGGTGGAGGGTGTTCGGGTGGGATTTGGTGGAGGTGGTGGAGGTGGTGGTGGTGGTGGTGGTGGTGGTGGTGTGGGGCAGAAAGGAGAAAAAAGCGATTAGAAAACATTTGTCGCCCCGATCGGGCAAGGCGGCGAATCTGTATCGCTTCGGAGAGCCAAAGTGAGCTATACTCATCCGAACGAGCGTGAAAAAAAAGTCGTCGTCGTCCTTCGTTCTTCGTCTTTCGTCTTCGGCTGGTCGGACGGGGCAGACGAGGAGAGCGGGTCCACCTTCCCACTCGCTGGCGAGTCGCTGCTGCTCGTCGACGTCCAACACCACCATCACTTCCGCCAGCCAGCCAGCCAGCCAGCAATGTCGGCGTCAGGCCGGCTGCGCGAGGAGAATCAAGATAGGTACGCATTCGCACTAGCTGGCGTAGGGAGAGCAGCTAAAGTGGTCCATACGAGCAGAAGTCGTCAGCACAGCGGCCGGAACTCACCGATGCGCAAGCAAGTCAGAGGTCGGAGTTAGAGAGAGGCTGGCTGAGGAGAACGAACGCAGATTACACAGCGCCAAAACCAAAAGAAGTTGACTCCGACTCTCGGGAGAGGAGAGGGGGGTGGAGGGAGTTTGAGAGAGAGTGGAAGCTGGAAGAATCACTGCTAGTTTGAGTAGAGTAGAGCGGAGCGTCTGGCGTGAGCAGCGGCGGAGCTTCGGGAAAGTCTCCTCTAGGTCGTCGTCGTCGTTTCTCGTTTCTCCTCGAGTCTAGACACTCCTCCATGTGTAATTGTCGCGATCGGAGAAGGATCTATGGTCCGGCGGGGCGGGCGGGGCAGGGCGGGCGCAACAGCACTCTGACCGGCTCTTTCGGAGCCCTCCGTCGTGTCGTTGAGCGAGTCGTCGTGTGAAGAACGAACGAACGAGCGATTGAACCCCCCCCCCCCGCCCAAAGCCACGATGAAAGATAGAGAGAGCATCGATTGAGCCCTTGACGTTTCGCTTGGTGCCGACCGACCCTGCCAGATGATACACCGCCAACCAGCCTTCTGATCGAGCCCTTCCCTTCCCTTCCCCTCGTCCCGAACTCCATCCCCTCGTCGTGTGTCCCTTGATCCTGTTCCCTGCTCCCGCCTACCGCTGCGTGCCTGCGTGCCTGCCTGCCTGTCTACTGGCCTGCCCTCGAAACCCTCCCTCCCATCCCTCCCTCGCTCCCTCGCTCCAACACATGCGCGATGCATCCATCATTTTTGGTGTCTCAGCACGCACGCGTAACCCTGGCCGCACCCTCCACCCTCCACCCTCCGCCACATCGTGATGAGTGAGGACGGGGTCGTAGCGATTGCCGGCGTGGTCGTATCGCGATTGACTTCCTCCGAGCCAGGGAAGGCGAAAGGAAGGGAGGGGAGGAGGAGGTATTCAACCTTTGGATCGGGCACTTTTGGTATGTACTACGGTACTCTAGATACTGCGTACAAACGAAGCCCCCGCCGTCTCCAGATCATCGAGAAGGAGCCTGCCTGCCTGCCTGCCTGCCTGCCTGCCTGCCTGCCTGCCTGCCTGCCTGCCTGCCTGCCTGCCTGCCTGCCTGCCTGCCCTTGCCTGCCTCGATCACCACCACCACCACCACCCCCACCCCCAGTCACGATTGCTCCCGCCGGTCGATCTTGCAGAAGAACCCATCCAACACCACCACCACCACCACCACCACCACCACCACCACCACCATCCACCCCTCCCTCGAACCCTTCCCTTTCATCCCATCTGGTTTGTTCCTGCACGAAAAGAAAGAACGAACGAAAGGCGAAAGAAAAAGAAAAAACTAAAAAACCCTAAAAAACCCTAAAAAAAACTCAATAGAGCAGTAACCGAACCTGGAAGAAAAAAGAAAACCAGCATCGCAAAGAAGACCGCAGGCCGCAGGCCGCAAGCTTCCTCGCCCAATCCTCAACTCAACTCCCCATCCGCATCCGCATCCCACGTTGCGCGCGACACCGCACACTACTTCTGACGGGGGGTTTCTGTCTGCTTACTTACCGTACTTACATCTCCAACAGCCGGTTCCTGAATGCGAACCTTATTATGTTGCTATTGCTAAATATTGCTAAATATTGCTAGATATTGCTATTGATATCCGGATTCGTTTCTGAATTGTATAAATGGCTTAACTAAGAAAAGTGACGTCCGTCCACATTGACAGCAGTTGCCCCCCGCCCCTGCTCCTTTTCGCGTTTAACCCGCAAAAGGGTAAGATTGCCTCGATCCGGTTGGTCCTGTCTGGTCTGGCTGGTCGTCGGCGGCGGCCTTCCTCCAGCCATCCAGCCATCCACACGGAGGGAGGGAGGCGGTGCCTCGTAGGTAACCGCGGCTTTACGCCTCGGAGTCATCCCAATAGACACTTTACTCTACATATTCGATATCACATCACATCACATTACCTTCCGTACTTCCGCACGTAGGTATGCGTATCTCCGACGCACAGCACAACTGATAGATTAAAAAAATCTCTGTGCAAGCAAAGCGAGCAAGCAGGCAAGCTCAAAGATGTGGTGTGTGGGGTGAGGGGATGGGGAGGAGTTGCTCACAGCCCAGCCCAGCCCAGCCCGCTCCGACAAACCCAGCGTCTCGAGCCGGCAACTCGCATCTATGATCTATCTGCAGAGCGAGAGGTATGCGTGGAGTATGTAGAGTAGGAAGCACCAAGCACCAAGCACCAAGCACCAACCGTCCCATCTGCTCACGGAGTCACGGTGGTGGCGCGTAATATCAACATTAATAACCCACTTCTGTTTCAGAGAAGCGCCCAGTTGGACGGGTTGTGTTTTTTCCCGTCACATATGATATATGTATTCTCGTTTTTACCCTTTATCTGTCTGTCTGTCTGTCTCCACCCTCCGATTCGATATCGAAATCGTGATATCTCAGCAGCTGGTTGGTTGGCTAACTCGTTGGCTGGTGGTGGTGGGCTGCGTTGGGTTGGATGATCGGTTGGATGATCGGTCTGGTCGGTTTGATTGATCGAGTGCACAATCGTTGTGTAGAGTAGGCACGGTATCTACAGTACTCCACTCTGCGTACGGACACGGGGTTTCCTCTCGTCTGCCGTGTGTCGAGTACTCTACTGTGGTAGTTATCGCCGTCCTTCGCGAAGACTGAAGTTGACAGGCAGGCAAAAGCAGACCAGCAAGCCAGCCAGCCAGCAAGCTCGAGCTCTACTCCGATATCGATATCGATATCGATTGACGTCCAAGGGTTCGTTCGCTGACCTGGTACCGTATGTTTACTTCTTTCCCCCTAGTTCTCTTACCCTGCGATGATATCCCCTCCCCTCCCCCCTCCCCCCCGGCTGCCTGCTAGCGACCGTTATCCCATCTCTCTTCGCTTCCCGCGTCTGCTGCTGCTTCTGCTGCTGCTGCTGCTGCTGTGAGGTGCCCTTGAAGTTTAATATTCCATGTCCGCCGCCGCGCAGCTGAGGGAGACGGGGCCAGTCGCTCGCGAGATCGACTCGTCGATAGATCGTCCTCGTGTTTTTTTTGTTTTGTTTTGTTTGCACACTCGCCGCTCGCTCAGCCGTGTTATGTAGAGTATGATAGTAGTGACTTCGCGAGTCGCGAGTGCTGTTTGCGTCCACCGAGCCAGCCAGTCAACCGGCCAGCCAGATACACACGGGGCTAAGCAAGTTATGCGTAGGTAAGTCCGTGGGATCCCTCCGTGGGGGGACCGACTCGGGGAGGGTGGGGAAGGAAAGGCTGTTTTCCACCGTTCACATTTTTTTCTCTATGTTCCGTCCCTTCTTCGAGTGATTTTTCTTTTCTTTCTTTTTTCTTTTTCTTGTTTTTCTTCCGGTTTGCTTGCTTGCTTTGCTTTGCTTGCGGGCTTTTTTCATGTGTATTTCTTTTGCACCGCAGGGTAGCTGGCCGGATCTTCCTGAAACCGCCCAATAATTGCTTGCGCTTGCACTTGCACTCCGACGAGCCCACCGCTCGCTCACCGCACATCGTACACCGCTCACCGCATACTGAACTCTGAACACGGGCGTGTCGGCAACGAGCGAGGGCTCACGTTGTTCGTATGAAGAGTAGAGTCACCGCTCATCGAGTGAGGGTGGTGGTGGTGGTGGGACGTCAGTGCTAGTAGTAGTAATGGTGGTGGTGGTGGAGGTGGTGATGCAGGTGTTTTTTTTTCCTTCAGAGTGTGGTGGAGGAGGGGGAGGAGGCAGTGGAGCGCCTCTGCTCCACCGGGCACCCTCCCGGGCTGCATCACTATGATACCAGCTTGGACCGGATCAACGCGTCGTATTGTGGCCGTGTCGTTGGCTCGGCTTCTGCTCTGTGATCAGCAGCAACAGTGATCAGTGATATTCTTTGCGCTTCGCCGCCGCCGACTTTGCCGGTGCCGTCGCGCGTCTTTTCGGCGCCTTCCTCCGAGCATTTTTCACTTTTCTTTTTTTCCTCCCTCTAGATATCACCAGCCCCTCTCCGCTTGTTTGCGCTCCACTATTGCTCCGCACCGTTCCGTCCCTTCGTTCGCCCGCTCACCTTGCTCATCTCCCGAAGAGCTCCACTCAAACTCTCCGCGTGCCGATATCTCTGTGGTGTCCTTCTGCTTGGCCGACGCTCGCTGCATGTTCATGCGCCTGCGCCTCTCGTCGGTGTTATATCGAATGACTCTGGAACCGACTTGACTCGAGTCATTGTCACACACCTCGCGCCATCGCTACTAGTGAAAAAAAAGACCCGAGGCATCGACGAGGACGAAGGAGAAGAGGAAGAAACAGAAACAGAAAAGAAGAGAAAAAGAAGGAGAAGAGAAGCCAAAGTCGAATTCGGGCCTCAAGTGTTCCGGCCATTCCAGATACCCATATACCTGCTGTAGGTATAGAGAGTATCGAGCTGTCTACCAGGTAAGCCGGTACCGTAGGGTGTCTCCGACAACCGTTTTCATCTCTCCCATCCCTCCATCGATCCCTCCCTCCATCGATCCCTCCCTCCATCAACATCATCATCAGCCATCAGCCATCTTTCCAGCCAGCCCATCCGCCCGGGCTCTCCTTCCCTTCCCTTCCTTCGAGTTGTGCTACGCCTCCCCAACCACGCGAGCGAAATAGATCGCGACACCCCTACGCAAGCACAAGCACAAGCACAAGCACAAGCACAAGCACAAGCACAAGCACAAGCAGCAGCCAGCCATCCAGCCAGCCCCAGCAGCCCGCACCACGCACCCTTCTTTTCTTCTTCTTCCGTTGGTTGCTGTCTCTGTTTTTTTTGTTTTTGTTTTGTCTCGGTGTCTGTTTTCCAGATCTGCTCCAGTCGCGCGCTGCCAGTGGCCGCGTCCTGCCTCCATCATCTCGCTCTCTCGTTCCCAAGCCGTAGCAACGTAGCCGGCCAGCCAGTCGGGCCGTGTTGTGGTCCATTAGCAGAATCTCTCGTTTGCTGCGAACCAATCGTTTCAGCCGACTTGGTGTCTCCGTATTCGATCCGCCACCAACATCGACGCCACCAAACCGTTTTCCGTCGTCGTCGTCTTTTTTTGTGGTCCCAATTCTTTTTTTTCTTACTTTTTTTTCTTTTCGAAAAGAAATAAAAAAAGAACAACCGCCATTTACATTTTACTCGACTCATGTTTTGTATTTTTGATTGTTGTTATTAATCTATTCTGGAAAAGCTCTTAGTGCGCCATCCTTACTCGATTCGCGGCGGCACCAGTAGCAGAAGGGCAGCTGCAACGACCGGCATCATCATCGGCGCCATCCCCCCCCTCCACCCCCCTTCCCTCCCTCACTGTAGTATTTCCTCAACCCAAACTTCCCTCCTCCTTCCCTTCCCTTCCTTACAACTGCTTACCCACCCCTCTCCCCCTCGAGCCTCCTCCCATCCCCCTCGCGAGACCAGGCTACACATCCCCTCCCCACCCCCCAAATCCCATCCCAAACCCGCCCGCCCGTCCGTACACCCTTACCTCAACCCTCGCCTTTAAACATCCTCTCCCACAGGATCTCACTGGGAAAAGAAAGAAAGAAAGAGGCAGATCACGCCCCCCCCGTCGTCCCCGCTTCGACCATATCCATCTATTAACTGGTGTTGCCCATTCGTCTGCAACAACAACCTCGTCGTCGTCTGCAGTGCATCTCAGCTACTAGGCGAAAATTTCGATAATATTTGCCCATAGCGAACCGCAGCCAGCCAGCCAGCCCTGACCCAGTCTCTCCCTGCTCGCTCACTCACTCACTCCCTCACTCACGCACTCAGCCCATCCCAGCCCATTCCCGCTGCCCTGCCCTCCCGCACATCTGTACCTTACTACTACCGCTGCTGCCCTCCTCCTCCCACTGCTCCCACTCAACCTCCGCTACCCTCCACAACATCTACCACACACACCCCCCCTCCATCCTACCACACATCGTACACCCACCTACACCACCCACCACCACCACCACCACCACTACAACCAGAACAACCCTCCCCCCCTCCCCCACACCCCCAGTCCACTTCCCAACCCCCGTCACTTCCGCTCCCGGGTCCACTCCAGAGAAAAAAAGCCACTCCGATGTCGCATCAACCAGTCGGCGGGTATAAGGAGGAGCCGGCTGCTGAGCCCGCAACCCATCCTGGCCATCCCCAGCACCACCATCAACAACAACACCAGCAGCAGCAGCAGCACCACCAACCACAATCCTCCGCAAACTCCCCCCACCCTCAGCAACAGCACCACCACCAGCAACAGCAGTCCCACCAGCAGCATCAATCGTCTGCAGCTCAGCATCCACAGCAGCAGCACCCACACTCACGGCCACCTTTGCCACAGCATCAGGGACAACACCCCCCTTCCTCCGCCTACTCGTCGCCACATCCGCCTCATCAGTCTCCCTTCGCGCCTTCATCTTCTTCTCTTCCCGGCTCCCAGCATCATCCCCAACAGCAGCAGCAACAGGAGATCCCTTACTTCGCCGCTGCGCCTTACGGAACTCCAAGCAGTACTGCTTCGTCATATCCGTCTCAAGGTGTGTTGCGTGTCCCCAGTCAGTTGATATCCTTATACCCCCCCCTCCCATCCCTTCCTCGTTTCCTCCATATACCTTCCACCTCCTCCCTCCCCATCCCTCCTTCGTTCTATTATCCTTTCCCCCCTCCACGTTCCTCTTCCCTCGTCTCCCCACTTTCACCTCCCTGCACATTACCCCTCGTCACCTCCCACCACCGTATAGGTTGTCGTTGTCGTGTCTTGTCGTGGTCCATCGACACTCGAACGCGTTGATTCCCGCGGTTCCTCCTTTCTCGCGTTTGCGCTCTTCGTTTCGAGTCGCCGTCGAGTTTATTCATCTTCCTTCTCGTTGCTGCCGCACCGGAAATATCAGCTCTTTCGGTCTGAATCATAGTTTCTAACGCGTCTTTTCACCATTAGCAGTCGCAGAAGGCGCAGATCTCATGGCAGCTCACACGATGAATCGCCCAACGTATCCCCCGATATACCACACTCCTCAGTCGAACTCGCCGGCTTCCGTCGCCTCGCCAACTGCACCTGATCATCGCTCGGTATACTCGAACCAGCCAATGCAGAACCCCCTCTACAGCTACCCGCAGACGTATTCGCCGCAAATCCCCACGGGCCCTCCTTCGTACCCGCCGCAGACGCAGCATCAGCACATGGCCAACCAGCCGCTGTTGATGTCGCACACACCGAACCAGACGATGACTCCGCCCCAGCAGCAGCAGACGCAGCACCACCATGTTGCTCCCAACCCTACGTCTGCGCCGAAGATGCCTCAGCAGCATCAGCAAACTCCTATTCACAAATCATCTCCAGGTACGGCACCTCCGTCGTCTTCTGGCAATAAAGCCAGCTCAATCAATCCAAACGCAGCACCAGGTCCTATCCCTGCCACCACTCCGCTGGTCGTTAGGCAAGATCAGAACGGCGTGCAGTGGATCATGTTCGAGTACTCGCGGGACAGAGTCAAGATGGAGTACACGATTCGGTGTGACGTCGCGTCGGTAAACGTCGATGCTCTTACGCCCGAGTTTAAAACCGAGAATTGCGTGTATCCGAGAGCCTGCTGCAGCAAAGACCAGTACCGCGGTAATCGTTTGGTGTATGAGACGGAGTGCAATACGGTCGGGTGGGCGTTGGCGGATCTCAACCCTTCGTTGCGTGGCAAGCGCGGGTTGATTCAGCGTGCAGTAGACAGCTGGCGGAACTCGAACCAGGACCCGAGACTGCGAAGTCGACGGGTGCGGAGGATGGCCAAGCTCAATAACCGCAAAGCGAACGCCGCTGCGGCCGCCCAAGCCCACCTTAGTGCCGGATCGCCGGGAGTTCAGCCTCTGTCGTCGTCGAGCGCCGGGTTGGGACTGAAAGGTCCCTCCAACCTGATGCCCAACTCGGGGGCGCAACTGCAGCACCACCACCATCAACCTGGAGCCGATTCCACGACATCCGCCAACGGGGACGACGACATGGGTGCCTTGCTACAGCAACACCATCACCACAACGGTCAGTCGTCGTACAACAACGTGCAGAACCAGCTGGCTGCCGAGAACGCGCGCACGGACGCGGGCCATCTCTCGCCGGCGGTCGGTGAGGGCGGGTACGGAAACGGACAGACTCACCATCACCACCAGGGACCCAGCAGCGGAAACGACATTCGACCACGGAACGTCTTCCACTACCCTTCGTCGTACCCGTCGGAGAACGTACCCGGCTCGTCGATTCCCCCCAGCATGCACAGCGCGATGGACACCATGGGCCCGACCTCCAGTGCGCCGACCGCTGTCACCACTTCCACGCCCCCCGTGAGCAATACGTCTCTGTTTGGCGATATTCCGGACCACAAACGCCGTAAGTTTATCCTTGTGGACGATCCGCACCGGGGCTCACGCGTGCGCGTCCGCGTTATGCTCGATCAGGTCCATATGCAAGAGATTCCAGACTCGTACCGCAAGTCCAACTCGGTCTACCCCCGGTCGTTCATCTCGTCCCAGGAGGATCTGGACAACAATGGGACCGAAATTCACACCCAAGTGGTCGTTCCTATGCTGGACGGAAGTAACATGACCATCCCGACCCCGCCGCCCTCGAGTTCCAAGAGAAAGAAGGAGAACGACTTGAACGAGCTGGGCTATCGTATGTCGTGGAGTCAATCGAGGGTGTTTGCGGGGAGGACGATGTTTCTGCAGCGAGCCCGTGAGTTTGTCTTCCCCTCTCTTTGAGCAGATGTGGGAAAAAATAAGAAAAGTTTGAGCTAAAATTTATCCTTTCTTAGTGGATGCGTACAGGAATAAGATGCGAAGCAGTATGATGGCGGCTGGTACCGATGTTACGAATTCAGCACCCCATCTGGAGACCAGAGTTGGCAAACGGAAGTGGATGGAGCGAACACGACGCTCTCGGGGCGCCGGCTCGTCGTGAGTTTTTCGGGTGATCGAAGGAGGGCACTTCTCTCTGTGTCCACCAAAGAGGAAGTTCTCATCTCTTTTTTTTCCGCATTGAATCTTTAGATTTCTTGAGTTCGGTCATGTCGTACAAGGGTGCTTTGGGTAGGAGCAAAACTGGGTTTGCTTTGATTGTGAATTTCGGTACATCGCATTTGGGGATTTCATACCATACACTTTTTGTTTTCTCGTTGCTCGCGTCTTTTCACCTTGTTTTCTTTTTTTCCCCTGGGAGGTGTGCGACAACTTGTCTGCAAAAAGCTTGTCACGACTATTACTATTCATGTTTGTTTACGCGTTTGCTATTGTCTTCGTCCTTTTCATTTCTCGTTTCTCTTTGCGTTCTTCGTTTGGGAGGTGGGAGGTGGGCTGGCTACATTACAGGTGCTTCTTCTGGCAGCCGGGTGGTGTGGTTGCGTTCTTTTTCAGTTTTTTTTTGTTGGAACCACACCGATCACGGTGCCTGTGGCGTTCTCTTTTTCTCTTTGCTTTTGGGACGGGGACGGGTTCGGGAAGGTGGGGTGAGTGGGTGGGGGGATGAGGTTGGTGGGAGGGAAGGAGGATCGTGTGTTTGTATCTATCTGAACTGCGCCTGTACCTTTTCTGTTTCTTTCTTTCTTTCTTTCTTACTGCTTGTCTTTTTTTTCTTCTTCTTTTCTTTGCTGTCAATTACGTTCCCCATATATCCCGACTCTTTACGTTTGTTTGTTTTTTCAGTTTGTTTTCATTTCCCCAAAGGGCTCTGTGTTATATCATTTACCCCCCTTCTTCTTCCTCTTCTTCTTTGCTCCTCGCCGATTGCCTGTGTTTGTTTTTTGCCTTTGCTTTGCTTTTATGATGGATGGGACGGGATTAGGTGGTGGTGCCAGTAGTAGGTGGTGGACGGTGGTAGAGGATGGTGGAGGGTATTGCATTATCACGACGCGATGGATGAGGTTCTCAGGAGGAGGAGGAGGGATGTTTGTTCTATTCTGCTCTATTCTGTTTCTGTTTCTGTTTCTGTTCTATTCGTGTGCTGTCTTGTATCTTGTCGTTTGTTTGCTTGGAGGAACTTTGAAGGAACTTGGAAGGGACTGGTGGGGGAAAGGATTGGTGGGGAGGGGGGGGAAGGGACTGGGTGGGGATCGGGGGAAAATATTATGATGATATGAACTTGTTTGTCGTTTGTTGATTGTTGATTGTGTTTTGCTCTGTTCTAGAAGGAGATGCGGGAACTTGGAAGGTTAGTAATACTACATACTTCTTATGGGGTTTGTGATATTCGTTATTTGGTATCCGTGAACCGGTGTGGGTGCTGACAGCTGGGGAGGTGGGAGTGGGAGTGCTGTGGATGGGAGTGCTGTGGAGGGCGGGGAGAGGTGTGGCGTCGGGCAGCGCGGGGGGCGGGCGCGGGGCGAGTGATAGACATGTGCCCCTACCACCGCCACCACCACCACCACCACCACCGCCGCCGCCACGAAAAAGTGGTTTGCTCAACAAGCAAGCAAGCAACAGTTCAACGAGGGCGGATCTTTCCCGAAGCACCTGCCATCCGAGTCCTCGTTCATCCACCCAGTGGCCAGTCGAAGCCCGAGGTCGTGGGTCGTGGGTCGTGGGTACGTTACGGGTACAGGTACAGGTATCACGACGAGCGCTCGTAGCCTCCTCCGCCACTACAAGCTGCGTCCTGTCTGCGGTTCGATAGCGATTAGACAGCCGACCCCCGCGGCTACGCCCGAGCGGACATGCACCGTCTGAGCGGACCGCCGGGCACGCATCGCACCTGTATACATTCAGTGGTGGTCTGCTACGGGAGGATGGCTGCACGGGCGGGCGGGCGGGCGGGCTGTTTGCAAGGCCTGCTGCTGGCTGCTGCTGGATGAGTACTCGCTCTACGTGCCGTGTGTCCATACGTTACGCCAGCCGGCCAGCTAGATTCGCCGGCTGGAATCACCAGACAAACACAGTGGCGGTCGAGGATGTAACTCCTCCCCTCTTCTCTGTATCAACCACATACTCGGGGACCTCCTGTCTGCCTGTCCGTCTGCGGCCCGTCCCTTGGCCCGTCCGTGAGCCGTCAGCTTGGACGGCCGACACGCACACTCTGCCACCCTTTCTTCCGCCGTGGATTACGGCATAGTGGACGTGCAAGGCTACATAGAGCGAGGGGCAAGGCTACATGGAGCGTGGGTTGTTTGTATGATACTCTGGAGTCTAGAATACAAATATACATATCATACATACACTCCACGCACTGCACGCACTCTTCTTGCTCTCCAGCCAACTAACCAACCAACAAGTCCTCGGCAGCAGCGGTACTAGAGCGTGAATGACGCCTCATGCCTATTTAGTTTATACTCGTGCTTTCTGGTGCTGCAGTTGGTTGGGCTTCTGCCCGCCCGCCCTCCTTGCCGTGATATCCGGCAGCGAATGGACGTACATACTTAGTTAAGGGCTTGACTCGTCACTCTTGAGCCCGGTATATCTCACATAGCTACGGTATTTTGCTTGCCGCGCTCTTGAGTGGTCCGGACTCCGTCCAGTCCAGTCCATCCATCCATCCAGTCAGTCCAGTCCATCCATCCAGCCCAACCAGTCAGCCAGCTAGACCAACGACGGTAGATGGAATGGAATAGTGGCGGCGGCAGTCATGAACCTGTAACGGTAGGCGGTGGGGGTGGGTACGTAATGGGGCGTCTTAAGGCTGGTTACAACTTACTTGTGCTTGCGGGAGGGAGGGGAGGGGAGAAGGGGGCGAGCCTGGTCGGTGCGGATAGATGTGTGGCTGGTATATACGTAGGTGAGCTGTAGTCTGGACTCCGCAGACTGCAGTGTAAGCAGTGTAAGCAGTGTAAGCAGTGGAAGTCTGGGTGTTTGGGTGCACTCTATATGAAGCAGAGGCAGACATCGAGGCATAACGGGGGGGGAGATGACCAGCATGTGCTGGGCGAGAAGCTACCCCCCCTCACCCACCCAGGAACGAGAGCTGGCTGTCTGGTGGGCTGGTGGACTGGTGGACTGGTGGGGCCCGACGGCGGCGGTGAGAACCAGACCACCAGACCACCAGACCACCAGACCACTGAGAGTGCCAGAGTTCCAGAGTTCCAGAGTTCCAGAGTGGGCTGTGGACACTCCAGCCAGGGCCCGGAGGAGAAACTCGCTGGGGACTCGCTGGGGGGCCCTCCCCATTCGCACTCGAGCTGTTCGTTTGCACCCACTACTCACCTAGAGCTCCCAGATCGGACATCCATCCATCGTCCAACTGACTACCTACATCCTACATACCTGACCTAGTCTACAGACTCCTACACACCCTCATCCTTCCCCTCTGCCCAGTGCCCAAAGGCACAAGGCCCAAGCCCAAAAAACCCCTCCCTCTCCCCACCCCCAAACATGGACCATGGGCACTAGCAAACAGGGCGGACCACCACCACCACCATCTTGAAGGCCCATGGGTGAGTATAGAGTAGAGTGCTATTATCCCCATCCCCTTCCCCTTCCCCTTGGGCACCTGGGCAAGGGAAGTCGAGTCGAGTCGAGTCGAGTCGGCATGACCGTTTGGGGCTTATAACAGCGTGGAGGGATGATGCCAGTGACGGCAGTGCAGTGCAGGGGAGGGGTGGTACATATATATCGTGTAGTGTATATGTGATGGGAGGGGGGGGGGAGGGGGAGTGTATGTATGAGGGAGGGGTTAGCATGATGGGCACGTCCAACCATCCAACGTCCGCCACGAAGGCGCCTGGCGGATGCGCTGACGACAGGATATGATATATCAGGAGGATGATATGGAGCCAGTGCAGTGTAGGGTGTCCGGAAGTTCCCGGCGGGGGGTGCGGAGGTTGACAGGAGTTCTAGAAGCCAGTGGCGTTAAGCACGCATGCCTTGTCCTTGCCGTCCCGGCAGTAGGAGGAGGAGGTGGTGGAGCAGGAGGTGGAGGTGGAGGTGGAGGTGTTTTTGTCACTCTCTGGCTCGTGGTTCGCAGGCAACAACTTACAAGCAACCATGGGTTATCCCATCCCACTCGGAGCGTGGGAGCGAGCGAGCAGGAGGAGGACGAGGAGGAGGGCGTGGGGCAGCCCGGGCTTCAACTACCGACTCAGCCTTCCGGTCCGTTCTCGTGCCTGCAGGCTGCAGTTGGCGGACGGACCGTCAGATTTGAGGAGTGACAGCTCAACATCGGGCGTTTGGAAGCGTGGTTGCAGGTGGTTGCTGGTACGGTGCTGGTACTGGATGGGATGTAGGCGTGTTTGACGTGTAATTAACGTCTGCCGTCTGCAGCGGGGAGGAGAGGGGAGGGGATGGGGAGGGGCATTCGAGTCCTGCCACGCTAGCCGTAGGGGGGGTATCCTATATCCAAGTTCGGCTGGCTGGCAAAAGGCACGGTGGTGTAACATGGGTTTCTTTATTTCTGAGGATCCCCTAACTATGATCGCCAGCGGGCGGGCTTGTGGTCGAACTGGTGGTGAATCGGGAGGGCGGGCGGGCGGGTGGGCGGTCAGGGATATCCCATGTGTGCGGTTGGCCCTGGCCCCGGTCCGTCCACATGCTATCTAAGTGAACTACTGCCCTCCACGGCATATCACCCGCGTGTGTAGGAACCCCAAGATCCTAACAGTTTTTTGGGGGGTTAAACTGGGTGGAAGCGGCCGAGAACCGGCTTATCTAATAGTTTGTCCCTGGCCAGTGAGCACTTGGGTTGATTCTGACTGACGGATGGTTGTTTTCTCTCTCTCTCTCTCTCTCGATATTTGAACTTGGTAAACTCGGAACTTCTGGCAAACCATTTGCGTCTAGGTACTATTTAACTACGGTAGTCAGTCGAAAGAAATCCCCCAGCGGCGTTCCTAGAGAATTACCGGAAGTCCAAGTGTGGTAGTGTGGGTGCGTGCGTGGGAAGTTGTCAAGACGCTGCACTGTGCCTTGCTTTCCATCCACAACTATCTCCAGTCCAGTCCAGTGTCCGAAGGTTCTCGATACCGGGATCACGGGCATGCCGTGGCGCAAAAAAAAAGTCATAAAATAGCCTCTGTGATGTGTGGAAAAGAGAAGATTCCGTTACGGGGAATTGAACCCCGGTCTGGCCGGATTAATGCTCTGCTTGAGAGCGGCCGATGCTAGCCACTACACCATAACGGATGTGATTATCAACATTGCTACAGAGCTATGTACGTGCAAATAACTGATGACATTTGGTATCACTCGTTCCAACTTTCTCTCGGATTTGGAATTCCATAAAGTTCAACGGCACGGCCACGGCGGGGGCAGGGGAAGCCACATCGGACCGCTCGATGAGAATCGGGTTGGACAGTGGTGAGGAAACGGGGGGAAGGTGCACGGGAAGATATTGCCATGATCTAGGTACCCAGGTCGCCTGCAATCAATGAATGAACAAAAAACAGTTGAATAGCACTGGAATCTCCCATGGCGACAGAAGGTCAACGTAGCCAGCGTCAATCTCTTGGTCTCAGAAGGAACAATGACCGAAATTTCTTGAGCCGTCATGAATCGTGGCTGCCGTAGCAGCCAGGTGAGGATGGGTGAAGCAACGCTGATAGCCTAGGTATCACTCGATATGAGTCCGCCAAGAATTTCTCGTCGTTTCTGGGGAAGTATGTAGGTATGTATGAGGCTGGTGTACGGATGGCTTTAATAAGTTTTTTTCAGAATCTCTCGCACTATCTCTCTCGCCATTCCATTCATCCGTGTCCGCATGCCGAGTCAGAACGAAAATAATACTTTACCACTAATTGCTGTTTTGCCTTATCACCGCAATTCTGCAAAGCGGACATCAACATCCGTTATGGTGTAGTGGCTAGCATCGGCCGCTCTCAAGCAGAGCATTAATCCGGCCAGACCGGGGTTCAATTCCCCGTAACGGAATCTTCTCTTTTGCAAACTTCGTGGAAGACTATTTTGCGCCTTTTTTTGCTCTTCCTTTCTATTTATTTTTACTCGAATTCATATGTAGTACTGGTGGTTACATCGTATTAAGAGGCGGCTCGGCGTCATCGGTGAGCACCGGGAGAGGAGACCTGTCACCTTATTGAGATCTGGTGGGACCTGATGCAGACCCGATGCGATCGTTAAACGTTTATTTTGTTTCTGTTGTCACTGTGTATCTCTGTTCTTCCTGTCGTCGGTCTCCGGTCGTGATCGGATCATCACCTTGTACTAGGTACTTCATCATAGACCTTTCCAATTGACCACGATTTTGTTCATCACCCGGTTTTGGGTCTCTCAGTATAGAGTAGAGTACTTAAGTTCCATTCCGATAATCAGCACTCACTACAATATCAAGTTACAAGTTACAAGCTCCCTTCACACCACCGCACCACTGCCCCACCACCCGATGAGACAGACCAGACCAAAGAAAGAACCCCGCGCAAAGAAAAGCAGACATAAAGTGAGAGGAAGTACAATACATAGGAAAGAAGCGAAGTAGGTGAGTAGTAAAGCCAGGTATCAATCAATCAAACAATAAAGTAGAGTAAACCGTCCATCACATTCCATCCATCCATCCATCCATCCATCCATCCATCCATCGCATATCAAAACCCAATTCCCATGCCGAATACCCATCCCATCCATCACATTCCCATGCTTTCCCCCATCCGCCCATCCGCCCATCCGCCCATTCCTCCACTTACGCAGGCCAGCTCCTCCCCTGTTCATTAACCCACACCATAATCAGCTCCCTCCACCTCCAACCCCAGCCATTACTGCTGTGACACACCCTCCGGAAGCCCGGATTCGTGAACCTCGCAGGGCTGGGCTCGTTGGCGCGGACCCAGAGGTTCTGTTCCTGCTTCATGCTGCGGTACATGTGTAGGTTGCTTAGGAGAAGTATGAGTATGAAGAGGTATAGGCCGGCGGTGAGGATGCTCCACGCCAAGCCTGGCCATGGGCCGGCGCGAAGGAGTGTCGCTTGACGGCCGCGGGGGGCGGACTTTGGTTTCGGTTGCGGGTTGGCGGCGGAGTCGGCGGATTCGGTAGAGAGGTTGTTGGAGTCGAGAGCCGCTTGCTCGTTGCCGCCGCGGGGGTTGGTCGAGGCATAGTAGTCTGCCTGGTCCAGGCCGTGGAAGGCGTCCCAGAGCAGCCGCAGTGGCCAGGCGAAGACTCCCATCGGCCCGTGGATCCGGTGGAACTTGAAGATGTAGCCGGCAGCGGAGGAGCCGTCGTACGTCTTCGCAGCGGCCATGCGGAGAGCGCGAGCGGCCGGCTGGGCGAGTCTCCACACGTTGTGTAAGATCTCGCGGTTCGGCGAGGTGGACTGCTTCATAACGAAATCGTTCAAGAAGGCGCGGTCGGCGAGGGTTAGCTCGGACTTCATCGTGAGGTCGTATAGCAAGGTGCGGGTCGCGTTGTCGGTGATGATTGTCTCTTGGTAGTGGTCCTCGGGGTATGAAGCGGGAACAGCGGACTCCGTCGGCGCCAGCTCCGCTTGTGTCCCATGATCCTCCGTCTCTGCCTGCCGCCGTTGAATCCCATAATCCTCCATTTCTGCCTGCTGCCGTTGAATCTCCTCTTCGACAGTAATCGGTTTGGGCCAAGCCTCGGCGGTCTGACACTCGGCATCGTTAGAGCTGGCTTCCTCGACCACTTCCGGTATTTGTTGCTTGAGTTCGTTGATGGCCGCGAGGGTTGGGTCCTGGAGCCACGCTACACACCCACTGACGAGCCTCTCTTCTCCTGGTGGGATCTCAATGTCTGTCTGGACCTCTCTGCCAGCCCAATGCATGTATACGGTGTGATCGATCGATTGCTTGCGACGGATACCAGCGGGGATTCGGGAGGGGGAATCCTCGAAGGGGCCCCGCACATATTCGGGGGATTCCTCGTATCTGACACCACTCGACTCCGAGCCCATACCGAAGTCTCCAGGATTCTGGGTAATTCCAGCCGTAGCGGGTTTCTTGGTAACGGCCGGGGCAGTTGTAGAAGCCTTGTCAGCGGCGGCGGCGGCCTCAAGTGTATCCTCCAAATCGAAGATAAATTTACCGAGCCTGTCATTCTCTTCATCTTTCTCGGCTAGTAGCTCCTTCAAGGACTTGAGCTCCTGCTGAATATCTGCTAATTCATTCAGGTGCTTGGCCTGCGACTCAGCGTAGTTGAGGATACGGCTCTCCATCAACCTAGTCTTGTTCTTCTCCTCTACCAATTGCGCCACCAGGTCTTCAATCTCATCGGACAGTTTATTTTCCCTTACGGTGTCGCGTTTCGGCTGCACCGCCTTTACTTGCGACGCTTCTTCCTCCAACTGGTAGATATCGGCTTGTTGCGCGCGGACCTGCTCCTTGAGGGCCCGGATCTCGCGATCTTTTGTGTCCTTGGCCTCCCTAAACTCTGCTCGGACACGCTCAAGGTCTGCCTCAAGTTTGTCACGTTCATCCACCAGGACGGACATCGTTCTGTCGAATTCACTATGCATGGAATCCTTACTTCTTTCGATGTTCAGGAACTTCTTATCCCAGTCTTCGGCGGTTTCTTGTAAATCCTTCAAGGCCGTTTCTTTCAGGCTGACCAGAGCTTTGAGTCGTCTCACCTCCGCATAGACGCGCGCGATTTCCTCTGGGTCACGTTGGGAGGCGGCCTTCGGGGCCAAGTCGGTATTTCTGAGAAGTACGGATTGTTCCAAATCCTCTTCTACCTTGTATATAGTCGAATCGTTCGGGTCGACGAAGGCAGATATTCTGCCGGGCCGTGGACCTAGTAGTTGATCCGACAGCTTGGGCTGGTTAGAACGCCCCGGACTCGGAGTGGCCCCGCGACGCCCCGGACTCGGAGTGGTCCCGCGGACGGGTCCAGTACTCGGCAAGTCCAGGCCTCCAGTCGAGTCGTCTGTGTACGACCCCTCGACTGTGGACCGGCTGAGCACATCTTCCTCAGTGAGATCCTTCTTCCTGTTCTCCTGCTCTTTTAACCTCATCCGGACGTAATCCAAAAGCCCGGTGTTTCCATTTGGAATCTCAAGACGCTTGAGGAGCTCGTTGGTCGCCTCTTGGTCGATGTTAATAGTGTTCCCGTGCTTATCTCTCATTGTCACTACTTTCTCTATCGACTTCGGTAGAAGCGAGCCTTTTGGAAGGCCTACAAGTTCTTCTAGGGTGTTGATGAAGGCGGGAAACTCAGCGTTGTTGATCTATCAAAGTTAACACACACAATCAAGTAATCTGCGCGCAAGAAAAAGACCCGGAGAAATCTCAGACGGTTCATACCTGGCCAGTACCGTTTGGATCAAACAAGCGCCACGCCTTCTTAAACGACCGATCCACACGATCATTGGTTAATTTCAAGAGCTGCGTGGTCGTTACACTCCCCCGTGATGCAGGCTGGTTCGTGTATTCGTCGTCGGAATCCATCTCTTCTCTTTTGCTTTTCTGCGCGGGTGTTGGCGTTGTTGGTGGCGGCGGTGGTGATGGTGTCTTCGCGGTCGGCGAAGGCGAATGAATTGGCTCCGGAGAGATCGGGGTGCGTCGACCACTCGGTGGGCTGGGACGGACGATGGGTCCACCGCTGCCACCTCCTCCGAGATCAGTTCCCTGGCCTTTGCCAGACGCGCGTGGAGTCTTGGGTTTCCGTGTTGGAGTAGCGGGCGGCGGGGCGGCGGTCGCAGCGGCGGTCGAGAGTTGGGGTATCTGCGACGGTGGGAGGCTCTTGGATGATGACGACGATAGGGACGACGGTAGGGACGACGTCGACGCGTGGGCGGAGGTCGCGGGTTTTGAGGTCGCGCGACGTTGTTCGCTCTCAGAGCGTCGGTGGGGTTGTGGGTGGTTCTGCGATGGAGTTTGTGACATGGCGATTATTGTCCCTTAACTATCGTTCTGTGCTTCTTTGTTCATACGATCGCGGATGTGCTGTAGCGAGCGGGGTGTGTGGACAAAGGCTTTGGGCTGCCAGAATGTGATGGAATATGTGACGGAGGCTGGTGCGACGGGGGTTGGGTGTGGGTCGGTGGGTGGGTGTGGGTGGGGTGTTGTTGTTGAGTGGAGTGGAGGGGAGGAACGAAGGGAAGGAGACGCGTTTTGTTTGTAGAGTAGCTAGAGTGGAGGGGAATGCTTAGAAGACTTCGAGACGGTGAGGTGAACTGAGGAGGTGCTACTTCAGCGGCATTGAGAAGAATAACACGACAAGACACGCAGCAAGTGCCAACTCCACTGTGGGCTATATTGCTTTTTGTGTGTCACTCTTGCGTGATTCGCTATTGTTGGCACTGGATTTTTGGTTGGAGATGTTTCGTTGTGTGCTGTATAGTATGCTGCACAGCCAATCTCGCAGCAATCGCGGCGATTCGCTAGCAGCAGTGTACGCGCAGTGGAGGTATCTTCGAGCACTTCTCGATGCGGAGCAAGATACTCGTATTTTGTGTCTGAGTGTCTTCTCTGGTTTCTGGTGACGTGTTGAGAGGCGTGGACCGCGACGGCGTTGGCGTGTTTGTACCTGCAGAGAGCAGCGCGTCGAGGGATGAGCACTAGCCACCGACGGTGTCAGAGCCAAGCCACACGGACCGCTCTGGCTTGAGCCACAACAACCACCGCAGCTGCGTGTTGAGTACTCTAGGTACATAAGCGCGGGGTCGAGGCGCCTCTGTGTTGTCGCGGTGAGCTGCGGTACCCGACCTGTTACTAGTAGTTATAGGGGTGTGACCAGGAGCAGGTCCGATGCGGAGGGTCAACGTTGGACTGAACGTTGTTCTATTGTTTCTATGCTGTTCTGTCTGTTCGTTGGGTCAACGTTGAACTGTTGTTCTATTGTTTCTATTCTGCTCACATAGGAGTATGTGGGTGCATAGAGTGTACCCAAGTTCTTGGGTATTGAACTGTGAGGCTTTACGTGGAGGAAGCTTGGGGGCCAAGCTGCGGTACTCATGTTGCCGATATCCATCGATATGCTAATCAGATTATCTCCGCTGCAAAGGAACGGAACGTCAAGTCATCCGATCAGATGATCTGATACTAGCAGAGAGCAGATACCAGTATCGGTGGATGAGTAGACTTAGACTTAGAGCACTCTGGACACCCCGCTGAATTCGGTTTTACTCCACTTGCCATGCCACGCTGCTGCCTCAGAGCGCCTGCTCACACCAAGTGCAGAGCTTGTATGGTAGCAAAAATCGATGGACACCTTCGGATTTGAAAACACACCGTATTAACATGCCAATTTTTCGTGCTGAGACCCAACCAACATCGCGGGATACCGTATCTACAGGTTTGCTGGATCGGCGTGGTGTTTTTGCGGCCGTTCTGGTACCGTACTTGAGTGTCCATTCGGACTTACGTACCCAAGTTCATCTTGTACTTGGCACTTACTTGTGTGCTTACTCAATGAAGCCACAGCAGACTAAGAGCTCACCCGTGGAAGAGACGGCACATCACATGGCAACTACATATGTGGAAGACCGATAGCGCCTGTTGCGAATCGTCCGTGGCGAGAAGCCGCACCGAGATGTCTAACGCACACATGTAGCTGCTTTGTCTGCTTTGTTTGCTATGTTGAGCACGTGAAGTCTTGGAAGGGGTTTGGCGGTGTCTCAAGCCACCTCCACTGGCCCCACGGTGGAACTTCTGCCTCCGTAGAATCCCCACTTCCGGAAGCTCGGCTTAGTAATCCGAATCACCGTCATCCTCGTCCGGTCACGTGCATCTCGCCCACCTTAATCGTCTAGCTCCGAGCCGAGACGCTCAGACGAACGCAACTCGGCTTTTGGCCGCAGAAGTTATTCTGCTACTTCACCACTACCACAAGACCACACAAGCAAGCAAAGCTATCCTGCACTGTCCCGTCCACTCCCTCCTTACCTCCAATCATCGCCAGAGACCGCGAAAAAAGAAAGAAAGGATCGGCTGAAGGGAATACTTGCAACATATCGGCCTGATAGAGCTCGCCTTCGTCCCCTCCTATCGACTGCCCGCCACGTACCTATCATACGCTCTTGTCTACCCTGTCCCCCCGTCCCGTCCCGTCGAGTTCATCCACTACACGCATACTATCCCACCTTCCCTTCTCCCCCACCCACCCACCCCCCACAACGCGACCTCAGGTGGTACCCAACAGCAATGTTCACTTCCCTTATCCAGAAGGCCTCCTCGTACATCTCCGACGTCCCCAACCAGTCCTCGACACCCACAGATCGTCCAAACAAAGCAGTCCTGTTCCGCACGCACTTCCGGCTGCCAGACTCGCAATCCCCACTACAGGAGATAATCTGCGAGCTGACCCTCCCCTCAGGCGACCACTACTCCGGCAAGCTCTATCTGTCCGAAGCATTCCTGTGCTTCTCGCCCTCGCCGCCTTCCTCGTCTTCCCCCGCTCCCGCAACCGCCGGCATCGGCTTCAGCTTGCCCCTATGTGCCATCCGCAGGGTCGAACGATTGCACTCGAGGAGCTACATGTTTGCCCTGGCGATCACGACATGGCACGGCACGGGGGCCGAGGGGATCGCCGGGAAAGAGGAGCGGCTCACGCTGCAGTTTGTCGGCATGCGGAGCTCCTGCGAAGCTTTCTGTGATCGGCTCAAGCGCGCATTGAGAACGCAGATGTCCGAAGTCAAGAACCTCAAGATCTTGGTGGAAAGTTGCTACAGCGAGTATCTCCTGGGGAAGGATAGGGATGGGAAACGAGAGGAGCCAGATGCGGGTTTGGGAATGATGTTCAAGTACCCCGGAGACGCCAGGAAATTGAGGGATAGAAGCAAGATGAGATTGTGGGCTGAGTATCTGAGAGGTATATGCCCAATCCTTGCTCTTGCGCGCTAGCTTGTGATGGGACGGGGCACTGATGGAGCGCCACATGTGTAGAGAACGGCAGGAACGTGACTCTGATACGACAACCTACCTTCCACAAGCTTGTGCGCGTCGGACTCCCGAATGTATGTCTCTGATAGCTATTGACTTCGGAAACATGCTGATATCAGCCCATAGCGTCTCCGTGGTGAAATGTGGGAACTCACATCTGGATCGCTGTATCTTCGGTTATTCAATCCCACACTGTACAAAGACACGATCGATCAGTTCGAAGGCCGGCATTCCCTATCGATTGACGAGATCGAGAAGGATCTCAACAGATCATTACCGGAGTACCGGGGGTTCCAGAGCGAGGAAGGAATCGGCCGTCTACGGAGAGTACTGGGAGCATACTCGTGGGTAAACGAAGAAGTTGGCTACTGCCAGGCGATGAACATCGTCATGGCAGCTTTATTGATGTGGGTTGCCAGAATCGAGTGAGAGATTGTGTGTCCGATACTCACTGTTTTCGCAGCTACATGTCGGAGGAACAAGCCTTCTTTGTGTTATCGACGCTTTGTGATCGGCTAATCCCTGGGTACTACTCGACTACTATGTATGGCACGCTCCTCGACCAGAGAGTGTTCGAATCGCTGGTCGAAAAGACGATGCCGATACTCTGGGAGCATCTCGTCAAGGCGGATGTTCAACTTTCGGTCGTGTCTCTGCCTTGGTTCCTGTCCCTTTACATCAATTCGATGCCGCTGGTGTTTGCGTTCCGGGTGCTAGATGTCTTTTTCTTGGAAGGCCCCAAAGTGCTGTTCCAGATAGGGCTCGCGATCCTCCGTATCAATGGCGAGGAACTCCTCGATGCTACTGACGACGGCGCATTCATCTCGATCCTGAAGTCGTACTTCTCTCGTCTGGACGAGTCGGCACACCCCCGCTCCGATAACGAGAAGCTGCGTGCCGTCACACGATTCCAGGAACTAATGGTGGTGGCATTCAAGGAGTTCTCTGGTATCACCACTGCGTCGGTCCAAGAGCAGCGGGCAAAGCACAAGGATGCGGTCATGTCTTCGATCGAGTCCTTTGCCAAGCGCACGCAGATCCGCAACTTGGGGCCGGAGAGCAAACGCTTAAAGGCAGACGAGCTGTCGGCAATCTACGATCGCTACCATTCCACCATCTACGAGCGACAGTTGCGTCTGCAGAAGATTGCCGAGGAGCTGGAGCGCTACCAAAAGAAGAAGCAGACATCTTCGGCGGCATCGATAAAGAGTACACTCTCTACTGGCCCACTGGGCAGCTCCGTGCCCAGCCCCGTCACTACTATGGACTACGATACCTTCCGTGAGTTCCTGGCCGGCGTCACACAATGGGCTATCGCCGATCCCGTTACCCCAAATTCCGAATCGGCAGACCAACAAAGTCAGACCAAGAAACGACTGTCTCCCAGCCCTCTGCCCGCCGACCACGAGTTCTTACAACGTCTCTTCCGGCGATGGGACACGGACATGAAGTCAACCTTGACCCTCGCCAACGTGGTCGGCGGCCTGGCAGATGTGGTCGGCAAGCGCAAGGATCTAATGAGCACAATCGCCTATTGGTTCGAGCTCTATGACGACGACGGCGATGGCCGGGTCGACCGTGAAGGAATCCTGCGGATTTCCGAAGCTCTCCTCTTCGTGACCCGTCGGTCCGACGAAGAACGCGTTCTCAGTGCCATCAGCGGTTTCATCCGCCGCTGCTTCGAATACGCCGATCCAGACCGTCATGCCGACCCCGATGACGCTCAACTCCTCGACCTCACCGACACACCGCAAACCCCCACCTCGCCCAAAGCAGAAGCAAACGCGGCGCTCAACCCCCAACGACCCTTACACATCACCCTGCCCACCTTCCGCATGGTCATCCTCGCTGACGAAACGCTCGAGAGCTTCTTCGATATCGGGTTTGCCGACACATTCCACCTTCTCCGGTCCAGCAACTCTCCGCCTCCTCCCGTCGCCGGCTACGGCCTGCCCAGCGCCAAGGGCATCCGTGGCGTTCTCGACGGGCTGGTCGACGAAGCCACCCGCGTCGCTGCCGAGGTCCGCAGAAGAATGGAGGAGCCGGTCGAAGACGCTGGTGACGACGCGGAGGCCGACGACGCGGGCAAAGACGCCGACTTGCTCAAGGGCGCGGAAGCGGAAGCCGGCGTGCCGGCCGAAGTGCCGGCGAAAAGCGCGGCAATGGAGGTCAGGAAGGGACCGGGACCTGATGGAAACCGGAGGTCTGTCTCCCATAGTGCTAAGCAGAGCGAGGGGAAGGGCGTGGTCGAGTTTGAGGGGTCGCGAGAGGTGGTCGAGGTGTAATATATGTAAGTGTTATGAGGAAGAGGAGTTTGGGCGATTCTTTTTGTTTGTTTGCTGCTTGGATCATTGCGGAGGGTGTTTTTTCTTTTCGAGTTTCTACATACTGTGCATGTTTTTCTGGGGGGGGTTTGGTGGTAGAGTACCGAGAGCTGGTGGTGGTAGTGGTAGTGGAGGGGGGCCTAAGATGAATGGAACTGGATAGTAGGCAAGCGAGCGTTATGGGCATCGTAGCTAAATACCTAGTACTCAGGTGCATACCTACATCATATTTGGGTACCGTATGTGCCTCACTGTGAGCTCGAAGTAGTTATGGGTGGATACGGATACGCGTAAAGTTGATTTCCTCTTCGACTCGAGACATCACACTCACTCACTCACTTACTCTCCAATCCCCTCCATCCGCAAAGAACCGTAATTTCTCCATTGTACAAGCCTATCTGTCTCCTCCAAGCTCCCCTCCCCCACCTTCCCCCCGTTTCCTTCCCGCAAGCATTCCGCTCTGCTCGATTGATTTACTGAGGATCATCGAACTCCGCCGGCACGGCCTCCCTCTTCCTGTTGGGAACTATTCCCATCTATCAGCTTATATCCCCCCACCCAATCCCCCCTCCCAATCCCGCCAATCTTCCCCAGGGTCAACTTACTAGGCCAAGATTTCGGCAAATGCGGAGCCTCGTTAAAGCCCAAGCGGTGGCGGATCGGCACGGCAAGGAGAATGAGCGGACATGCGAGCCCGATCGCAATGCTGAAGAAGATTGCTGGCGACGTGTGCGCCGAATACCGCATGTAGCGGATCGGCGTCGTCCAGAACTGCGGCGTGGCGGAGGGGGCTGACATCGCGGCGATGGTCGTGGGTGGTGGTGGTGGTGCTGGGGGAAGTGGCAAGGGCGGGCGCGGGAGGTGGGTAGGTGTAGGTGAGGGTGGAGAGAGCGCCGGGGTCGGGGTCGCGGTCGATGGAGGGTAACTAACCGAGGGGTGAGTGATGTAATGGCGCTAACCACTCTACTCTACGGTTCGTGAGGCTTAAAACTTTCCTAGCCCCCCCCCCCCGACTCAAGGCGGCAGGTCCGCAGCCATGCCCCGCCGCAAAAACCGCTCCCGCCACATCCTCCGGCCCAGCACGCCCACGCACACGGCCACCAACGATGACTCCGGCTCCGGCGACGGTGGGGGATGGTCCACCATCCCCGGCCGCCACCGGGGCACGTTGCATCTGCACCTTTCCAGCGCGGCACCCTTCCCCACCCCTCCCACCACCACCACCGCCACCACCAGCGCGCACCCGCCCCGCTCGCAAGGCGACCTCACCGCGGCACTGAGCCGCGCGCAGCGCATGCTGGACGGCCACGCGCTGCTGCGGCCGCTGCACGATGCACTGCCGAGGGATGTGCGGGATGTGCGGGATGTGTGGGAAATACTCGTGCTGGGGCTGGGGTCGCTACATAGTGCTACCGCGCCGTCGTCGATGCTGCAACTGGCTATGGTGTTGAGTATTCTGCCGTGGCTCGAGGGTACTGGTAAAGCGCCGGAGATACGGTTTGTGGATCCTGTCTTTACGAATGAAGATTTGGAGTTTTTGGGGCAGTTTGGGGGGGCTACGACTTCTACGACTTCTACGGGGGCGGGGGCGGGGGCGGAAGGGGAAGGGGAAGGGATGACGGAGCAGGAGAAGGAAGAGTCGAAGGAAGAGGTAAAGGAAGAGGCAAAGGAGGCTACGAAGCCGGCGGCCGCCCAGGCGTCAACAATCCTCCTCGCCCCCCACCTCGACTTCTCCGTCCTACACTCTTACTTGTCCCATTGCGCATCTACATCCACCATGCCATCCGTGATACTCTCCAACGACGTGCGGCGATTTCTAGAGCTGTTAGTCCCCTTCCCCCCTCCCTTCCCTCAGCCCCCACTCTTCACCTGGCCTGGCCTGAGTTGATAATAAACAGACGTATCGGCGAAGAATCCGAGTGGAAGGTGTTTCGCCGGTTGATGCGGGAAGAGGGGGAGTACGAGGAGACTTCTGTCGTCGTTGGTGGGGGAAAGGGCAGGGAGCGCGGAGAGGAGACGACCGAGGAGCTGGGCAGGGCGTTTAATGATTTGGCGGTTTATAGGCGCGTGTGATGTGAGGTGATGTGATGTGATGGGTGCGCTGGATGGAGGGGATATTAGAGGGGTATTAGAGGGCGTTATGGGCGTTTTGCTTTGGATATCTACAGACGAGGTTTGAAGGAGTGTCAATCATCTGTGGAGGCGGGTAGGTCATGCAACAAAGTATGTACCGAACAGTCAATTCATCGTCACAAACGAAGGGTATTCCTTTACTACTACTACCTATACTACGTTCCCAGTGACAATTGTAACGAACAACCCCTTCCCATCCAGTAAAAATCAATACAAAGCGTCAGTGCGCCGCAAAATCCACACCGTAGTGTACCTAAAGCGGATGGTTCAGTACAGTTCAATCCACCAGCTCGCAGCAAAATCGACATCAAAGCAAAGGGGTATAACGGTCCAGTACAGTCCAGTACAGTTCGAGGCGCCAGTAACAGCAAAATACAAGGGTATCATACCATTTCCGGTCCAGTACAGTCAACAGTCATCGGGTAACAAGAAAATCAAAGGGTATAAAACAAGACACGACAATCCATCCATCCATCCAACAAGAATCAAAGGGTATAAAACAAGACACGACAATCGACACGACGATCCATCCATCCAACAAGAATCAAAGGGGTATAAAACAATACACGATAATCAATCCGCCCATCAAACCGGGATCACAGCCCACCTCTTCTTCATCTTCATCTTTTCCTCCACCAGATGGGGGAAACAAACAATACATGTACAGAATACCGAATACCGAATACCAAAAAAGAAAACTAAGAATACCCAAAACCCCAAAATGGCCATCTCTAATAGCCGGGCAGATTACAAAAACGCACGATCATCGCTCTCATCCTCAGAGTCGGGAACTCTGGCACTAACTCTCCTTCCATTGTTTGCATATCCACGGTAAAGATGGGGATTGTTATAATTAGGATATTCATTGACCGGGCCAAACTGTCTTGCCACTGCGAGGCCAACGTCGAATTCCCTCACGCTCATGCGACTGACTCTCCCACTGAGACTGTTCCTGCTATCCCGCTTGGTGAGAATGAGTGGCGGTGTCTCCGACCCCGCAATAGGCGCCGCGTTGACATCAACACTTCGAAGTCCGGCGCGGAACTGTCGGTCATAGCCCGGGGTCCGTGTTCGCTCGATGGGAGTTCGGTTGTTGGTGTGGCGCTGTTCCAGGACTGAGCGCGAGCGGAGGATGTTCTCGGCCCCTTCGGGATACGAGAACCGTTTGGTCGCGAGCGGGCTGCAGCGGAGGTTCTCGTTGCTGCTGGAGGAGACACCGGACTGGAAGCGGCGGTCTCGTAGGACTTGGAGGTGGCAGGCGGAGAGGGCGGCGTCGGTGGAGGTGCTGACCGAGGCATCGTCGTTGTGGTCGAACTCGGCGTGGAGAGACTCTGGGCGGGCATTCCGGTTGATGGGAACGTACTGGGTTGTGCTCGATGGTGCCCAACTCTTGCGGTTGCGAATGGTTCCGGTGTTCTCTCTACGGTCGCTCGGACTCGTTGCATTGTCCAACCAGATCTTGGGAATCTTCGGGACGGGAGGCGGAGGACTCTCTGGCTCGAACTCGGGTTCATATTGCGCCACTGGCTCTGGCTTGATGGTCACCTTCGAAGAGCAGCTTCTAACGCTTGCCGACCTGGGGGTCGGAACCACATGTCGTTCGAAGATCTTCTCCTCTTCTGGCAACAATCCTCTCCCCGGCGTTATATAGTAGCCAGGCTCCTCGTCGGCCTCGACCAGCGCTGGTTTATCTACGGAATTTTGTCTCTTGAGCAGGGCAGAGTAGACTCTTCTCGCATCGACATTAAATCGCTCCCTTCTTGAAGGTATACGGAAGAACTCCCCATCGCCCTCAGGATCCCCACCGTCACGTATTGTCCGTCCGGCCATCCTGCTCGCGATGCTAGAGTTCCACGTTGCAGTCGAGATCGTCCCCATACTTCTTCCGGAAAACTTCCTCTCCGGTGTTTGTACGGTCGATGGCGTAACATACCTGATGCTGCCAACATCGGACTGAATCATCTCCTGTGAAGCGACCAAGTGTAGGACAGGTGCCTTCGAGACGACATAATTCGACCTTATTTTCGGCTTCTCCTTTTCCGGCGATTTCGCCGACTTTTCAGACTTTGTCGGGGACGGTGGCTCCTCAGCAGTGACATACTCCCTAAAATGCAACCTGCTCGAGGCCACCTGCTGTTCGGGGATCGAGCCAAAGGACGCCTTATCTTGGCCACTGCAGCTTCTCCCCAGAACCTTCCTAACGGAGCCAAACACCGAGTCGGTTATCTTCCTGGCCTTCTTCCGGAACCTCATGGCGCCCCACTCGCCCTTCTCGTTCTTGCCCTTGTACTTCCCGGCCACAACCTCAGGCGGAACAATCGGCGGCATCGTCTTCCTCGCCGCGGACTCCATATAGTACGACCGCCGTTCACGAGCCCGTCCCTCCCCCATAAAGTCCGTTCCTCCTCTCAGAAACGACGCAGACTTCCTAGGGCTCTCCCTCGCCGGCTCCCCCTCGGGCGTGAACACTGCCGACGGGATTTCCGGCGGGGGCGGGGTGAAGATCTGGGCCACGGTGAAGGCAGAAGACTTTGTCTTCTTGATGCGGCGGTACGACGACGGAGTCGAGCCGCCGTTGTGCGGCGGCTCGTAGTCCTGCGGAGTGAAGATGTCCAGCTCCGGCTCTGGCGTGATCAGGTCTCGCGGCTCGAATCGGGCCGGTCCTTGCGCTGCTAAATGGGATAGCGTCTCCCGGTGGTATCGCATGCTGGCCCGGCGACGGATGATCGTCGATGAGTAGTCCCCGGCTGAGTCGTCGAGCTTGTTCCGTGAGTCCCCGTATTGGGAGCTGTAGATACTGCTGCTCGACATGACTGGAAGGGGAGGAGGAGCTCTCGTAGGTGCTGGTGGTGGTGGTGGTGGTGGTTGTGGTAGTGGTAGTCGGTTGAGGTTGACTTCGGACAGTACGAGCCTCGAAGGGGTGTCTGTTGAGGACTGGGGGCCGTGGATACGGCGGTTGGTGCCCGCACCGAAGGCTCGCTGGGCGGCGGTCACGGCTTGTTGCTGCTTTGCTACCGTGTCGAGCAGTTCGGACTTGGTCGGGGCGGTGGAGGAGACGGTGTTGGAACGGCGGAGGAGTTTTCTGGGCTTGGAGGGGGAGCGGGAGCGGGAGCTCGAGACAGAATTGCGGCGGGATAGCATCGTAGATATGCGGGTGATTTTGGAGATGGAGATGGAGGAAGAGGAGGAGGTGGTGATGATTGCTTGTGCAGGACGAGCAGGTGCAATGGAGGGAGTGAGATGGTATGGAAGAAAGTAGGACCATGCAGCTGGTTCAATGGTAACGTCGGTGCTTGATGTAGCATAGGGACATGTACACTCTTTCCGATCAACTCGCCTTCGCCTATCTCGTAGCACTGATGGGCAGACGAAGAAAGAGAAAGAGGATCGTTATTGTGTTTTACTCCATCCCATCGATTGAAACTTGCATCCTTTCTCAGTTGACTGTTTTGCTCTCTACAGCATGGAGCGGCTACAAAATCATCGATGCAAACACTTCTCCTGCAAAGACTATTGCAATACAGCACCACTCTGTTACACAACTCAAGCGCTCCCCAGTGTACATGAGCCCTGGCCCGGTCAGTGGCAACAGAGACGAAATCACACTCCATTCACCCCTCGGGCTTCGTATACTCACCCCATCACCATCTCCTGTGATCCACATATCCCATCCCTCATGGCACTCTAGCCTTCGCGATCTAAGAATGGACATCATCGTGGACTTGGTTCCACCTGGCGGCCTGGTTCTCCTGTGGCGTTTGGTCTGCACCGCCCACCCATTCATTCACTGTATCAGGGAGCACGTTAATACAAACCACCCTCATCAAATGAGTCTAGATTTAGGATTCAAGCTCCCTAGACTCCGTACGAAGCCGGCAATGAACACGGAATTCTGGCGGTAGTGAGAAGAGATCACGAGTGAGATATAGTGAATGGGGTATAACTGGCGAGGGTGGAGTTGTGAAATCGCGTTTTTGTTCCTTTTATTCTTCATCCTTCCCGCTCAGAGTCTCTCTACCAACAACAACGATTGCTTCAGCCATTCCGGACATCTCCTGATCCTATCATCCTATAGCCCGCTTCACCACGGATCTCGCCACCACCAGTGCGAGTCCTCACAGCTAGCTACCGAGTGTTTGCACTGTGCAGCATCCTCTTACTACCATTGAGGATCCCCAAAAGAAGGATTTGCTGCATAATATTGAGGTCATCGGGGGATACGGAAATTACGAATACCGGTAGGTATGTAGCCGATAGTGAGTGACGGAAGAAAAACGAGAAGAAGAAGCAGCAAGCTTTACTTTTCCGACATCTCCACTCCACTCTACTGCAGACATAGTGTTTAGAGTACTTTTCCAAACCAAACAAAAGTTCAGTGCAGATGTCACTGTGATACATTTTTATACTCATAGATAGTAGTTATCGCCTCTCCTAGGTATTGCATCCATCCACCTCACCTCACCTTACCCACCTTACCTCACCTCCCATCCACCCATCTTGATAGATAAAAATTCGCCAATTACTCATCACCACATCCGTTATGGTGTAGTGGCTAGCATCGGCCGCTCTCAAGCAGAGCATCAAACCGGCCAGACCGGGGTTCAATTCCCCGTAACGGAATCATCTCTTTTGCTTCTTTTGCAAACTTCACCGACCACCTACATATCCCGTGATTTTTTCCTGCGCTACGGCACATGTACTCTACCCGCGATGCTGTGCGGCTTCCCTTTTCCGCTCCCTTTTGTGATCTGTTTCTTGTTTCGGCTGGGTGGAGGGCGGTGCGGCGGAGCACGGCGAGGCGCGGCGCGGCGCGCGGCAGGGCGGGCGGAGATCGGCTATGTGTGTACAAGCTTTTCTGTGCGGGGAAGGTGCGGGGAAGCTATATATCTACACGGCTACCGGTAGAGTAGTGTGCGGGCTTGCGCCCGCCGTGAGCCAAGAGTCACGCGACGATCCATCATCCGAGTTTGAAGGTTACGTTACGTTACGATTAGGTAAGGGAGGGATTTCGCTTTCGCTTTCTCGTATGTTTGTAGTCTCGGACGAGTGGATGTCGAGTGGAACTGTGGAAGGAGAGTGGAAGTCGAGTTAACGGCGTGCCGCCGATAGGTCCTCATCCGGTTTTCCCCCATGGACCAATGGACCATGGTTCGTTACCTGGTCCGTTCGTTCGTTGTGTACCTATGACTTCAAGTCGGATAGGATACGAAGGCTGAGCCGCCGAGAACTCTTGATTCGAGAGAACCAGTCGCGAACCTGCCCGCATTTCGGCCGTCCATCCATGCTCGGCCCGCTCGACCTATCCATCCTGTTCGGCCTGTTCTTGTTCGGCACTCGCGTGCGTAAGGCTGAAGCTTCTTTTGTGCCAACCGGTTGGCAGAGTTGGCAGATGATCAGTGGGCAGTAGGCGGACTGCCTTGTGCTTCGCCGACGTGTGTATCTACCTGGGTGAGTGGAGTATGGAGTCGGGGGGCTGTGTACACGTACATGGCGATGGAGATGGATACTACCAGTACATAATGTGGAGTATCAGTGCGCACTGCGCGTGCCTGTATACGAGACGAGACGAGACATGCATGGATGGAGTGGGATGTTCCGCTGGCTGCTAACTAGTACTCTATTGACTAGCGTGGCCGGGGCTTGTCCGGGGCTTGTGTGCTTGGGGGCGCGGTTCACCATTCATGATCACCACTTGGGGTTCGGATTGAAATGTCTGTCTCAGCCATTCAGAGTGGAAGCTCCTCTACTACTCTACTCTAGACCTGGAAGCTGGGGATGGTAGATGCATCATGCTGGATGCTGGAATCTGGAAGTTGCACCCCGGCCGGGAGTTGGTTTGAACTTTGAGCTTTGAAGTGGGACAGGAGTATCACCTGTGATGGAGATCGGCGGTTCCAAGTGGAAGCCTGGAGTTCGGGATCGGGGCTGGAATCGAGAAGTAGGTAAGGCACAACCTCCAAGGCAGCCTCCCGAGTCCCATCGCGATGTGGCCCGGTGCTCTGGGATTCTGGGATTCTGGCACGTTATTGTTTCGTGTGCGCCTACACATGCCTACAATATGCCTGCGCCTCGAGCGTTTAGACGAGGTCGGAGGGGCTGTGCACGATGGGGAAGCGAAGGGAAGGGATGGAATGCTGGACGCCAAAGTCTCAGTGAAGCCATATGCACGTACTACCGAGTAAATACCTCCTACTCTACGCACGGGTCGTGCGCAGTACAGAGCTGAGACGGCGATGCCTAGAGTCTAGATACTCGTGACTATCGAGTGCAGTGCAGTATTTTGGACTCGTATTCCGAATCCCGACGTACCTATCATACAGTATCCAAACTGCCTGCCAGCTTCGTTTGCGATAGGCATCGGGGGCTGGCCAGGCATATCCCCAGGCACTCAGCACCGCACAACACAACACAGCACCACACAGCACAGCACAGCACAGCACAGCACAGCACAGCACAGCATATCGGTACCAGTACCGGTACCGGTAGCAGATAACTGTTGTTCGCTAGAACTCAAATCTCATGTCTCAAGTCTCAAGGCATACCTGGTTTGTGTAGTCAGGGATCTATCATCTGGTTCTGGGAGCAAGAGCAATCCGATAGAGTGCCGCGGATACCTGCAGGTTATCGATATGATACCCAAATATGCACTCACCAGGCGCTCTGGGTGTGCAAGTACCGTGGTTTTCCAGGTTGCACGTTCGGAAGCAACTTGCAAGCTGTCGGGCCGGCCGCTGCGCCACCTAGAGTACATCGGCGTTCAGTGGAGATGATCGGTATCGAGATATCTCGCTCGATAGGTATTTCCTGCCGCCCAGGAATTCTTCTCCGGCCTCTGGCCGCTGCGGGATTTTTTTCGATGAGGTAGTTAGAGGAGAAGAGATGTAGCGGGTGTCCATCTAGCACCTAGGAAGTATGTAGGTACCGGTAGTCTGCAGAAGTAGACCCAACACCAACACCAATGCCCCACCGTTATCTGTTAGCTAGAGAGCTTGTTAGTTACATGTTAGCACACGAGCGGTTATCACCGGTCCATACCTTGAGAAGTGTGTACTCGAGTACATAGCACATGCTCTTAGCCGCCCATCACATCGGCGGCGCGGCGGCGAGAACGCTTCGTCGCTGCTACTGCTCCTGCTGCTGCTGCTGCTGCTGCTGCAAACCCTGTTTCCCTCACGGTTTTTCGTTCTCGGCCTACATACCGGTACCCTCCCTCCCTCCCTCTGTCGAGTCTCGCGCAGTACCAAGCAGTACCAAGCCGTCGGCGCGCTCCGGACCTGTGGGGTCTGGAAAAAACTGCTGGGATCCGCTGGGATCCGCTGGGATCTGCTGGGATGCTTGCTGGTGTTCTCCTCCGCAGAGGTTCGCTCCAGGCTCTACATAGGGACCTGCTCGAAACGATTACGCTGTTTACCTAACGATCGGCTGTTTATTCAAGCGGTGTCGTTGGGACTTGGGGCCAGCTAGACTCTAGAGTAGTAGACAAGGGGAGGTTTTCCGGCATCTCGCCGACGGCAAGGCTCGAAACCTCCAGTCTCCAAGCCGGAACGGCCGTTGGGGCGGGTACATAGGGTGTTGTGGGGTCCCGCCCTTCTTCCCGCCGTTCGGAGGTTGTCGTATCGCGTCTCCGCTCGCGTTTTTCTCCGCTCGCCTTCGGGTCGGCGACGTCTCGACTCTCGAGGGACTCTCAAGGTTGCGAAACCGTGATGGTGGGGGGGGGGGGGCTCAATCTCTGCCTGCAGGGTGGCGATCATTACTGCCATACATAGTACTTACTCCACCTATGTAAGTGGCGGAGGGCTCTTCCAGCGGACTTGACTTGACTTTGATTTCGTCACGCGCGGTAGATGTCTGATGGAGTGGAGATACCTATGATGGATACTGGTTATGTACTAGTTGGTTGCCCCACATTCAGCTTATGTACCACTATTCTCTAGTACCTACGGTAGTTACCGTACCGCATCCATCGCCAGCACGCAGCAGGCAGCAGGGTGGTGGTGGTTGCACGATCATTTTGTTTCCGCGTCATCCCACCTTCGCCGCGGACACTCCATTTCTCCACCCTTCAGTCCATCAGTTCCTCACTGAGGGCAACTTTCCATTGGCTGGGCGCTGGGGGGGCGGCGGATGAGTGGGAGTGGGAGTGGCGCTCTTGCCTGCGTTTTGGCTGCAGCAGCATCGGAACATTATCCCAGATCTCGCTAGGGGCCGAGCGCAACCGTCAACGTCTTATCTCTTGCTTATTTCTCTTGCTTATTTCTCTTGCTTATTTCTCTTGCTTATTTCTCTTGCTTATTTCTCTTGCTTATTTCTCTTGCTTATTTCTCTTGCTTATTTCTCTTGCTTATTTTCTCTTGGAGTCTTGGTATCCAGAACTACAGACAGAACGTCAACTTGCGTCGTTCCGTTTCGCCATGTATGCGCGCCAAGAGCTGCGCGGGTGGGTGGGCGGGTGGGCGGGTTCAACGCTCGCTCGCTCGCTCGCTCGAAACGCGCAAAGCTTGGAAGGCTTAACAGGGAAGGCGAGAGGTAGGCAGTTAAGTCGGTCTCGTGAGGCGTTGCTGTTGCCGTGGTGCAACGGAGAGCGCACGGAGAGCACGGAGAGAGCTCCGCCCGATGGCGATATGGCGGTATGGCGGGTGGGGATGGGGTGTGTGCCTCGTGGGGAAGGATGTGCTGAGTACTCATGTACGATATGTACGGTAGTTATCGGCGATAGTTATGGTGGTGGTGTTCGCGTCTCAGCCCACTGCCCACTGACGGCCGGGGGTTGGACGTCGGAACACAGCACGCCCTCACTCACTCTCCTCACCTCGCTGCGCACGAAGTCCGAAAGGCGCACTGCTCCTGCTCCGACTGCACTGCACTTCCCCCCCCTCCCCTGCGCTGCAGTGTACCAACTAGTAGGTGTGGATAATGGATTGAGACTCCAAGACCGTCCCTGGCTCCCTGCTCCCTGGTCTGCATGTTTCGGTGCGACGTGAAAGGTGTGAAAGGTGTGAAAGGTGGCGGGGCTGAGACAGCAGGGCCATGCGTGCGATAGGTGGGCCGCGCACGGAGAGGGACAGGATGGGACAGCCTACGGGACAGGACGGGGAGGGGGGGGGAGAGGGAAAGGTCCGGAATGAAATGGAATGGGCTCACATGCATCCACAGGCCGTGGGCGTGTCTGCCATCTGGGGACGAGGGAGTCTGCTGAAGATACATGCGGTAGGTACTGCGGCTTTGCAGCTTTGGACAGGTATTGGCCCCGCGCGAGAGGAAGTCGCCATGTTGGTTGCACTCTGTGCATGGCTATCTGAAGTTCTTGACGTAGTGAGGCTACAACTCTACTGTAGAGTGTCTATCGCGTGCGACCCGCACGGACTCACGCAAGCCAAAGATTGCGCACCGCACCGTTGGAATGGTCGGCGTGGATCGTCTCCCCGGCGGGAAGGATGGCCAGCCAGCCATGCCAGGGCAGGCAGGGCAGGGCACACGGGAGGCGGTTGCAGACTTGCAGATGCAGATGCCCACCCGTGCCCCTCACACCCACCCACCCCCCCCCCCCCCCCCGCCCCCCCCCCCCATGTCTCGTACGTCCAGGAACGGCGGGAGATAGTGGATTTGGAATGGCTGTCCCACCCTCCATCGAATAAGTGAGCCCCGGGGGCTCCGGGGGACGACACGGCCTGCCTGCCTACTGTATTTAATCGAACGCACTCCCCCGTTTCCATCCCCATCCGCAACACACCGGCAGTCGCAGTCGCAGCAGCAGCAGCAGCAGCAGCAGCAGCATCGAAAAGCCAAGAAAGTCGAAGTCGAAGCCGAAAGCATACACGCGCCGTGTGCGACACCACCGTTGGATAAGGACAAGCACGAACGATCCTCGCACCGCCGCCGCCGCAGACCCAAAAGATGAGTCTCCGACGGAGTGTCGACAACGCCGATGCGGAGAAGGGCGCTCCGCCGTTGAAGCCCGCCGTCGAGGAGGATGAGCGCCTCGCCGATGTCCACCATGATCTTACGAGAGGCCTCAAGGCCAGGCATATCACCATGATCGCCATTGGAGGAGCGATCGGTACTGGGTTGATCATTGGAACGTAGGTTTTGCCTTTGCCCGTGCACGCCGGTGGGGTTGGGGGAGTTACACTGGGGGATGGTCGTTGACGGGTGTGCGTTGCTTTAGTGGTTCGGCGCTTGCGCAAGCGGGTCCCGCTCCGGTCCTCATCTCGTACACCATCGTCGGTTTCCTGGTCTATCTGGTCATGTGCGCTCTGGGCGAGATGGCCTCTTGGCTACCGCTGGGATCGGGCTTCACTGGTTATGCGACGCGGTTTTGCGATCCCGCGCTGGGATTTGCTCTGGGATGGACGTATTGGTTCAAGTATGTTCTCTGGCTCTGTCTTCGAAGGATGAATGCTGATCAGATCAAAGATACATCATTGTCACGCCCAACCAGCTCACCGCCGCATCACTCGTGTTGCAGTACTGGGTCGACAGAGATAGGGTCAATCCTGGAGTTTGGATTACCATCTTCCTCGTCACCATTTTGTTCATCAATTACTTTGGTATCCGACTCTTCGGCGAGATTGAATTCTGGCTCTCGAGCTTCAAGGTCGTTACCATTGTTGGCCTGATCATCCTGTCTCTGTGTCTGGCGCTCGGAGGAGGCCCGGACCACGACCGCAAGGGATTCCGCTACTGGAAAGATCCGGGAGCGTTCAAGCCCTACATTGCTGAGGGGGATACGGGGTATGTTTTCTCTCACTCCAGCGGCTGGATCCTGGAGATGTAAGCTAACGGACTGACCTAGACGCTTCCTCGCCCTGTGGTCCACCTTCGTCACCGCCACTTTCGCTTACCTCGGTACCGAGCTTGTCGGTGTGACGGTCGGTGAAGCGCAGAACCCGCGCCGCACCATCCCGCGCGCCATCCGTCTGACCTTCTACCGTATCGTGGTCTTCTACGTCCTCTCCGTCTTCCTCCTCGGCATGATCGTCCCCTGGAACAGCCCGGACCTGATCTTCGCCACCAAAAACGCCTCGACCGGTGCCTCTGCCTCCCCGTTCGTTGTTGCCATCAAGCTCTCGGGAATCAAGGGACTCCCCTCAGTCCTCAACGCCTGCATCCTAGTCTTCGTCTTCTCCGCCTCGAACTCGGATCTCTACATCGCCTCGCGGACCATCTACGGACTAGCGCTCGAGGGCAAGGCGCCCAAGTTCCTTGCGATCACCGACCGCCGGGGCGTGCCCATCTACGCCCTCGGGCTATCCGCCTGCTTCGCGCTGCTCGCATACATGAACGTCGCCGAAGACTCGCGGACGGTGTTCAAGTACTTCGTGAACCTCACGACAATCTTCGGTATCCTCACCTGGATCTCGATCCTGGTAACACACATCTTCTTTGTGCGCGCCCGCAGGGCGCAAGGCATCACTGACGCGCAGATGCCGTACGTCTCGCCGTTCGGGATCTGGGGCTCGTGGGGCGCGCTATTCGGCTGCTCGCTCATCGCGATATTCAAGAACTTCAACGTCTTTGTCCCTTCGCCGGAGACCTACGGCACTTGGGACTACAAGAACTTTGTTACCGGGTACCTTGGCATCCCATTGTATCTTATCCTGTTCTTTGGGTATAAGTTCTGGTTCGGGACGAAGGGGTTGAATCCATTGGAGGCGGATTTGTTTACGGGTAAGGATCGCATTGATAGAGAGGAGGAGGAGTTTCTACGCCTGCAGGCGCTGGAGCCGGAGGGCACCGGCGCGAAGAGATTTTATAAGAAATATGTTTCTTGGCTGTTTTAGGGGTAGAGCGGGATGGAGGTGGGGGGTTTGGGTTTTGCTTTAGGGATTGGGTTTCTGTTTGCGGGTTGGTATTGGGGTTCAGCGAGCGGTTTTCATGTAGTGATGGATGGGGAGCGATGGATGGAACTGGGAGGTTATGTAATGTGCTACGTTTTTTCGGGCTGTACACTCTGGACACAAAATGGATGATTATAGCTGGAATTAAGTGTTTATGGATGATTGATTGCTACGGTTTTTCGGACGATGTTCATATCTCGTAGAGTACTCGCGTCTCGGGTGGTTGGGGCTGGCTGTGTGTGACTGTGGCATGGTATAGCACTCACTCACTTGGCTACTCATCTCGATATGGAAGACTTCCAAACAGCGGTACATACCGCAGGCGAACATACCTATGGAGAAGTCCTTTCGGCTCTACCCAGTACCCAGTGCCCAGCACCCACTGCCCAGTGCCCATGTGACCATCAAGGCCGTTGTCCGGACTCCGGAGCCCGGAGCCTGTCCAATATCGCCGCTCGCGTAAGACTGCTACCAGTGTCGGCAGTGCGCGGACTCCGGAGAGAGTATATCGCCGATCGCAGATCTCCATCCACCGCGGAGGGCTTGGGGTGTTGACGTATCACCGCGACGCCGCCGTAGGACTCCAGTTAGGTACTCGCCGGGCTGTAGCTCATACGAGAGAGAGAGAGAGAGAGAGATAGAGAGAGAGAGAGAGAGTCGAAAGTCGAGAGTCGAGACTTCTTTCGCAGGAATGAGTCACTGAATGAAAGTTGAAAGTCGCTGGCAGGACTCAGGATTGGAGAGAGAGAGAGAGAGAGAGTAGAGTAGAGTAGAGTAGAGTAGAGTAGAGTAGAGTAGAGTAGAGTAGAGTAGAGTAGAGTAGAGTAGAGTAGAGTAGAGTAGAGTAGCAACCCGGTGGCGGGATGGCGGGATGGCAGAATGCGCGGTGGTTGGAGTGGCTGGAGGGCCGAGTGATAACTACGAGTACTTACCTACATACCGATGATGTGTGCAATGTGTCGTCAACCGAACCGCGTGGTCATGGCTCCCTGCTCAACGACATATGGCGTATGTATTGGCTAGGTAGGTATTATGCACCCCGCCTTTGCATAATCCCGATGCCGGTATATAGTAACCAGACCTCTCGAGTCTCCAGAATCCAGTTGGCAGTGATCTTATCCGACCACCGAGTCACAAACACAATGCGCCCTTTATGTCCTTTATGTATGCAGGCTTTTCCTACTGTGCTACATACCTCCTCGCTCCAACATATGTAATATGTATATCCTTCCTAGAAACGTCCATCACGGCGGCATTGGTACAATCAACCCTCCAACCCCCAGCCCCGCCCATCTATATACTAGGTAGTAGCTCATACCGATCCCCAAGTTCAACCGGCAGTGCACACTCTGCCCTCCGCGCTCCACCGATTCAACCCCCTCGGTACCACTATCACCGACCCTTCACGATCCTTGTATCGGAAACATACGGTGCCATGTACCTATCGCCCAGCAATCCGTCGGTAATCGATGGCACGCGTCACGCTCGTCACTCGTCACGCTTGGAGAACAAGAAGCCGTGCCGATTCCTGCGTTGGTCTGCTGGCTGCGACTCCACGACTCCACGGTATAGGTAGAGAGAGGAGAGAGGAGACCCGGGTGATATGTAGCCGGCCTCAGCCTGCCTACCTTTCCGCCTGCCTATGTGTTTCACTTTCTGCTCATCTTCGTGAACTTTGCTGGAGACATACTTCCATGACCAACTGTTCAATCGCCCAAAACGAGTGATACCCCATGCCACCATGCTTTCCTGTCCTCCATGTACAATGTAGAGTCAAATGATCTGTATATCCGTTATGGTGTAGTGGCTAGCATCGGCCGCTCTCAAGCAGAGCATTAATCCGGCCAGACCGGGGTTCAATTCCCCGTAACGGAATAACTTCTTCTACTGCCTTGTTGTCCTTTCCGATTGCAATATTTTTTTTGTTGCTATTGCTGTAGGTATATTCATCGCCCCCTCCCCCGCCCCCTCCTCCTCCGCCGCACACAGACACATACAGACGGCCTCACACTCCCCCGCCTTCTCATAGTTACATCCACCCCCCACCCCCCACCCCCCACCCCCCTCGCCCCGTGTTCATTAGTTAGAGTAAACAATATCAACCAAGTGCTCAAATGCTCAACCAAGTGCTCAAGTATCAAGTATCAATAAGTAGGTGCGTAAGTAAACCAGACCTGATACCGATACTGGCCTGTCAACACCGCGAGCTACCTATCCTAGGTATGTAGTAGCCCATCAAGCAAAAGCAGAATCACAAGAAAAAATAAAACCCCAGCCAGTCCAGTCAAGTACAGCACAGTACAGTAAAAACGAAACACCCCCACCGGAACGAGCGACCTCCCTTCCCCCTTCCCCCCCCCCTTCCCCGCCCGCCCCGAAAACAAAACGAAACCGACTCCTATGAATGAGCGACCAAGACGAAACCCCGCTCACTCATCCAGACTGTACTTATGTAGTTACAAGAATGTTAGAACAAGAACAAAAAACGAGAAGAAAACGAGGAAAAAACGAAAGAGAAAAAAAACCCAACCCCTAAACAGTATGCGCAGAAGAAGAAGAAGAAGAAGAAGAAGAAGAAGAAGAAGAAGAAGAAGAAGAAGAAGAAGAAGAAGAAGAAGAAGAAGAAGAGGAAGAAGGAAAGCCCGGCAATGAGAGAAGAAAAGAAAGGGAATGAAAGGAAAGGAAAGGTGAAGAGAAAGAAAAAAAGAAGACGCAATGAGACGTGATTCGGATGAAAATGAGTGTTCAAACCCCCCAACGAAAAGGAACGATGCATGAGTGGCAATGGTCGGTCAGATAAATGCAGATAAATGCAATCAAAAAAAAAACTTTTGCTTCGCCCGTGGTGTAGTGTAGTGCAGAGTGTAAAGCGCCGGAGCCGAACCGAATCCTGTTGTTGTCCGACGTGGCCATCCGCCCGCCGCCCGCCGCCTATAGAGTGGATGGCGGCTCTACTGTCGCCATGTGTGATGCACCCGAGTTGTATCGTAGAGTTCTCCCCATTTTCAATCTAGCACCGCTTGTTGCAATTCCTCCACCAACCCACTCTTCCCCTCCCATGATCTTCACATCCGGAACCGCACCCCCAGAATCCCGCCTCCTCCTCCGCTGTGGCCAATCCCCCCACCACGCTCACTACCGCACTCTCCCCTTCCCCTTCCCCTTCCCTTTGCTCGCTGTCCCAGCAGCCGCGGACTCCCCACCCGCAGCCGCCCGTTTCGAACTTCCCCCCGCATCCTGCTTCCGCGCATTCTCAATCAACATGGTGAGCTGACTCTTCTGCCTAGGTAACACCGGACGGACGGGCGCAGTTGCAGGCTGCACCGGCAGGCCATCATCCGCCTTTAGCGGCACGACCTCGTCGACCACCAGGACATTCTTTCCCTTCCCCTTCCCGCCGGCCCACGACGAAGTCGCCGTGGCCACCACATTCCCCGACAGCGCTGTCGTCGCCTGGGCCCTGACCACGCGCGAGAGCATGTCCTTCTGCTTGGCCTTCTTGTCGATATATTTTGTCCGGAAGTCCGGATCGACGATCCAGCCGCCGCCGCCTGAGGATGATGCCGACTCCTTTCGCTTCGGCGGCTTAAGCTGTTCCCGTTCCACCGGCTTCTCGGTGACCACCGGTAGTGACCGCGGCGGCACCACTTCCACCACATCCTCCACCGGTGACTCGGCCGCATTGCTACTTTTGCTGCGTCGCATCGGTGGTGCAAGTCCTCGTGGACGGTTGGCTCTCCCGACTGCTGATGTCGGCTTCTTCCCGCCGCGACGGGGTTTCGCACGGAGCTGTTCTGCTTTTGCGGCCGGTTTCGTGGTGCTGGTTTTCGACGAGTGTGACGACTGAGAGGCTTCCGACTTGAAGCTAGTAGATACCCATTCGCTGGCCTTCGATTCTTGCACGGTGTCTAATGTCATCATGGGGTTAGATTGTCGCGGGGATGGCGACGGTCGTAATCTCTGGGGTGATGGCGGAGGCTGTTGTAGGGGTGGTTGTTGTGGGGGTAGTTGTTGTGGAGGTGGTGGTGGTGGTGGTGGCGGTTGTTGCCGTTGTTGTTGTTGTTCTTGTGGTGGTGGTGGTGGTGGTGATTGCTGTTGATCATTTCGTTGTTGTTGTTGGCCGACCGCCGCTGCATGCAAGCGTACCGGTGAAGCCTGCATCTGTGGGGCCGGCACGGGTGGCGAGGGTGGCGGATTGTGCAGGGACCTCTGTAACGACAGAGTAATTTCGGTGAGCTGGGGTTGCTTCGACAGGAAAGAGTGGCTCGCGAATCCGCGCTGTATCGAGTTTGGAACGGGGCTCGGTGGCGGGGTAGGCGGACACTCGATGTCGAGCGAGATCCGGGGTGTCAACACGAGCGCATCGGCACCTGCACCTCCCGGAGGTGCAGGCTGGCCCCGCTCCGACATGGTCCGTATGTCGACTGGCCGTGTGCTGCGGAATCGTATTCGCCGAGGGATCAGGTCGTCTTGCCGGTGTATCCGCATGAACATGGCCGACACGGCTTCCCCGGTGAATGGCCGGTCGTCCCGCTGGATGCTCCACAGCCGCCAGAACAGGTTCTCCAATCGCCGGCCGTTCTCGACGACATCTCTGTTTACAAAATAGACTGTACGGACGGCAAATGTCAGCTATGTCAGTCTGGCTGGCGAGATAAGACGCGGCAATGTATAAGGCATGTGTATGCAGAGTACTGGATATCAAATCGGTTTGACATTCGGAGGCCAGATAGGGAACGGAACGTGAGAAGCACCTCCGGAAAATGGGTTGCAGGAGAGATATGGAGGAAAAAGAACATTGGATGTTGATTTGCGGTTTAATATCTCGGGGCCTGCAGGTGGCAACCACGGGCGAAAAAGACTTTTTTTCGTTCTTTCTTTTCTTTTTTGTTTGTAGAGTAAAAGCAGAAAGAAAAAGAAAAAGAAGGAAAGAAAGAAAGAAAAGAAAGAAAGAAAAAAACATTGAATATATTTCGCGGTCCCCCTTCCTCGGGTATACATACCCTTCCACAATTGGCTCAAAACTTCGGAGGTAAATACATCGAGCCGTCGCAAGCTATCGGGGACGGAGGCCTTGTTGGTCACGATACCGCCGATTGGCTTCATTGAGTAGCACTTTGAAGGAAGGACGGTGCTTGCTGGGTTTAGCCGCTATGTTTGTTGATTGCGGCGACGTACAGCGAGATTTTTTTTTCTTCTGCAGCGAGCGGCGGATGGTGTGCCCGGAATGACAGGTTCGAGTGCACACGAGCAAGGAAAGAAACGGCGGCGGTGGAGGTGGTGGTGGTAGTTGTGGGTGGTGGTGGTGGTGGTGGTAGTAGTGGTGGTGGTGATGGTGGTGGGGAAACGAGCGGAAGGGCCCGAAGCGGGACTTGATGAGAAGGAGTTGTTCGCGGGGGAGACGTGGAGAGAAGGAGAAGAGGAGAAGGAATGAGGGGAAGGAGGAGGAGGAGAAGGAGAGGGAGTAGGAGAAGGAAGAGAAGGGGGAGAAGGCCGAAGAGAGAAGCGGAAGAGAGAGGACGAGGACGAGGACGAGGACGAGGACGAGGACGAGGACGAGGAGGTAAGAGATCGAGAGGTAGGTAGGCAAGTACTTTGATTTAGTTCGATACTCTAGTTCGATAGTTAGATAGAGCTGAGAGCGAGCGAGCGAGCGAGCGGTTGTACTCCACTACTGGGACATAAGTCGTGGGTCTTAGTATAGCGCGGAAAGAGTAAGCAACACTTTAAACCAACTAGCCTTCCCTCTTCCGCCACTCCTGGGCTGCTGGGTTTTGCTGGCTGGCTTGCGTCGATTCTGGACACTCTTTCCTTCGGGACGCGATGATGGCTGCGGACGGGGGGGAAGGTAGGAGACGGCGCGGTGAGAGCGCGCGAGTGTGTTGTTTTATGGTCTGGCTGGACTGCGCGAGACAAGAGTCGAAGAGTGGCAGAGTGGCACAGACGAACAGTCGCGGAGTCGTAGAGTCGAACAATCGAACAGCCGAACAGTCGCAGAGAAGAGTCGCAGAGTCGAAGAGGCGGTCGGTCCAGTCGGCCATTCCGTGGCGGAGAGTGTGCACCAGCAAGCATCCGCCCCCTCCCCTCTCCCCCAGACGGCCGGGTTTCCATTTGCTTCAAGCGCGCGACGGAAGGGCCCCTCCACCACTCAATAACACTCAGCCAGCCAGCCAGCCAGCCAGCCAGTCCAGTCTCGCTCCCATGCTCCCTCCCTCCCTCCCTCCCTCGCTCCCTTGCCCCCACCGCGTGCTGGCTGGGGGGGAGGGGGCGTGTCCGGATAAAGCAGACTTCCAGAAGCGACTCGGACGGTTTTCCCTCCTTCTGCAGCAGCGCCTTCCTCCCTCCCTCCTGGTCCGCCTGTCCCCCCCCCCGAACTGCCTAGAGTACCCACCGTACCGTATGCTGCGCTCGAGCCCTGCCTGCTTGCTGTCGGCCAACTCCTTCTTCAACGTTTCTTTCTCTGCTCGCTCGCTGACTGCTGCATGCTTGCTGCTTGCTGGATACTGGGGTTCTCTATGTAGAGTACTCTATGTACATACTCCACATACATCTACAACCTCAAAACGCTACTCTAGGTGAAGACCTAGGCAAGTATCTACACGTGTACTAGAGCATCGTATTCTACACCCCCGGCCCCAACGTTACCGATGTCCAGCGAATCGAATCACCGCTTCCCTTCCCCATAGTTGTGTACCCATCCCCATCCCCATCCCCAGAGACCCTGATCCCTTCAAATCACTCAGAGAACCCCACCGAGACCGCGGCGTCGTCGTCGAAGCCACACCGGAGGATATGTAGCAGCCTTCCCTGTCCTTCTTTCTCTGTGTTGTAACTTGTTGTCGTTGTGGCAAACAGGCCAGCAAACATGCAGCAGTGAGAAAGAGAAGGAGAAGGCAGCTGTCTGTATGGACTCACTCAACCCTACCTACATACCAGGTATGTAGAGTACCTAGATCGTAGTTACCGGTAACTAGTAGGGGCCAGTAGGCCAGTGGGCCACCGTTCCTGAGGAAAAGAGGCGGCGTCAACTTTTCAAGTGAAAAAAACGCACAGGGATGGGGGTGTTTCCAAAGCGAGGACGCCGAGGAGAGAGTGGAGAGAGTGAGTGAGTGGAGAGACCATCGCCCTGTCGACAACGAATCGTGGTTGATGGCCAGGCAAGTAGGCAGCAGCTGCTGCGGCGGCGGCGGCTGCTGCTTCTACGTACAAAGAACAACAAACAGAAATGAGCACGAGGAAACAAGAAGAAGAAGGCACTATGGTTACTCTACATACTCCAAGTTTTGTGCTCAGACTGCAAGTCTACAAGCCCACAAGTCAAGTCCGCACGTCCGCAACGTCTGCTGCTGCGCACTTCAAGCCTCAAGCCTCAAGGAAGGCATCCGACCACTCGGGGCGCGCGCACTCACGGGAAGCGGAAGAGGTGGATGCGGAATTCGATATCTAGCTACATATTTGGCGTTGAAGCCGGCGAGAAAAAGCAAAAAAAAAGACGAAGAAGGAAGAAAACTCTTGCCTGCCAAACCGTCGTGACTTTTGCCCCAGTCATCCAGTCATCCAGTCGCCCAGTCGCCCAAGTTGCCTGGTTGTTTGGAGTAGCTATGAGTAGCTATGAGTAATGTACTTACCTAGGCGTGTAGGCGGGCGCGGCGCGGCGGCGGCGACGACGCGTGGCATGGAGACGGATCGGCCGTCGCAGTTACTGTGGTGACTGGTCTGTATCTTCATATAGATATCTGCTAGGCATGCAGACTACAAGCCGCACGCACCTATGCGAAGTTTTGTTCTTGTTCTTGTTTCTTGGCCGCGGCTCTCGAGTCCCGAGTCTTGGGTTTTGAGTCTCGATGGCGAAACCCGCCGCCGCCGCCCACCAGCAGAACCGGCCTACCCGCCTACCCGCACAGTCGCAATCCCGCCCGCGCACCCGCAGGACTGCCTCGAGATCGAATCGAATCGAATCGAGTGGAGAAGCGAGGGTTAACTACGGGGAATGTATCTATACTTGGTAGATACATAGAGTATGTCGGCCGCAGGTGACCGCCCCAACCCTTGAAGAAATGTAAATCGGCGTCTTCTCCCAACTTCCCAAGTTAGGGTACTTTGTACATTTCAAGGTACATGAGTTGCGTGGGTTGCGTGGGTTGCCATCCACGTGCAGGCTCACACCACACAGGTGTGGTCACGCACACGGGACCGCCCCGGATGGCGGATAGTTCGTAGTTGGAGGTTCGTGGGGTATGATTTGTTTTTCTTCTTCCCTACTCACTTTACTGGTGGTTGGTCTTTTCGTTCCTCCATTGACATTGACATTGACATTGACATCGATAACCATCCATCCATATCCCATCCTATCCCATCCCCGACTGAAACCCCCACACCCCAAACGGGGACAATGTTGAGAGAACGCAGAGATTCCGCCTACCTACTAGGTATGTAGAAGCACAGGATGTCGGGACGGACAGAGGACAACCCTGAACTCCCCCTCCCCCACTTCGCCGTTTCAGGTGAGTCTTCAGGTGAAATCGCCAGTACCGTACCCTACGTGGCAGGTTTCCCCCTCCCTCGAGGAAATGCGAGGACACACAAACTGCCGTACCGTGGATACTGTAGATACATGGCTCCTTGAAAGCGCCGTGAACGCTGACAACGCTGAGAAAGCTGAGAAAGCTGAGAACGCTGAGAACGCTGAGAACGCTGAGATCAATGTTGAACGCTGCCTCAACAACCATAATAACAAACGAACTCTTGGGCAAAAAAACAAAACAAATAAACAGTCAAAACAAAACCAAAACAAAATAAACAAAATAAACAAAATAAACAAAATAAAGCCTTAACCCGAGGCTCCGCTCCGCCCTCCTCCGCGGGTTTCCATGTCTACCCATCCCTTGTAGCAAAAGTAGAGTGTGTATGTACCTTGATAGTTGCGGGGAAGTATAGTAACTACTATAACTAGCCGATCCAGCGTACGGGGCGTGCGGGCAAGCGGGCAAGCGGGCAAGCGGGCGGGCGGACGGGGGGCGGACGGGCGGACGGGCTGATGTACGGGCTGATGGATGGAAAGGAAAGGATTGTGTACCTATTCGATTTTAACTCGTTCCGGAGCCGAGACCTGCGATACGCGATGCGGAGCTGCCGGAGCTGCTGGAGATGGGCTGGATTTGACTAATGTACCTACATACCGTAGGGAACTGGGAAGTCCAATCGAGAAGGCTTGAATGGCAACTTCTAGATATTATTTAAGTATGTACTTTTATACTTGTGTACAAGAGTATGTACAATACAAATGCGTGACGACGGAAAAGCTTAGATACCTATGGCATAGCTGGCCGCTGGCCAACTTACTGCCACCTAAGCACACGGGCGTGGTATATACTAGGTACTAGTATACTATACATAGACACCCGGGTACAATGTCAAACTTTAAAGATGTGCGTGTATACCTGGTAGAGTACGTGTAAAGAACGTGGATAATTCTGAATTCCGAAGGCACGAGTACACTACTACAGAGTACAACGATGTGACGAAGTGACGATGTGACAACTGGCGCCGCGGCGGCAAAGCAAGGCGGAAACTTATCTGCTTTTTCCCCGGCACTCTGTGGGCTGATCACTTGTGGGCTGGTCAAGCTGGTCACTGGTGGGCTGGTTCAAGTTGGGCTGACTCGATCAGCACTTTTCGCATTTCCAGCTCCTGCCCAGTGGCCAAATTCAAAGTATTAAAACTCGAGGAGCCTGGAGTCGAGGGCAGCCGCCGCCGCCGGAGATATCTCCGCCCAGCGTCCAGTGTCCAAGATGGCGCATCGATCATTGATCATCGATGTTTGAAACTTTGAAATTCATGAATATGCTTACATCTGTAATCCACCGATGCATCGATACATCGACAAATGGATGCCCACAATCAAAGATCAATCCAACAGGAATGGGAATGGCCGTTTCGGTCGGTCGTGACTGTACCAACACACTTACGTACTCGGTATGGTATATACAAGCATTCTCCAACGAAACAGAAGACCTTGATGACTGCCCCTCTCCATCGTAGGTACACATCTCGATTCTCGATTCTCGATTCTCATCGTGTTTATACATAGCTTCCTATAGAATACTCTAGGTACCCGCCTTCCCGCCATGTATAGTACCAAGTATATAGACACGGCGACGAGAAGCCGTGGGGCATAACCAAGTACTTTCGTTTGTATCCCACGGGATACGAATTGCATAATGTGGCGCCCACTGTGCCCCCCGCTGTGCCCCACCCCTCACCCCCGCTGTGCCCTTACCCCCGCTGTGCCCCCACTTAAGCCTTACTCAACCCCCCCCCCCCCCCCGCAAGTTTCAACCTCGAGATCGGGAGAGCGTTTGTGCGTTTGTGGATACATTATACATACGACCGAGTTCGCCGGTCGCCGGTCGCCGGTCGCATATGTATCTGGGGGGAGTGCGCAACAAGGAGAGGGGTCCGGGAGGGCTCAGGGCAGGCAAGGTGGTCTGAACAACAGTTACTGTGGATAGCTTTGACAAGGACCGGGGGTGCCGGAATCAGTCTCAGTAACTCAGTGCATTTTGCCCATCCAGGCTCCGCGTCCGCGTCCGTGTCCGCGTGCATGTGACAGGTAGATATTCTGTTCCCGTCCGGTGTCAAGTGCGCAAACGTACCATCGTTACTTAGGTACTTTGGTACTCTGCGGGGTTCGGTTGCACCTTTGCACCTATCGTATGTACCTAGTACCTAGTACCTAGTACCAGGTATATAGGCCGTTGTTTGTGGCGGGCCTCCGGAGTCCGGTTATGTACATGCGAAACGCCGATCGGCCGCCCGATCGACCGACCGAGGGAGGGAGGGGAACTCGGCGTCCACTGCCTAGAATCGAGAGGTCATGTGATTTCGCAGAGGGTGGGGGAGTCTCGTGATGGGGCGGATCTCGTGGGGGCGGATCTCGTGGAATCTCGGATGTGCTAGTAGAGCGGTGCCGCAAAGTCGTACGTATCCTTACGTACGTCGCGGGCGGGAGGGGGCGGCAGGGCGGCAGGGCGAATGGGGAGCGGCAGGGCGAACGGAAAGGCCGCTGTGAACTGAACTTGAATGAGAAGCGGAGCTGCGGTCCTGCGGAGGAGCCTGGGGTCACTGGTGCTGGGTCGCCATTAAGATTTGGTTAGTTAACCCCGCGCCAAGCTCCCGCCAAGCTCCAGCAGAGCCTCCACCACTCTACCACAGCAACGCTCAGCAACGCTCAGCAGCAGCGCTTGTCACGGACCACGGTGCGTCGCTTGCAACTTGGAAGACCTGAGATCTACCAACATCAATGATACCTCACTAACCAACATCTTCAGAAAACCGGAGTTCCGAACGTTCGACTCTCCCCCCTAGTCCGGTTGAATGGACTCCGAAATGGCACATACGCTGACACCGAGCAGATTGTGTCTCCCGAATACGGTCGATACTTTTTTTGCTGTTGGAGGCGCGCGCCGGAAGTCACTGCGCGCGGCAATGGAACATGGATCCGCGCGGAGTCAAGGCACATGGCATGGGGACTCCGGGGGGAAGGGGAAGGGGAAGGGTGCCCCAGCAAGTCAAATCAAGCAATTCCCCCCAGGAAGCCGTTGCTACTCTAGAGTACTCTACATACTATCAGCTGTCGCCCTTTTTCCCTGTGAAAAAAACACAAAGCCCCAGATCGAGCTTCCCGACATTCACCGACATTTTTTATGTAGCCGGCCTTTTCTTACGGCCGACCGCTACCTGTTCAGGGGAATACTGTTGAGCGGAAATACCGGTACTCTCTCTCTCGCTCTCTCTCTCTCTCTCTCCAACCTGGCACAGAGCCCTATGACCCTCGACCTCGATGATCGAAGTCTTGGTACCCGACTCCCAGGTTTTCCCCAGCTACATACGGTATTCTACTCTACAGCTCATTTGCCGAGCTGGTCAGCAGATCATGACAAAAACCACTTGTACCGAATCAACGTTCAGGTGATCGTGGCGAGGACAGAGATCGGCGGGGATTGCGTGCGTGCGTGTGTTCGTGCCTGCAGCATCCTCCCCTTCTCCCCCACCCCAAGGGAATGAGATCGATGAAACATATTGGTCCTCGGTTACTGGTGACGAATAATGCAACACGGCAGGAGCTGGAGCTGGAGGAGGAGCAGGAGGCGTTTGCTGCTGCTGCTGCCGTGTTGTCTTACTTCCGCTACCTTACGTACGTACGGCTGGGTCGGCCACGCCGCAAGCACGCAAGATCGTTCGAAAAGGTCAGACAATTCTTGCCCCTCTAGAGTCCCTACTCTACATAGCTACCAAAGAGCATTCACGGATGGATATTCCGGGTTGCATACAGCTACCTACGACCCACTGGTGACTGGTGACTGCCCAGGTGAGCAAGTAATTTGGGAGTGAATGCGGCCGTGATCATCTTGACTGACTGACTTACCTATGTGCCGAGCAAACATGTACCTAACTAATACATTCTAAATACACATGTACATACCGGTAGCTACTATACTCTTTCGACAGGCCTGGCGATTTCTCCGGCGCCACCCATGGCTGGTGCGGAACATCAGCAGCCACAGGAAGGAAAGAAGCAAGTCCACGCAGAGACTGCTGGCCGTCCAGTGTCACACAATGATAACGTGCAAGAAGAACGATTGCTCGCTCGAGTCAACGGCCAGATAGGTTAACCGACCGCGCAGATGGATGCAGTCGGGGGGTTAACTACTACTACTACCTACTACTAATAGCCCGCTTCCCGCTGCATTATCGTCGAACGCTTCGGTCATGGTCATGGTCATCGGCTCGAAGCCTGAAGGAGAAGCGGCACTCGGTGTGGTGAGAATAGATCTGTAGATTCTCCACGCCCTCCAGGCTGCGGATTCCAGTCATGGCCATGGCCATGGGCTCGAAGGAGAAGCGGCACTCGAGTCTCGGTGTGGTGAGAATGGATATCTACCTACCGAGCTCCACCTACTCCTCCAGACTTCAAACGACCGAGGCATTCTCGGATGTACCTTTTGCACACACCCACGCCTCGATCGCGCTCCGAATATCAGATCAGCCCCTAAGCAAGCAGACAGGCAATGAGCCAACAAGCCAGCTGAGTTCGTCCACCACGCCCCATTGCCCCATGCATATGCGCATGAGCGCTGTTCCATCCCCCTTGAACCTTCAACAACCTTCACCGTGGAGTCGGGAGTACCCAAAAACGGAGGCCGTAACTGCATATATCTATACATAAGCTGTGTTACTCCATGTATCCCACACATAGTTACATAACTACTCTACACGCTTGTATGGGAGCATAAGCGCGGAAGGAGGTGGGAGCATAAGCAAATGCGCCGCCACCAGAACCACCTTCCAAGCCCTTAGGCGAGCATTTCCATCGTCGATGCATCGAATCATTAATATGTCGACGGAAACGGAAAGAAAAAAACGGTATGCATGTTCGGTGTGTGTATGCGTGTGTGGGTGGTTTTAGGTTCCGCATATAGGAGAATAATAGAGGGAAGTGCTGGTACATGGCTCTCGTTCGGTTCTGTTCGTCCGAACTAGGTAATACATAGAAATTTTGAAGCCAGCTGAACCTGAGGATCGTGGAAGCACTTCAAACTTCACAACTTGCAAACGTGCGAATGCTTTGCTGCGCCAATTTGCTGCTCCTATATGTATACAAGTACTCTACTCTATACGTAGTAGATCCCGCGCGGAAACCCAGCCCGGCGAAGAAGAAGGTAGTTAGTTGGGGCGTTGTCGATGTATGTACAAACGCACAGACCGCAGGACGCATCATGCACCATGTTCCATAGTCGTCCACACACACATTCCCGACCGCGAACACCATCAAAAATCATCACCATCACCATCACCTCTACCACACCTCCACCATCTCCCCCACAAAACAGCACCATCGCTATCCTCTCTCCTTGTTGGGTTTCAGATGCCTCGAGCCCATCACCATCACCATCACCATCAAACCATCTGATGCGTGGCCCCCGTATCTATTCCATGCCGGTACATAATTGTGCTTCGAGCTTCGGTGAAAGTGTTTGGATAAAAGACCGAAAACTTCTGATAAGCGAATTGGCTGACATCTTTCGCGATGGGAATGTCCCCCCTCCCCCCATATTTACGCTCTTATGCATGGAGTTGTAGTTGTCTATACATATGCACTTCTCCTCACATCCATCCACCATTCATCCATCCATCTGGGGCGAATTGTTCGGGGAAAGATGTCCAGCATCCTATCCTCCAATCGCGACTGCATCATCCTCCACCTCCTCCTCCTCGTTGTTTGGTTTACTCATTGACTATCACTCGCTTTGCACTAATATGGTTAACGCCGCGCGTAGTAGGACTAGCGTATGTCCAATAGCATACCCCCTCATACAAAATACCCGACTTTTCAAGTCCTACTCCTCTCCACCAACCACCAATAATTTAATTTTGAAACCATAGAACCATTCTACACATACTACTCTACCATTCTATAGTTTCAAAATAAATTCTTTTTGTTGTGGTGGAGAGGACTAGCGGTCGGCGCTGAGGGTCATTTTTCGTCCCTCGCTTGCCCGTTAAAGCGTCCGGCACTATAGTTGCCTTCTTTTCACCCACCACCACCACCAGCAGCACCACCACCACCACCACCGCGAATTCCACGATCCCGATAATACATAATAATAATATGGCCGCGTCACACACACCCTCGCGGTTGTACCTGACGGAAAGAGTCACAAGCGAACCCGTCCGACCGTCCGACCGACCAACCCGCAGTTCCGCATCCGCTAGCGATGTGTTCGAGATTGAAATATATCGTAACTAGAGTACTGGGGTCGGGTCGGCCAAGTGGGTAAGGTAAGTGAGTTCGTGATAAGGTGCCAGCGGCAGAAAAGAAAGAAAGAAAGAAGGAAAAAAAAGTAGTGCCGACACTGGACAGCTACAACTTCTTTGACCAGTAGTAGATCTCACACGTACATACGTGCCTACCTACTTAGCACCGGTATGTACCATACTATAGGTAACCTCCTTCCCGGAAGTTCCTTCGTATGAGGTATGTGTGTATGCATATGTACCCGCAAACGGACCCATGGGCCATGGGCCATACCCAGTCCTCCGGAAAGTAATGCATCGCGACTAACGTTTGAAGCTATCCACCGTTTATCTTGTACTAATATCATCCCAACATCTTCAACCAAACCAAACTACAAAATCCCTCTACATAACTACTCTAGGCGGCCTTAACTAATTCCTTCACCGTCTGTATGGGGTAGGTCCTGTCCAGGCTGTCCTGTCCGTCAGTTCAGTCAAATATCATGGTCATGGTATGTAGAGTAGGAAGTTACCGTCGTCGAAAAAAACTTCCTCCAATCCCCCGGGAAGTTGGAACCCATGCCATGTGAGAGTTTCAAATCCGCCAGCTTCCTTCCTTCCTTCCTTCGACGGAAAGAAAGAAGGTCGAAGAAGCCATCGCAGGTGTCCGCCGACGCTACGGTATGTGTGTATGGGTTTACCGCGAACGGGGCTCCACTACACAAGCACTAAAATACCCTCCTTCCTTCCTTCCTGCACTCTAAGCGGGAGAGCTAGTGGACTGAAACATTCCAGTCTCGAGCGAGCGAGCGGCCGACCAAGAAGAAAAAAACTTCGCCAGTAGTTTGGTACAGAGTTGTGGTAACGAGATGTGGCTGGACGGCTGGACGGCTGGGAGGACAGTAGAGTACTAGAGTGCCTACGGTATGTACTGTTAGGTTTTCACGATTCATCACTCACCCTCACAACAACAACAATAACAAGGCATTGTCGGTCGGTACGGAGAGTAGATGACCCATTCTCACCACGGATCCGCCAAGGCCGAAGAGGAACTGTCCGTCTGACTGGAGAAAATAGAGGAATCTCCCGGGGGCTGTAGGTAGAGTAGAGTAGAGATGTCAGTCAGCATCGGCTATCTGGGTACTCTACCGGGCTAACTACCTAGCTGGAGTAACCGGGGTTTCCGATGTATGTACCTACTACCAGGATGTTGTGTACTCTACTTATGTACTCATAGTAGAGTATGTATCATGGTAGAGTGTGTATATAGGTGTGTAGATAGACACCCCGTGGGCCGAGGAATCCCCCATCCGTCCGCTCCAGCGCGCTCTCGGTGGGTTACATATGGGTTTTCGTGAAGCGTAAGGTACCTAGAGTACTCGTGTATGGACATACATGTCTACTCACATAATTCCTCGAGTATGTATACCGGTAGTAGATTGACCACGTCGGGAACAGAAAGATATCCGCACTGACATGATGCTGGTGTGTTGGTCGCTGCCGGAAGTCGTTCAATCTCCGCCGTATACATACGTAGGTAGGTATGTAAGAGGTAGTAAGTACATACCAACCTGACTGGACCTGACCTGGCCTGGCCACGGTTGGGCGTGTCTTTCTGGTGTCTAGTTACTCCGGAGGCCTACATAGGCACATACATACATTCCGGTATTGTATAGCATGTAGAGTACACAATACAGAGTAACTATTTCCCCGAGGTTTATTACTATACCCAGAGTACAGACATACACACATACTATACATTCATACCTAGCGTAGCTTACAATCTCGATGGAACGCCCGTAACTGGCTCCCCTCCCAAGCCTCCCCCTCCTTCTTGCGTGGGATGCTGCGGTGATGGCCGTTTCGTTTGCAGTGGCGGAGTCAGTCGCCCGGGAGTGGCGTTCGCGGATTGGACGGAATGCGTGCTGCTGCTGCGTGGGTGGCGGTTGGTGAATATACCGGAAAACGTATGGTGGGAGATCGCGAGGTGTGCACTGTGCACTGTGCACTGTGGGCTCGTTTGTGTTCATGCAAGGCGGTGGAGATATATTACATACTGAGGCGAAGCGATAGCGTTTCATTTCATGTAACCATGCACGTCTTTGAGGGGTTGAATGGGATCACCATTTCCGAGTTCTTTACACAACATGGAGTATCAACCGTAGAAACAACTGTGCCATTCCTCATCAGCAGGCTATCTATCTATGTAGAAAAGCCCCAAGATGAAAGCCTACAAAGAAACGGAACTAAACCAGACCAGACCAGACCAAAGCAGAACGCCCAAAAATGCCACCGCCCATCAGAAATGCTCGCAAACAGTAAAACGAAACGGGGGTATAAAAGGCACACAATCACTCCGTCGGATCTGATCTTCGCCGCTTCGGATTAGGCCTCTTGGAGCTGAGAGTCTCCAAGCGCCTCCCTATTCTCGTCGCTGTGGTCGTGATCCTTCTCGAGCTCGGTTATCAAATCATTAACAACCTGCTTAAGCTCGCTGACCGTGTAGCGAAGCATGTGGTCTTTCGAACAGCATCGCGCAATGATGCTCGCCAGCTTGTCCCCCAGTAGTAACTTCTTGATCGCCGGCAGGCAGTCGTCCTTCCTCGTGAGATCGCTCAGTACGAAGGCTCTCTCTGACAAGGTGCCAAACTTGTATAGTAGCTCGAGTAGGATAACACCGAGCGCCCAGACGTCCACCGCCGGGTGTCTTCCACCTTCCGGGGCAGAGTAGAATGGCGTTCCTATAGGAGAGCCGGACGCGACCAGTAGAGGGCTCGGGTTGTTGTCGATGGCCGCGACAAGACCGAAGTCGCCGATTTTGGGGACTACGACACTGCCTGGATTCGCGCAGCAGTCCATGGGTCCGCCGATGTTGAGAAAGACGTTTCCTGGCTTAAGATCGCGATGGACGACGCCTTGAGAATGGAGGTACTCGACACCGGAGACAATGCCGCGAAAGATCGTGAGCGATGCCAGAGGGCAGAAGCAATGGCGGTCGTGGATCTTGAAGCCACGGGGTGAGATGTAGTGGGTCAACGAGAGCGGGTGTAGCGACATCGTGATGTGTAACGTGATGGTGGGGCCGTCAATACGAGTGCCGCGGCGCACAAGGGCGCCGGAACCAGTGTCGCCATCAGCGAAGATGGATGTTCCGGTCTCTGTTGCGTTCTCGCCCATGTCCAAAATAGATGCGGCTTTGTCCCCGGTGACCGTGGTGCCCATATTTCTTCCCTTGGAGTCCTCGCTAGCGCTGCCAAGTTTCGAGCACTCGAACAAGATGTGCGATGTGTCCACCTTACTGTCATCATTGGCACTGTAAGAATCGTCTTCGAATGTAATGTTGACATTTCGGATTTCGAGTCGGCCCCGTGCTTCGTTACTGGCGGCTGACGATTCATCGAACTCATTGACTGACGATTCTGCATCATCCGAGCTCTCGTCTATGCTCTCCTCGGCGATCGGCGCGAGACCAGGGGCGGCGGCAGATGTGGGGACGGGGGCGGGAACGGGCGGGATTGGGGCGACAGTATTACCGCCGTGCTCGATCCAGCTATTGAAGTACCGGACAATGTTCGTATGGTCAAGCCTCGCCAGCGTGCGTATCTCGTTAAGAATTTTACTCGCTTCGAGACCTACGCCACCGAGAGCAGAGAAGTCATTCGCCTTCAGGCGGATCTTTTTGAGAGCGTAACAAGCCTTTTGAGTATGTAAGTTTCCGGTATTGTGATGGAATGGAGTGGAGTAAAAACCTGATCCAGCTTGTGTACGACCTTGTACACCTCACCGAACCCACCTCTGCCAATCATCTCGTGCTCGTGGTATTCTTCCGTGAGCTTTGACTGCTTAAAGGCCTGAGGGTGTCCCGCCGCCGCCGGATCCGCTACCAAAGCTGCAGTTCCATTGGCCGGACGAAGTAGCGAGGTCCCTTCGGGTAGAGACACACTCCTCCTGAGGAACTTAGGGCCTCCGAGTCCAGAACCAAGAGCGGAACCACTTCCATGCGCTACGGCTGGAACCTGCGTACTCGTGCCGGACGCCACCATCTCCGTCCCTGTTGCGACACCTTGGAGCCTCAACTGGTCCAATTTTTCCTGGGCATAACTCTCGGCAGCAATCATGTAGGCAGTTCGCTGCGAATCGTACTGTGGAGATACAGCATCTTCGAAGTTCAAGCCGACGGTTCCGAACTGGCTCGATAAGTCCTCGAATAGCTCACGCCTTGTCTCGGGAGACTCTCCTTGGTACCTCGTTTGAATCCAAGAGGCGACGATCGCACTTAGGGCGATCTGTGATTGAAGGTTTGGGTCAAGACTTCTAGTCGAGACTTCGACTGAATCGTTGATTATCGATTCCGTGGCCAGTGAGTCTTTCGAGACCGAATCATGCACCAGTGACTCACCATCTACATCGGTATTGTCGAGTACCGGTACTTCCTTCGCGTCATCGGCATTTCGGGAATTGGGCCTCGGTCGACTCGGGCTGCGATCGCGCACTGCTCCAGAAGAATTCATTTGTCTCGAAGAAGATGCGGCGAAAGTTGGGGTAGGGGATAGTTGGATGGAAAGGGACGAGGTTAAAAGAGTGTGGAGGGGGAAATTGTTGGGAGGACGGAGGTGAAGGGTGGAGGAAAGCAGCTCAAGCTCTTAAGGTGACGATATTTGAGTCGTTGCACATGAAGAGACCAATCACTACTTTCAAGGTGGATGATGTCGTTCGCGATGTCGTTCGTGATGTCGTCGGTGGTGGTTGTCGAGTCGAGAGTGGTAGTTTTGGAGTGGTTGATGATGTCGTCGATTAGTCGTGCGGGCACCACGAGTCAACGGATGTTCGACGCAGCTTCTCAGAACGTGTTCAAGATTGTTGTGATGTTCGTAGGCACATTAAAAGTCTGGATGATGAGTTAGAAGCTATAATGATGCATATACTGGTCGCGGGGACACAAACCGTTAATGTAGGACGTACCTCTGGAAATCGCGATTGCCGCCGGAGAGCACAGAGAAGGAAAGACAATGGTCATGAATGGTCAAGATCACTTGATACCCGCCGGGAGCCTGCGAGACGGCATGAGGAGGACAGATGCGATTGTTCGAGTAGTCAGAGGAGGAACGAAGACGAAACGATAGAAGGTTGAGGAATCGCGGAGTAAGGTAAACCCTGCGCGTGCATGATCACATTATCCACGTATAGCATCTAGCCATATGTGGACTGGCCCGGCATGAGTAAGCAGGCAGACCGGGCCATGTAGAAGATCTCCATTTTACGTTGCAGAATTGGCAACTTCGATCGAACTACTCTAAACATTGCCTCACTAGGATCCTGTCTGCGGGGAATTTCCCGCAGCTTTAATATCCCCGGCCTCGGGTTCTGGAGATCTGAACCAAGAAAATCCGGCATTTCGGGACGAAGCCTGATCTGCACGCGACATGTCGACTCTCCGGTCATGACGATCTACATGCGTATGGGTTTCTTCCGGGTTAGGGTTCTCAAACCGGTATGCTGCCGTTAATCGTTTGACTGAATATGTACGTCGGTGGCTGGTGCTGACGAAAACAGGGCGGTGCAATGCGGGTTGCTGTTGAAAAGAATGCGGAATCAGGGTCATGGAGCGGCAAAATATCCACTCCCGATGAGCGGAATTGGGAGCCGGAAGCATTGTTCATGTACTCTAGATATCTGTAATTATTCATTTTTCTCAACGAATGTCAAAATCCTCCCACGAATGATGGCCACTTCGATAAGATCAAACATCACTAACCGGTGAAGGCTCCTAGATGCCAGAATTATTCTTGCAACTTGTAGTACTTCATTTTTGCAGAGCAGACCGCCAAACTCACTCGACACTGGACGCTGGCGGGAATTGTGGTCGTTAATCGCACTGGGAAAGTGGATTGTAACGACGACTTCATCATCAAATATCACCCGTATTGCAACTTATAAGCTAGTTTGAATCTGGTCGTATCAGGAAAAGTTCCTAAATACACAACTGACTCCTCACATTCATAGAGATAGCTATTTGACTAAGTATTTAATAATGAGAGGCAGTCCGCACAGCTATGAATTCTGACCAAATAACGACGGGCACGATTAGGCGCAGGGCTGCCCTGAGGATTCTTCCCGATTCTCAATGGTGCGGCTTGTTTCCGCCAAAACTCAGAGTCTCTGAGGAGCAATGATCTATCCTATCATTGTAATCGTCGTAGGCCACCTTGGGCGACAATGACTTCAACATGACCTTCTCCACGTCGATTGATATCGTTTCCACTGACCGACCTGTCTAATCAAACTGGTGGACATGCACCACATCCAACAGCAAAAGTTCCTGAGTTGACACTACCGCTGGATTTTACCTCGGCTATCCAGCATTGACCCTCTCCCTTACCGTCAGCTCACTCGCCTGTTAGATATATCATATGACCCCCTCAATCCGACTATAGACATCAACACCCCCTCTACTCCTACTCTCTGTACCTCCTACAACTGGAGTTTTTGACTCGACTTGAATACTTTTTATCGCTGCAGCCGAAATAGTGTTCTAGTTATCACTGCTGGATAGGCTAGAGTACTTCCGATTCACGGAACAAGTGAAAATACAACACAATAATCGCAAAAACCATCAATTCCCCATCAACACCCCACCTATCTAGCGCCGGGCTTCCTACTCTCTCCGTCGCGATGAAGATATCTCGAATCTACCCACACAGGCCCATGCTCTGACATCACGACGGTTTTCGTGACAAGCCAAAGAGGTGTCGGAGGCGCGGGGCGTGGAGGCCAAGTCATTGTAATGGTCTTGGTCTTGGTCTTTGACTGACGCATCGATTCCTTTGCAACTTCCTGGTGACTTGCACCCACTGGAACCGGTGATATCTTCGACTGGTATGGTGATTCAATCCATCGCCAGTGGTGCTCGGTATTGGAGCCTGCGTCTTTCACTTTGCGCTGGACGAGCAACACGTCGTCGAAGGCGCCATGGGCATTAGAATCTGCCTCCAACTCGCTCGATGTTTGGGTGCCGACATCAACTGTATTCGGGGGAGGGCCTTGAGGCAGATCCGGGGGAGGGCCTTGACGCGAACCCGGAGGAGGGCCTTGAGGCAAATCCGGGGGAGGGCCTTGACGCGAATCCAGGGCAGAGTCTGGAGGAGAATCGTTAGGTTCACGGCTGGTTGATATGAACGAGTGGAAGATCTACGAGAAGTCGCAGAATCTGGGAGCTACTTACCTCGGAATACCACTCTAAGTAGGCGTGTTGAACGTTGCGCATACGGTTTAAGTCTACACTCTGACATCGCGGTGGCAAGCCAAAGAGGTGTCGGAGGCGCGGGGAGTGGAGGCCAAATCGTTGTAATGGCCTTGGTCTTCGACTGACACCTCGATTCATTCGCAACTGCTGGGCGATCTGCATCCACTGGAACCAGCGACGTCTTCGGCTCATGTTGTGATTCAACCCATCGCCCGTGGTGCTCGTTATCGGTGCTTGCGTCCTTCACTTCGCGGTTGACGAGCAACACGTCGCCGGAGGCGTCATGGGCATTAGGATTTGTCTCCAACTCGCTCGATGCTGCCGTACTCGGGGGAGGGCCTTGATGCGAATTGTTAGGTTGTCGACTGTTCGATATAGGAACGAGTGGAAGATCTACGAGAAACTGTAGAATCTCTGGGAGCTACGTACCTTGGATTAAGGCCCTAGGTTTAAGTTTCGAAGGTCGCTCGTACGATTTGAGCAGCAGCTTCACCCGCTCTCGGTACTTGCGAATCAGGGCATCGTAATTCGCCTCTAACTCGCTCAATTTTTCGTAGTCGACATCAGCCGTATTCGGGGGAGGACGTCGAGGCGAATTCGGGGGAGGACCTTAAGGCGAATCGTTAGGTTCTCGGCTGGTTGATATAGGAAAAAGTGAAAGATCTACGAGAAAGCGTAGAATCTCTGGGAGCTACATACCTTTGGTTACGACTCTAGGTTTGGGTTTTGTTTGTCGTTCATACGGTTTGCGCTTCACCTGCTCTCGGTACTTGCGGCGGATATCGGGGCCCGCACCCTTAAATTTGGTCATCTTTGGTGATTTGTATTGATTGGTATTTCTGGATAGCTAGATGATCAATGATCGATGATCGTGGAGGTCCTGGAGGTTGTGATGTTGAGCTTCAGATGGTATGTCCTGGAGGTTGTGATGTTGAGCTTTAGATGGTATGAGACGCCTACTTTTATGTCAGCTACCTATCACGTTTGAAAGGTGTTGCTCGGTAAGATGAGTTCAATGATACAACCTTTGAAAGGGCATCCGATTAAAATATGTTGGCCATAAGATGACTTCAATGATACAACCTCCGAAGGGGCACCCGGTTGCACTGAAATATTTTGAATTCTGGGGAATATAGTCGCATGTGCGGCGGCGTTTTGTTGTTTTTCTTGATGTTGCATGCGATCCACGTACCTAGATTTTAGCCAGTACAAATTCCTGGTCTTGTCCGCAGTCCGAATAACCAGATCGATGCAGCGACCCATTCCGCCTTCCGACTGGCAACCGTACCGATTAGTGCGCCGAGACGAAATATAGTAGTATTGACTAAAGAAAAGACGTCTTACAAGCTACTGCTCCTCCACCTCCTCTGCCTCATCTACCAGTCCCTCATTCCCTAGTGCCGTCCTCCTCTAGCCAAGCTAGACATCTGCGGCGACGGTGGGTTGTAGAGAGATAATATCAATGTATTTCGCATACTACCTTACTCGGGGGCGGCAGCGGATTGGAACTTGGATTTGCAATACCCAGCAGAGGGAAGATAGAGTGATTTAACATGATCCTTAACCTCTCTCACCTCGTACTTACATAGTAGGTATTCACCGCATGTCTACCTCCGCTGTGAAATAATACTATTCCACTCTTCTTAAACATGCTACTGCCCCTCACCATGTCACTACATAATCCACCAGTCCACGGCGTTCATACAAACAGCAACTTGGCCCCAGGATACCACCGGCCAGGAAATCAGAGTTTTTGAGCTCAAGCACGAGATGGCGAAAGTGAGAGCAAAGTGGATTTAGGCAAACAAGGTCCAAATATTACTCTGATAGGAGTATTTGGATTAGTACAGAAGTATACGAGGTCCTTCACAATGTATGAGGAGGATAAGTTCTGTTCGATCAAGAAGGCCTTCTCCGTGGTCGATTTCGCGATTATTTACATCGCGTTAATCGCTCGTATTCGGTCAATCTTTTAATCGTGCACTTGGAATCTGTGAGGGCTGTGTTTCGGGCGTGGATATGGAAGCATAAAGGTTCTTCACGCTTATTATTGATCGCCTACTACCTAGTACAGGGCATAGTGGTGAACGTCATCGGGTGAAATGGGATGTTAGGAACGGGCCGGGCCGCAACCTGACTACCCGTATCGAGGCGATTCTGTGTGCGAAGGGGGGTTGGGTAGGAGTCCATGAAGGAAAACATCGCGAAGGCGACCCGCATGGGATTTGAGTCCTCGATGTCGATGAGAAAACCAGACGCTGTGCGCTCCATATTAGACCGATTAAAACCTCTCTAGACGCCCATATGCTTTTCTGGACTCCTATGACATCTGGATTGAGAGCTATCGTTCAGCCGGAACTCTTTGCAGAAGACTGTGATGCGCTGAGGCGGAGGGCCATTATTTCATCGACGAAATCCGTACATGTAATACGACCGAGAAGGGACAGTAGAACCTAATATCCCACCCAGTCACAGACACAGGTTTTCTGCAGTTGGGCGAGCCCATTCATAGATCTATGGGTGGGCTGGCTGTCTGCTAGATAACGTTTCCGCAACATGATCAAATGCACATTTTCACAATTTCGGCTAGTTGTCGCCAAGGTTAAAATTTTCGCGTTCCCCTACACTTCTAGATTTCCATCGTCGCGAACACCTTGTCAACGAACACGCCGTCCTCACCACCATGTCCACCGTCACCCAGTCCAATCCATTCGCTCCGTTTTCGGCAAAAGACTTGCAGGAATTCGAAATATGGATGAATCAAGACAAGGGCCGGGTGAGTTTTGAGACTTGAGTCACTGGCAGGCATTGGTGGTTTCTAACTGCCCATCAAGTCGCGGTTCACCGAGGAGAAGCGTGCGGAATATTGCGACTGGGTTAGAAACCCCCACGTGAAACCAGCACCGGGTGCCGAGCAGAAGAGACTTTGGAATCACAAATATGATGCACTGTCGCACTATCGCGTCGACGGCGACGGCAAGTTGTATCGAACATCGACCGCCGAACGGGACCGAGGACGGAGTGATCGCCGGGTGATTTGCGAATCGGAGATTTTTGGCACGATCCGAGATGTCCACGTTGAACTTGAACATGCTGGAGTCAACAAGGTGGCTGCTGCTATCGCCGATAGATATCATGGAATTCGGAAGATAGAGGTCGAATGGCTGCTGAAGAGATGCTCAACATGTCCTGCTGAACGTCAAAACCGATCCCGTGCACCGCTCGAACCAGTTATGGCGGCCAAAAGTCCTCCCGCCGAGCGTGTTCAGATCGAACGGATCATCGCCAGCCGTCCTCTCGAGCGTGTTCAGATTGATCTGGTGGATTTGCGACATGAGCCTGATGGGTATTACCACTGGATACTGCACATTACTGACCACTTCTCAAAGTTCACCTCGCTGTTCCCATTGATGACCAATATATCCGAAGAGGTTGCAAGATGCATGGCACAATGGATTGGTATGTTTGGCCATCCAGAAATCATACAGGGTGACAATGGCCGGGAGTTCAAGGGCTATTTACTTACACTGTTGAAACACTACGGCATTCGCGTCACCAATGGAAGACCCCGGACACCACGGATTCAAGGCCTTATTGAGCAAGCGAAGGAAACGATGATGTCCAAATTGCAGTGCTGGAAAAGCGATGTGGAAAGAGAAGGATTGGATTCGAGGAGGTGGGCTTTGGCTTTACCACGTATTGCGTTGGCGATGAATTGTGAAAGCCATACCAGTCTTGGGATGCGGAAGCCATATGATGTTTTCTTTGGCCGGGGCCCAGGGTGGGATAATGATGGCGATGCTCTGTCACGCCCATCAGAGCGCACTACACCCGCAGCTATGCTAGTGGATAATGGCGCAGACTCAGGACGAGTTCTGAGGAAAAAGAGGAGGCGGGCCTAAGGTTGAGGGAGGGAGTTGATGCTTAGTATAGGCAGCTTATTTTCAATCAAGGGCGTAGTGTTGAGTGAATCTTTTTTCTCACGGCTATGTAGTTCACATTCCCGGCTGAGTACTAGGCCAGCCCGGTCACCGGAATTTTTGGGCAGTGGTCCGGCCTATCTTTAAACCGTGTGATCCGGCGTCTGGGCTAGAACGGTGAATAAATTCTTGAACTCTCGCGAACCTCTATGCAGACATCCAAGTTAAAAAGTCGATACACCCAACATGCGCAAGCACCCAGTGTCACTCGGTTCTCTAGGTTTTCGGCTCCATCACCAATCCACAAGCAGCTGTGACGGGACTCCTTTACATATCTCTGTGCTCAGGTTGATACCAGAGAAAGTAGAGTTCCATTGAACTGCACACTTCACGATGGCGGGGTGACAGGCACATGAGTTTAAGATAATTACCATGCCGGATAATGATTGCAGACACAACCAACCCAAAGAAACAAAACCACCAAGCAGCTATGAAGTGGCAATCACCAACCTTCAGCATCATGCCATTCTACGGCATTAATAACCAACACCTATGACAACCCGTACTACCTGGCACGCGAGGGTGGCCACGAGGATGGGTAAAGCAAGAAAGTACCTAAGTGGCCGCCGGCCAGCCCGATACGCGGAGAATGTTTCCGGCGGTGGGAGGGGCCCTTCCCGATCACTCACACATACAACGCCTTTAGGAGGGGCGTCTCCTGGCCAGACAAGCCGGAGACATGCGTACGGTACACCACTGTTGCTACCGAAAAGCGGGAATGGAGGGAGGAAGGGAGACGGAGGATGTGCCGACGCCGTGTCTCATATATGTACCATATTGAGCCGTGTACTAATGTCTTTAGCCTTATGTAGGGCTTGAATAGGCAAACAGTCCTCGTATAAGCCAGCTATAAGCGCGTTGAGCTCGTGAGGCCTCAGTAAGGGCTGTGTTAAACTAAGGCTGATGTTCTCATTTCCCTAAAATTGTCGTAACTCCTACATAATGCCTATGCAGCAACCACCACGAACACCTAAATTGGCCTTGTCGCTTTGTAAGCCTCATAGCTTTCGTCAGGCCTATATCGTCATTGTTGCAATGGACACTACTGCCTTACAATAATGACCGTGAAACTGGCAGGTTTTGTGAAGCATTATGCCATATATCAGTTCGAGACAGAAAATCCTTACAGCTTCACACGCTCAGTTTCTTCACATGCATTACACAAGCCTTCGATGAGGCTTAGTCGGACATATCGGTTCTATCACTCTTATGAGTTAGTGGTGCATATGCGAAAATCAGCCTGCTTGACACCGGCGACGGCGGGTCGAGAGGAGAGAGCGGAGGTGGGAGGTTGAACATCTAGGTATTCTGTAGATGGTGATGAGAGAGAGGCAGCTCAGACAGAATCAAACCCGCCAGATAATGTCCTAACGTATGGTTAGCAGCAAAGTTTTCTGAGGACAGATATGATGAAGCTTATTTTGAAGTTTAAAACCACCGAGCCCACGGCTCGTCCTCTTCATCTTTCTAACAACTCCTCCTCATCTTTCTAACAGCTCCTTCTCTTGCCAACAGCTCCCCCATAACTTCCTCCACTTCCTCCCCTCGATGCCAGCAAGTTATCCACGACGAGGAGCAGTACGGGAACACAGTACTATGGTGAGCGGGAGACGGTATGGGTATGGTGGCGGGGGACTGGGAAGCGGGGAAGAAGAGTAGTTTAGGTGTATAAGGGTACGGAACAAGTGATAGTCATCTTGAAATGAAGAGCATCGATAAGTGATAAGCATTGCAAGAGATGAGGCTTGTCGCAGAAGAGTCATCAAGGAATCCTTATGAGCGTATAAGCCTTACTAATCCTTATTTTTCAAGATTCCCTACAGAGCCCATATAGAACTCTTATGAACTTCCAAGGCGGGCGGGCCCGTAGTGGTTGCAGAAGGCTTACGAGTCGGGACTGATTTTCACTGCACACAGGATTGAGGAAGCCATATTCAACAATCAGAGCTGGAATTTGAAAACCCTGACTGAGCCTTATTTTACGACAAGAGTTTTGGGGAAAAAATGCTAATATTAATAATTTTCCCCCAAAACTCTTGTGTCAAAATCACCCTCATATGTGGCTGCCATAATGCTTTTGACTTTAGTACACGGCTCAATATGGTATATAGAGTATTTGCGTCGAGCGAAGGAATCGCTCCACGTTGCGCAAGACAAGACAAGACAAGAACATGGCTATGTACATCCTGCTCTGGTCCAAACCGACTCAGACGATCGAGCAATCAGATTCCGTCCTACCTATCATGGAGGAACTGGTTTGATATTCGCCACTATCTATCTGTTTCACCTCCCTCTCCCGTCCGCCAACAATCTGAAACCTCAAACACCGCTCTTCACTGCCAGTCTGCCACTCCGGCGGGCCCGGGATTGGAAAATCTCTATCTATCGACTGGACTCGATGTTGTTCTAGAGCTCGAGCCAGCTGCTATCAACGATAACCTCCAGCCGAGAAGACACATGTAACTCTCTGATCCATTCACGTGTCTCACCTGTCAACCCCCTAACTCATCCACCATGCCACCCCACGCTTCCCACGCTTCCCATCTAGCGCATCCTGCCACGGTGGCCCGTGAGCGATCTAAGCCTGGTCCATCATCCGAGGCCGCCTAGCTTACATAGTAAGGCTGTGTGCGAACTAAACTGGCGTTCTCTCTCTCATCGCGGCCGCCTCGGCCCTTGATTCATCATCCCGCCGGTCTTGCGTGCATACATATCTCAATCCCTCCCGACGTCGGCCACGACCAATGATCATATGTATCCAAGGAGGACACATATATATGCGACGTATCTACCGTCCAGCATACATACACGTGCACCATCCACTGGCCTCAGTCCGACCGAGCCTGAGGTGCGCATGCTGCGTGCATGCTTGCTTGCTTGTTTTCTCGGCTGGCCTCGCTACATGCAGCGTATCGCAGAGAACGTTGTATTCATGCTGTCTCACTCATCATCATCATCGTGCGCCGCCCGCCCGCCCGCCCGCCCACTTCCCATCCGATCCGACGCACGACGCACGACGCACAAAGCAGCCCCGCTGTGTCTCCATGCCGCCCCTCCATCCCCGCCAGCGGCCAGCGGTCAGCCAGCCAGCCAGCCTATTGATGCCACCCCCCACCGCCCACCCCCCACCGCCCAAGGATATCTGGGTAACCCCGATCTCCGGCCGCCAATGTCTCCGGCGTCCGCGGTCACATTTCCGGAGCTATGTAACTATCCCAGACATGTCCAATCAGATCCGAAATCATGCCCTACTCTAGTTAGTCCCTTCATTTCTACGTAGATAGCCATCCATATCGCCGGTCGACCCGTCTAATCCCTGCAGAATCTGGTTTACTAAGCGCAAAAGACTGGGCCTAGGAGCGGGGCCTGGGAGGGGCCCTGGGATCGACACGGACACGGACGTCTCCACTCCGGTGTGCCGCGATTGCGTGCTTGTGCTTGTAGACAGATAGAGTAGGAGTACCTGGGTGGATATGACAGCTGGCACTGGCACTGGCAGGGCGATGAGTCATGCAGGGCAAGGCGGGGGATCACTGTGACGCAGAGGTAGTTAGTGGCTGAGGTGGCTCAGGTGGCTGAAGCGAATCCAATTGCCGTGAAGATAGTTACGATAAAATACAAGTTGTCCACGAATGACCGCTGAAGCGCAAGCCAAAAGCGCAAAAACCAAAAACCAAAAACCAAAACCAACCACCGATCCAGAACCCAAACTCCATTCATCAAACAGTGACCCAACCCGATCAACCCGAAAACGCTATTTGGCATCCATCGTACAGTAAAAGTAAAAGTAGAAGTAAAAGAAAGAAAGAAAGATACCCAAAACCCAAACCCAAACCCAAACCGAAACTCTAAGCCCTCTTCTCAGTGGAAGCCGAAGCAGAAGAAACCCTCACTTTGCCCCTCCCGACCCGTTCCAAAAACACCTGTTGCTGCTGCTCACGCGCGCCGGCACCAGCACCTGCAGCGGCACCCGCGAACGAGGAGTAATACCTAGCCCTCGACTGCTGGCCCAGCACGACAACGCCCTTCCTCCCACTGCTCGCGACGGGCTGCCACATCCTAACGACAGGGATATACTCGTCGTCGTCGTCCTCGCTGCTATCGGACACGGTCGACGTTCTCGACAGCGACGGGACAGGGAGCGGGAGTTCGTCGTCGTTGTTGTTGTTGTCGCGCTCGGGCTCGCCCCAGAGACTCCCGGTAGCTTTGTGTAGGTTGACGCTTCTTTTGCGGGAGATGGAGAGGCTGCGGCCGGGCTTTGCGGTGGTGGTGCGGGAGGCGGTGGCGGCGTGCCACAGCAGCTGCTGTGATTCGGCGGGTGCGGGGAGGGGTGGAGAAGGCGTGGTCCGCGGAGTCCACAGCTTGCTGCTCTGCGCGGGCGAGGGCGGCGCCGTGTGGTGTACCGCCCAGAGACGCCCGCCGACGTGGATCGCGTAGTTGGCTTCCGGGATGGGGTCGGGACTCCATAGGCTGCCCGTGGCCTTCGAGGTGTGGGTGCCGACGGGATTGCGCTTGGCGGCTTCGCGCGGCGGAAGTGACGCAGTGTATTTGCTGAACTCGGAGTGCTCGGGCTTTTCCATGATGACCGGGGGAAGTGCGGGCGCACTCCAGAGTGTCTCCGTTGGTGGCGGCGGGGGCGGTGCGGGCGCGCTGGTTGCGGTCCATAACCGGCCTGCAACCTCGGGCTTGACCTCAGTGGGCAGTTGACTACACTCCACAAAGGGAGATCCCTCGGCCTGCCAGAGTCCGCCATCGACGACGATCTTCGCTGGCTTGATCTCGACGTCGCGGATGCTCCAGAGTGAGCCGGAGGCTTTGGGCGGATCCGAAACCATCTTCCTGGGCACAGGCATTCCTCGTTCGGGAACGGCAGTGGTGGTTCTCGAGGCGGTTGCGGGTCTCCACAATGGCGATGGTGCATCTTCGACAACGACCGACTTGGGTACCGGGGCATTCCACAACCGGTTTGCCATCGCAACCCCCACTGCCGTCAACGACTTCCGCTCAGCCCGCCGATAGCATTCCTGGCTTCCCCAGAGACCTTCCGCAGCCACGACAACCTCCGCCTTCTCGACCTGGACGTCCCGCAAGTTCCACAGCGATCCCGTAGCCTTCTTCAACTCGCCGCCCATCTTCCTCTGCGCAGTCGCGATCCTCTCGGGCACCGCATCCGTGGTCCGCTCAGCGGTCTCTTTGCTCCACAACGGCACCTTGACGAGGGACGGAGCTACTACCACAGGGATAGCCTCGGCGGTCCACAGCCTTCCACCCACCACCACCTTCCACCTGTCATCCACCAGCTTCCTCGGCGGCGCGACCGTCAGAGATCTGCTCGAAGTCGACGACGATTTCTGCAGCACAGGGCAGAAGGCGGCAGCATCGGCTTGCCAGAGCGCGCCGGGAAGAACGATTTTGGCTTTCTTGACCTCGACGATCCGTACGCTCCAGAGCGACCCGATAGCCTTAGGGAGATAGTCGCTCTTCTTCCTCGGTGCGGTCTCGACTCTCTCCGGTATGGTGGTGGTGGTACGCGACGCTGTAGCGGCGGTCCAAAGCGGCGCAGGTGGATGTGTGACAATGGGGGCGGCGACAGGCAATGCGGCGGTCCACAGTCTTCCTCCAACCTTCACTTCGACCTTCACCCCCTCCTTCTCCTCCGCCTTCCGCTCAAAACCACGCACAACAACACTAGACGTCACCCTCTTCATGGCCGGTCGCTGGAGCCGCTCCGGCTGCTGATCCCAGAGGCTGTTGGTGAAAACGACCACTCTGCCCTTCTTGACAGTAATATCCACCTTGGCCCAGAGCGATCCCGTAGCCTTGGGGAGGTAATCGCTCTTCTTCCTCGGCGCAGTCTCGACTCTCTCCGGTACAGCTGTGGTAGTACGCGACGCTGTAGCGGCGGTCCAAAGCGGTGCAGGTGGGTGTGTGACAACAGGCGCGGCGACAGGCAATGCGGCGGTCCACAGTCTTCCTCCGACCTTCACTTCGACCTTCAACGTTTTCTCCTCCTCTTCCATCCTCTCGACACCATACATAACCACACTCGACGCTGCCCTCTTCATGGCCGGCCGCTGGAGCCGCTCGGGCTGCTGATCCCAGAGGCTGTTGGAAATGACCACCTTGCCCTTCTTGACAGTGACGTCCGCCTTGGCCCAGAGCGATCCCGTAGCCTTGGGGAGGTAATCGCTCTTCTTCCTTGGTGCAGTCTCGACTCTCTCCGGCACGGCGGCGGTAGTGCGCGACGCGGTAGCGGCGGTCCAAAGCGGTGCAGGTGGATGTGTGACAATGGGGGCGGCGACAGGCAATGCGGCGGTCCACAGTCTTCCTCCAACCTTCACTTCGACCTTCACCCCCTCCTTCTCCTCTTCCGTCCTCTCAACACCATGCCCAACGACACTCGACGCCGCCCTCTTCATCGTCGGCCGCTGGAGCTGGAGCCGCTCGAGCTGCTGATCCCAAAGGCTGTTGCTGGAAACGACCACCTTGCCCTTCTTGACGGTGACACTGCGGTGGTTCCAGAGCGAACCGGTGGCTTTGGGAAGGTCGACGGGTGTCTTCCGGGGCGCCGGCACAACGCGCTCAGGCACGGCCGTGGTCGTTCGGGAGGCGGTTTCCTTGCTCCAGAGGTGTGTTGCTGCTGCTGCTGGTGGTGGTGCAGCGGGGGAAGACCGGCTCATGGACGCGGTCCATAACCTACCGCCAACCTTTACCTCAACTGTTTCGGCTGGCGCCTTCTCCGCCTCTTTCTCAACGCTGAGAATAGTCACATTCGACTTCGCTCGGCGGGGGGCTGGGCGTCTCAGCTGCTGCTGCGGTTGGTGGTTCCACAGGGCGTTTGAAACGACGACGACAGTGGCCTTCTTGACGACGACATCCTCGCGCTTCCACAGCGCACCCACGGCCTTTGGCAGATCAGCACTCATCGTTCTTGCGGCGGTGGTGACTCGCTCGGGAACAGCGTCAGTGGTGCGTTTTGCGGTTTCCCTGCTCCAGAGGGGAGACTTTGGCAACGACTTGGTGACACACGGGGGAGAAGACGCAGGTGTTGCCGCGGCAGTCCAGAGTCGCTGGCCGACGCTAACCGTAATGGTGGGCTCATCCCGTCGCGCACCCTCCTCCGCGAGCTGTGGCACCGCAACCAATGTCCGGCTGCTCGTGGAACGGAGCAGTGTCGCCGGGCGGGAAATGGGCTGTTGCTGTTGATGCGAAGCCCAGAGTCCATCTCCAACGAAAACCTTGCCCTTCTTGACAACGATGTCTCGCTTGGCCCACATATCGCCCGAAGCCTTGGGGAGGTAGTCGCTCTTCTTCCGGGGCGCAGTCTCGACCCGCTCCGGGACCTTGCTGGTGGTCCGCGCTGCAGCCTCGAGTGTCCATAGTGGCGATGCGCACCCAACGACGACGGGTTGTGGCGCCGGAACCGGCGCGGTCCAGAGCCGTCCGGCTACCTTCACGCCCACCACTGTCGTGACTTCTTCGGCGGCGTCCTCTACAGTTTCCACGGCGAAGACGGTGACGCTCGATTTCGATCTGCGCATCGCAGGGGGTCGCGGGGCGGTCCAGAGGCTGCTGCTGTTGCTGTTGCTATTGCTGCTGGAGCCAACAACGACCTTTCCGCGCTTAACGACGATGTCCCTCGGCCTCTGCTGACTCCACAGCGAGCCGGTAGCTTTCGGCAGCTCCACGGCGGCCGCCTGCTTCTTGGGCGCGTTCTGCGCAACGATGCGTTCGGGAACCGCGTCGGTAGTCCGTGCCGCAGTTTCCGGCGCCCACAGCGGCGCCGCCTTGCCGATGACTGCGGCGGGGGCGGGGGCAGGTGCGGGAGAAGATGTTCTTGCAGTCCACAGTCTGCCGGCGACCTTGACTTCGACCTGGTTCTCCACCCCGCGAGCGGCGGCAACGGGAAGTGCCTCCTCCTCCTCTAGTAGTGTCAATGCACGGCTCGACGACTTTGTGCGCGCGGCAACTACTGGGCGTGGTACTGCTCGTGGCTGTGGTCGTGGCGGCGACTGCTCCTCCTGCTGTCTCGAACTCCGTCCACAACCACCATTGATAATTACCTTACCGTTCCGCACGAAGAAGTTCTGGCGGGAGACCTTCCGCTCCTCTTTCCTCTCCTCTCTGTCTTTTTCTTCTCCGATCACCTTCATGCCCCCCTTCCGCTTCACAATCCGCATGCACTTCGCAAGCCAGTTTACAGCCTTCCCCTCCTCCTCGTCTACCGGCGGCTGCTGCCGCCGCCGCTGCCACAGCTCTCCAGACGCCGTAGGTACGGACACGTTCTCGATCATGTTTACCGACGCGGACGACGAAGATTTGGGGTGAGGCGGGGGCGCCGCCGAGGTCGTGCGCCGAGCGGTGCGCTTGCTCCACAGCATTGCCGGTTTGCTTTCGGTTTCGGTTTCACCGCCGGGACAGAATTCGTGCAGGGCAGGTGCGGGTGCGCTCCAGAGTTGGGGTTTCGGCGCGGCGGTGGCGGGGCGAAGGGACCAGAGATCGGTGCTGCTGCTGGTGGGGTTGGTGCTGGTGGGGGATGGACTACTGCTACTACTGCGGCGGGGATCGGGGAGGTCAATTGCGGTTGGGGTTGGCTGGCAGGTGTGGGTTTGGGTTTGGGTTTGTGTTTGTGTTTGTGGTTGGGGAGTAGATGCTTGTGCTTGTTGTTGTGCTTGAGCTTGTGTTTGTGGTTGGGGGTGAAGTGGTAATTGTTGTTGTTGATGATGGGGGAGGCAAGAGGAGGAGTAGTAGGAGTAGGAGGGCTGCATCGTGGACGAGGACGACTCGATGGCAGATATTATTTCTATGCTCGTATTGGAACTCGTAATCAAATGTGCCGTGTCGCTGTCGCTGTCACTGTCGTAGGAGTGGTAGTTGCTTATGTGGTCTAGAGCACGATGATGGGGGCCGTGGGCGTGGTGGGCGTGGTGTGCGTGCTGGGCGGCGGCGGTTACAGATGCAGATGGTGCAGATGCAGATGATGCAGATGATGCAGCGGTTGTATGTATGATTCGGGTTGGGGTTGGGGTTGGGGTTGGGGTTGGAGTTGGAGGGGTGCTGATGGTGATGGTTGGGATGGTCGGGGTTGGGTTGGTTGGGATGGTCGGGGTAGGGTTGGTTGGAGTGGGTGCGTTTGCCAGAACGAGATGCTGCTTTTTCTGCTGCTGCTGCTGCTGCTTCTGCTGCTGGTGGTGGTGATGACGATGCTCCGGCTCCTGCCTCGCGGCGGTACCCTGCGTCGCGTATTGTTCGCCTTCTTCTTTGCCTGCAACTTCGGGGGCAGCTAGTGGGGTTAGGCGTTAATACATTAGCTTAAGTAGAGTACGGTTGCATTTGCAATTATGTTTTTATGTGCTTCTCGGGCGTTCTTTGGGTTGGGAATTTGCAATTATCAATTCTTCATGGCCAGGGGGGGTATGCTGGTGGGCGGGGATCGGCTGCGGAGTTTGGACTTGGGTGGGTGGGACGGATAAGTCTAGGGGCAAAAGAGAGACAGTCGGGGATGTTGTTGGTGTTGGCGTGGAGGGGGAGGGAGGGGGAGGGGGAGGGGCAGGGAAGAAAAGAAAGGTTCATCATAGGTAGGGGGGTGGAGACAACGGAGCGGGGATAAAGAATTGGGAAACGTAAGAGCGAGAGCGAGATCGGGGATATGGAGACGTGGAGACGTGGAGACAGTGGAGACAATCGACAGGCATCGCATAGAGAAACGTAACCGCATGTCCTGTCTGCATCTCTCTCTCTCTCTCTCTCTCTCTCTTTTTCTTCATCGTCATCGCCACACACACGGAACACACACACGGAACACACGTACCATTCGTATCACCCAACCGCAACAGTCTCTGCATCTGCCTGTGTCTCTGCCTGTGCCTGTCCACCACCAGTTTCCTCACGATCCTCACGTCCTCGTCGTCCACCTCCACCTCCGTGCTCGGCACTAATCTGACCGATCGCGCGACCACTCTCCCACCAATGCGGACTCTAATCAGGCCCTGTGTCTGTGTCCCTGTCTCAGCAGCAATCGCCGACTGCGACTGCGACTGCGACGGCCGTGTCTGCTGCAGCACTCGCAACGATCGTCGACACAGCGCTGCATTCCTCACGTAAATCTGCTGCTGCCCACCCACACCTTGCACACCTCGCCCACCACCCACACCACACAGACCACCACAACCCAGACCTGCACCCCGCACGGCAGGGGCGCTTGTAGAACCCTTGCCCTTAGTGCGCTCCGAGAGATTGGTGGTGTTGGTTGGAGATGTGGTGGTGGTGGTGGCGGTAGCTTGCAGCAGTGGTGGTGGTGGTGTGTGCTGCTCCATCGTCTCGATCTCCTCCTGCTGTCGCACCCACGGCGTCGGTGTCGAGCCCGCGGAGTTGGTGTCGCTGTCGTCGTCGTTGTTGTTGGTATTGTTGTTTTTGGGAGCGATCCACAGGCGGGCGCGTTTGTTGTTGTCATTGTCGTCAGCCCACATCGCAGCAGCAGCAGAAGAAACGTCGCGAGTCCACAGCGCCGTCGAAGTGATCGCAGCAGCAGCCACATCGACGCCGAGGTCGAGGTCGAGGGGCCGAGACCTGCACCCCGCAAACCTCACGGCGGCGGCGACGATAGGAGGAGGAGGAGGGGGGAGCAGCGGTGCAGACGGCCACAGCAGTGTCCGCCTGACTCGTAGAGAACTCCGCTTGGGTGGCCCTCTCCACAGCCGTGCGATGGGCTTGTGGCCTGATACCATCACGGGCAGCGAGGGTAGAGCCTTAGAGGAGTACTTGCGGGTGAGTACATCGGGGACTGGTTTCTGCGCCGAGACTGATGGTGGTGGTGGCGGCAGTGGTGGGGCTTCCTTCTGCGCGGTCGGTGGCCCCCACCAAAGTTTCTTGAGCTTCCCAAGAAGGCCAGTCGTCTCCACTGCAATCTGTTAGCCCCTTCTCTCTTCACTCTTCACTCGAGATCTTGGGTATATGCAAGCAAACCAGTAACGACATCCTCGACCCACGTAACGCGCCGCTTCTTTCCCGTGCTGTCCCTTTTCCGCAGGGAACTCTTCTGCGTCGGTGTCGGTGTCGTCCGTCCATTCTGGCCCTTCCACAAGCCCTTCCCCGTCACGTCGTCGATCCGGCTAGTAGCAGTAGCTTTCGCCCAGAGCCGCGAACTCTGCAGCGACGCCGATGATGGTGCGCGATCAAATCGCTTCCGTGGTCGCAGCGTTAGTGCCGCCGGTACAGCAGCGCCGTCGGTCTTGTGCCCGCTGCTGCTGCGAACGTTGCTGCTGCTGCGTGCGCTCCATAGATGCGTCGTCGTCGTGGATGCAATATGCGGCAGCCCCACGAGGGCCACCCATAGGCTTGCAGGCGCCGCGCGGGGCACAGATGAGATCAGCTCCCAGCCCATCATGTCCATGGCCAGGTCCATATCGGCCACGTGTACCTCGTCCTTGTCTTCGTCTTCGTCTTCTTCGTCGTCGCCGTAGTCGTCGTCTTCGTCTTCTTCATCATCGTCATCGCCGAGCTCCAGAGTCGGGTTGAAATACACCGTTGGCTGCAATGGTGTTGCGTCCGCGTCTTCAGCCGAATTGAAATACACCATTGGCTGCAACGGTGTTGCGTCCGCCTGTTCAGCCGAATCATTGCCCAGGCCCAATGGCTCGAGCATATGCGCGCCCTCCTCCCCCCGCTGCGCTTCCTCCACCATCCGCGCCAACACCGGCGCATCAGCCAGGCCCGCCAACTGTGCCTGTGCCTGTGCCCGAGCCAAGTGCGTCTGCCAGCCACCGGCCGACGTGACCGCAGTGGTGGTATCCGTCGTATCACTCGTCCTAGCCGTCGCCCTCTCCATCCCAGCCGTGCTCGCACTCGCGCTCACAAGCGAATCCCGCAGCACCAGAGTCCTTCGCAAGCCCTGCCACTCATTCTCCTGCGCCGACGTCTCCTGCTCCAGCTGCCGCAAGAGGACGGAGCCACGGTTGTTGTTGTTGGGAGCTGGTGCTGGTGCTGGTGCTTGCTGCGACTGCTGGAACGTTGGCGGGCGCGGAAAGCGCGCGAACAGCGGGCGCAGCGGGACCGTGCCGAGCGGGGCGGGCGCGGGCTTTCGCCGCTGGCTCCCCCCGCGGAAGGTGGTAGAGAAGGCGGGGATGGTGTCGCCGAGGCGGAATTGCCGTTGCCGTCGCTGTGACTCGGGCTCCGACGATGATAGGAAGCCGTGCGCTTGCTGCTGCTGCTGCTCCACCGCCTGCTGCAGGTCCGATAGCTCGATGCCGGCTTCTAGGTTCGTGAAGATTATGGAGCCGGAGCCTGCGGAGCCGGCGGAGGACGGGGATGAGGGCGAGGGCGGAGAGCCGGAGAATGTGAAGTCGTAGTCGTAGTCGCGCAGAATCGCGGATGCCGGGGAAGGGAAGCGCCGACGTCGTGGGCCTTGCGGCGATGAGCTCGACGAGGCCGCGGTCGTGAGTGATGGAGGCGAGGACTCGGCGCCTGACCCTTCTTCTTCTACATCAGAGTCGAATGACATACTGTTTCGCAGCTCGATGATGATGCTTTCTGTGCGCTGGTGCTTGTGCTCGTGCTCGTGCTCGTGCTCCTGCTCGCGCGATACGTCCACAACGCCGATGCCGATACCAAGTCCGAGCCCGACTCCGGCGAGTGTAGCCGAAGACCTGCGGCGCGCCGATGGTCTCCGCGACGGCATGGCCGCGATGGCTTCGGGCTCTGGCTGCGTTTTTTGTGATTTTTCCGACGTGCTCCGCAGCAACGCGCTTTTTCTGCTACTGATGTCCACCAGCACGGGACCGGAATTCTTGATCACCGGCGCCATGCTCTCGACCCACGCCTTGGCCGTCTCGTACGGTGTTGGCAGGGCGGGGGTAATGGGCAGCGGCATGGCGCCAGCGACCGCGCTCCGTGGTGGGCCGTGGCCGCCGCTCGAGCTCTTCGCGACGTCCGCGATGATGAGAGGTGCGGGCGCCTGTTTCTGCTTCTGCTTCCTCGCGGGCGCGGGCAACGGCGGCACCGCCTCCTCCTCCTGCTGGGACCGCGTGCTTTTCCGTGACGACCCCGAGCGGCTACGATTATGTTTCCTCGGACTGCGCTCACTCGGAAATATCGCGCGGGGATTACTATCGCGATCTGGGATCGCGGGTCTCTTCCGCGCGATTACGGGCGTCATCTCCGCCGGCAGCGTTGGGCTCTCGTCTTCGGGAGCTTCTGGGAGCGGAGATCGGCGCAGGATCCCCTTGCTGGTGGCCGTGACGGTGTACCGGCCCGTGGCGTGCGCCTGAGTGGGGTTGGCGGCGCCGGGAGAGGGAGAAACGAGTGATGACACCAGCACCGGGTCGTCGTACTCGATGCGCGTGACGAATAGCACCCGCTGGTCCGCCTGGTCCGCTGGTGCTAGCCCGCCCGGCGCCCACGTGTACTGCGTCGTCGCGTCGTCGTCCTCCGTCGAGTAGGTGAACGCGGACGTCCTCGGGTCGACGCCGACGTATTGCCGCTCCCTTTCGCGGTCACTCGGCGCGGGGACGAGCGGCTTGCGGCGGACACCATATGCACCTTCTGCTCCTCCGCGCTGGGGGGGCGTCTCCGTCACCGGCAGGCCAAGCTGCATAGACACACGCTCTCTCCGCCGCGCCTCTCTCTGTCGCTCCTGTTCCGCCGCCGCCGCGCGCAGCGAAACAGTGCGCAAGCCCGTATGCGTATCCCGGCGCCCCTCGTTCGAGAACGAGAACATCCCGCCGCCGCCGAGCATCGGCCCAGAGATCTTCGCGTTGCCGCCCGCGTACGGCGGGAAGCGCGTTTCCACAAGCCCTGCCGCAGACGGCAGCGACGGCTCGGAACTACCGCTCCATGATACCATCGTCCCCGGGTGCATGTGAGGTTGCACGTGGGGCTGCGCGAGCACGCCGCGGAATACCGCGGAGTTTGTCGCCTGCTGCTGCGGCTGCTGCCGCTCAACGTCTGGGCTGCTGCGCCGCTGGAACCGCGCCGAGCCGTCGTCTGATGCCAGCCGCCGGTGCATCGAGCTGCGGGTCCGCATGGTCGGGAACCCGTCGGCGCCGCTGCTGCCGCCAACGCCACTACTGCTGCCGTCGAGTGCATTCGTATTCGCACCCCCGTGCCCGTCAAGCGGAACCAGCGCCTCTGGGAAAGCGCGGAGAAGTCCTGTGTCCGTCCCGTCCCGTCAGCCCACCCGTTCGCCCATATTTCTCCCGCGAAGAAAACTCACCCAGCAGCACGCCCAGCGCCACGATCCCGGGCCCGAGGCGGAGCAGCACACCGCCCACTTCCACCAATCCCGCCGCGGGAGCAAGCATCCAGGCGCCCGCGGCCGCCACGACCGCTACCAACCGTCCGCCTCCCCCCGCACCCCCGCTTCGCCACGCACCCCACGCCCTCACCAACGCCACAGCGACCACGACGCCGTCGAACGCGACCTGCGTGATCGCCGGTGCGCGCCTTGCCGGCTCCGGATAGCAGACGGGAATAAACCCCCCTCTCGTGAAGCCGAGGACGACCGCGGCCAGCACCGCACGCAGCGTTACAACCAGCCATTGCACCGCATTCTCACCACTATTTGTGATCGGCGGGTGGACAGCTAGCAGGAGCAGCGCGGTGAGCGAGACTCGTGCGGCTTGGTCGGATACGGTGGCGAAGATAGATAGGATCGTACATGGAAGGGGGGAGAGGAGGAGGAAGGAGGTGGATTGGAGCGTGTGGAAGAGTGTGAGGGAGAGGAGGAAGAAAGAGTGGGTTAGTGCGTGCCGGAGAAGTAGGTGCGAACAGTGCACGCGGATGTGTGTACAGAGGAGGTGCACCGTGGTGGATAGGAGGATGCCCAGTCCGAAGGTCGTGGAGAGCACGCCGGCGGCTTCCATGGCTTCCTTCTATGGTTGAGGGTTCGAGTGGACGGACGGACGGCCGTGGTGGTGTGGAATGTACGCAGGTATGGGCCGGCCAACTATGTACTGGACATCACATCAACAGCCATCCACATATATGCATCGTGGAGGGGGACTTACAGTATATCTATCAATCAACCAGAATAAACGAAGACTGAGTATGTACTAAATAAACTAAGTAAATGAATATTAACTAAAAGAGCCCGGCCCAAATGAGAAACGAAAAGGACAAAAAAGGAACTGATCCGGCAGCCAGCGAGAACGTAAAGGGGTGAGTTTGGGGGTGAAAGTTGGGGAGAGTTGAACGAACGGAAGAGGGTGGATCTCAAGGGGGGGGAGGGTGGTTTTCTTCTTCTCCTCATTCTCATCCTTCCCCAGCTTACTAGGAATGTAGGTACTCGCCGCAGAGGCGCGCGAGAGGAGGAGGAGGTGGTGCTGGGTGGTGCTGGGTGCTGGGTGGTAGGTGATGTTCGCGAAACAGTCCCATGGTCCATCCCATGGTCCACATTCCACAGTCCCTGGAGCCAAGTTCCAAGTTCCAACTGCTACCTACCGTACCGTACCGAGAGTTGGGGTCTTTAGTCGAGAGTCTGACAGCGGTACTGTATCTACGCTTCTCTCTTACTACCGTAGATATTATGTATGTCTCGCCTTCGACGAGGGCCAGGATGAAACTCCACATGAGACCTATCGCGCCGCCGGATGGGCGATGAAACGTGTAGCCCTGCGGCGCTTGCGCTACCAGCTGCCACCCATGCACGCGAGCATTCGCCTACGAGACCAATGGGGGACTGGGGTGGGCGATGTACCTGAGGGTAAGGATGAGAGGGACCCAGAAATGAAAACGGCCTACGGGTGAACTTTGAAGGTATGTGAAGGTGCAAAAGGTGCAAGGTGAAAAAGGTGCAAAAGGTGCAAAAGGTGCAAAAGGTGCAAGGTGCAAAAGGTGCAAAAGGTGCAAAAGGTGCAAAAGGTGCAAGGTGCAAAAGGTGCAAAAGGTGCAAGGTGCAAAAGGTGCAAAAGGTGCAGAAACGGGATCGTGATCTTCCAGAAGAAAATCTAGTTAACTAAAGCGATGGTGATGAAAGTAAGACGAGCGAGCGAGCGAGGTGGTCATGAAGATAAAAAGGAAGTTGGGTACAGCAAGTGGAAACAAAACGTTGGAACTTGGAACTTGGACTCGGAGGCACGTTGGAGGCACCACAGATATCGGGTCTCCACGGGAGAGACGACAACAATACCTACCGCAGAGAAGCTCGGGCTCGGGTCCGGGCTCGTGCATGTGCAGTATTTGGTCGGGCACCAGCGTACACAGTGTACCTGGTACCTTACCTACTCTCCATATGTAGTCCATGCTTAAGCGAAAAAAGCGAGGTGTATCCGTAGATCCACCGTCCACGGCGAAGGTTGAAGGATACGTGCGTAACGGATAGTTGCACTTATGTAGGAAGTATGTACGAGTATGTACTACGGTAGTATTTGCACCTGCGCAGTTGCGCCTCCCGCCCGCGCGCGGGGTATGTAGGATGTGGGTATGTACCGACTGGCTGGCTGGCTGGCTGACTGACTGACGGACAGAGAAAGCTCCGTTCCTCCGTCTTCCAGTACCGCCGACCAGTGACCGGTCGTGGTACAGCAGGAGCTGACAGCTACATACCGGGCTACGTGCCCGAGGAGCATCGTGTCAAATTGTCAATGCTGAACATGAAATACTGGTATCGTAGCGATGGATACTCCAGTTCGAGAGCCTTCTTACCCGTGGAGCCGGTACCACATTGGATGGAAGACGGGCCGCTGAAGGGGAGGGTCATGAGGACTTACTCGGGTCTTTCGTTATCTGTTCCTGCGGTAGGTAGAAGCTGTACTATAGTCGGTATCATTGCATCAGATAAGCGCAAAGTGTGGGGAAGAAATCCGCGTGTTTCGCAGATAGACACTGAAGAAGTATGTGTTGGTAGTGATGGCAGTCACGACTCACCAGTGGGTAATGGCATGAGATTGGCAGGGACGTGGACGCTGCCGGCGATCCATGGAATATCACTCGTCAAGTCCGTTCAGTGCGTCGGGGGAACAATTCCGTCACATCACGCCCTCACGGCGACGTACCGGAAGTGGATAAAGAAGCGGGAGGATGATCACTACTGGTGGTGCAACAGGCCTACCAAGCAATCACGGGAGCACCTGTTCAAAAACTGCTCACGGTGGAGAAGCTAGCAGAAAGCCTTGTAGGCTAAGGTTGGGAAGGAGACAAAAAGAAGGAAAAAGAGGTGGTCGATAGCGGAGTTGTTCGCCGATGAGCGGTGCAGCGAGGTAATCCTAGAGCTTCTAGGAACTACGGATGTGGGGAGGATATGCGGTGATACTTCAACTTCGTGAGCATCACTTTATTGACTTCGCAGTCCCCACGCACGTGGAACCTGGCGAATACCTCCGCTTACGTGAAGGGCGTGAGTGATAAACTATGCGCCTGGCAGTGCCGCACTACATGTACCCGGGCGAATGCCGGTATGTCTGCATACACTCGCCTCCACCACAACCAGGGTATTGAAAACCGAGGTCGTGGTGGAAGGATGCATTTTTTATATACGTCCATTGATCATAGGTGAATTCCAGGTCCAGGTCCAGTGTGTGCCGCATTTGTTGGTCCGTGCCGGGACCGCGGGTACGTGATCCCGTCTTTTGCTCTTCTGTGCGGCCTGCATTACGTCTGCACTCCCTCCCCACACAGCGCCCAGTCGAGGTGTCGTCCAGTTGGTGTCGTCCAGTTGGTGTCGTCGAGTTGGTTTTGTCCAGTTGATGTCGTCCAGTTGGTCCCCAGGTTCCCACAAATCAGCCCACGTTGTCACAGTCAAGGTATTGAGAACCAGGATGTGACGTATAGACGATTTTTGATGTACTTTCTTTCTGATCGGCGCCGGTAGTGTCGTGTCCTGGTGATGGTGGTGATGGTGGTGATGGTGATGGTGGTGGTGGTAGCGGTGATCGCGGTGGTGGTGGTGGTATTAGTGAGGAAGAAGAAGAAGAAAGGGAAAGAAGGAAGGGAAGTAGAATGTGTGGGGAAGAAGAAGCAGCCCTAGGGCTAGTTGTCCTTCGAAGGGGTCGAGTGATACCGTCACTAGCTAGCAGAACGACCCTTCAAAACGCGAGACACGTATCGAGCGACACCATGTGGCAACGAGTCGGGGCAGATAGCACCCACTCTGTATACTCGGATATCGCGCCGTGGCTCAAGAAACTGGCGGTACTGGGACTGGGACTTACCAGTTCTGTCGCTTGCGGTTGTGATTCTTGTCGGCTCAGGTCGGCGCTGATTCCTGACATCCAGCAGTAACTTTGCGTTGATCGGTGATTCGAAGGGACCACTCGAATCGCGCCAGCTGCCGGCAAGCACCTTGCCGAGGCGCAGTCTTCGATCAATCGAAGAAGTCCACGGCAGGTCGGTATCGGCTGTGCTTCGATCCTGGCATCAACACAAAGTCAACTTTGTGCTTTGTGTTCTCGGCGTCGTGTCGATAGGATATGATAGGATATGATAGGATGGAATGGAATGGCGGAACACCTCGACGTCGCATAGGTAATCACTCGGAAGACATGAATTGCTCGGATGTGTAGGGGGGTTCATTTGGGTTTACTGCCGCGGAAATATTATGTCCCGCATAGAGATCCAAGACCATAGGGGGGTTGATCTCACTCGCACAGTTGCGGGAAGATTGGTGAGAGTGGATTGTAGAAGCATGTTTGCCCTGGTGCTGGAGTACTCGGAATAATAGATTTCAGACCAAAGTTCTGTACTATAGAGACCCCTTAGACCTGTAGACACCGAGGTCCGAGGGATAAGATCGAGTCGTGCGCCGTGAAGCATTGGGGAACCTCCAGTGTTCACCGTGCGAGGTCAAGACGATAGCCCATGTATGCATCAATGCCTATATTCTTAAGGAATCACAAAGCACCGATATCTCATCCTTCCGACCAACAATCGATTGGTGTACATAGAAACTCCCCACCCCACCTCTACTCAGCACTGAGCAGTATCCCGTCGTCTGTCGTCTGTGGTACTACATCGGTACATAAGCGGCACTGCTTCTCGGCGACGAGATCAATAGAGAAACCTGGAATAGTTTTTTTTCCTGCGAAAGCGCAGTGAGTACGCAATCAGTGCCAATATTACGGAAAAAACACAGTGCGGTGCCGCAGTGCACGAGTGCGTAGTGATGAGCGCGACCGTCCACCACCCACCTAGGTACTCTACCGCTCACCGCGACCCGGTATGCCGGTATCCCGGTGTACTAGTAGTTAGTGCCCAGCGTACGCGGCCGACCCACCGCGGTTCCTTCGTTCGAAGCGGAAGTCCGTGCGCAATTTCAGTCACGGGCTTTCTTCCATCGGATCCGAGAAGGAACGCCAGGCTAGTTCAACGGCGGCCCGGTATCCGCACTGCATCTAGACCAAGCCAACAGAGCCCCACCGGCCTCACCGGCCTCACCGAGCCCCACTGAGCCCCACTGAGCCCCACCGTTTTTTGTCGTCGTCGTAGTCGTCGCCGTCCGGGTGCCGGCGGCAAGGCGTCGATGCGCGCTCACGGGACTTTGCCGTTCCATCGAGGGCTCTGGTGGCCTGGGAACTTCCGCGTGACTTCTACGTGGCTCTTCCGGGAGACGGGACACGGCAGGATCGGCAGGCTCAGCTCGGACATTTCGGATATTTCGAGTTCCCTGACTCGCTGACTCCCTGACTTCCTGAGCCGCTACCGAAATATAGATCCCGACTACGGCGGGGGCAGGGAAAATCCGTAGACAACCCAGCTGATCCTCTTACCAGTGAAAGTGATCCCGACATGGAATCTCCGATCGTTAGATACCTACCTGGTATATCCGTAGGCATATAGGAGGAGATCTAAGATCCCGTCGCGCCCGGCAGCCGGGAAAACACTCTACTCTAGGTAAATAGATGGCGGTCGGGATTCGGAAATATCCCAGCGCCCATAGTTAATTATCGACAACCGATAACTACTATCTACTCTACTACATCGATAGAGTGCCTACTCCATCTCTAGATAGGAAATCCGGGAATTCTTGCCTGTCATCGCTAGACTCTCTTACATTACTGTAATCATATAAGCAGGTACTGCATCTTCTCATTCCTCGAGTGACCGAGTCTTTGCCGCTACATACGGTGTCAACTCAACAACTCGACGACCTTGAGCTTCCTATGTATTGTACTACATATGTAGAATCAATATGTAAAAGCCAAGAACGTGAAAACGCGCACACAGGCCAGACTAACGATGCCGTACATAGCCCACTACGGAACGTAAAATAGCGCGCGGCCTACCCGTGAGGGATTCGGGAAGTAGTGCCGATCGGCAAGCTCCGGCCTTAGTTAACGCTTGATTCTTGAGACTTGAGGCTTGAGGGAAATCTGAGGGAAATCTTTCAGGCTTCCAGCAGCAGGGGTGGGTTTCAGGTGCAAGTGCATATGTAGAGTAGATATGCAGAGTAGTTCTCGAAGCATCGTTTTTCTTCCTCTTTCGGTTCTGAAGCTTTCTATGTACTCGTATGCATCTACCTATGTAGAGTACGTACTCTATGCAACATGCGCACTTGCGGAGTGGAATCGTGGCCTGTACTCTAATAGATGCCAAGAAGCTTTTTTCTTTTTGTCTTTTCTGTGCACTATTGATTAGAGCACTCGCGAGTCGTAAGCAGCCAATTTACCTACTCTAGAGTGCCTACTCTGGGCTCAGGATTCTGCCCAGACGATGGGTGCTCGGGATTTTCCGTCCTTCGTGCTTCACGCCTCGCTTACGTCCGTCCCCTCGGATCCTGCTGTGCTTGCAAGTTGCGGAATGGCACGCACAGCAGTGCAGTGCGCTCGTACTCTACCTACCGTAGTAAAAGTGCACCGCCAGTGAACATGTGCAGTGAACATGTGCAATGAACATGTGCAATGAACATGTGCAGTGTGGAGATGTATATATGATAAATACACCATCTGCCCCTCTACCTCTGTACGATATATAGTATCTATACATGACGACTTTGCTTCGCCCGAGAATGGTACCAATCAGCGACCTGACATGCGGAGAACAGCGGGGAACACAACACGGTCCAGTCTTCCGAGTGTCCCGGTTTGATCGTCTGCAGTGTGCCTGTGCCTGTGCTGTGCCTGTGCCAACTGCAGCTTTCCGCAAACACGGTCACCGACACGGTCACCAACACGGACACCAACACTGACAATCACAACACGAGCTCGACACAAGAAGACATAGGATATGAGTAGAGTAAGAGTATGGTTGAATGTCAAGAAATGTCCCATTTTATGTAACCTTATGTATGTTCGGCGCCTTCCCTTCCCCGCAGGAATCCCCACTCCCCAAGCCCCAATACCGAATCCCAAATCCCCAAGCCAGTCCAGTCTATGTACAACACCGTCTCCGATAAATAATCTTGCCTCTCGACCGTAGCCCTCCACGGGAGAACAAAAGACAAAGGAGCGTAAATAAAGATCCCAAAAACAAAAGACAACAAATCAGACCCCCAAAAACACCATCCTCCCGTTTGTAGATACCAGTATGCCTCCAGATAACAACCTAGCTGTTATACGCCCGACCGAGGGTGGACAACTGTCCGCCCTGTATCATCATTCCCTCAAATACGCCGAAGTACGCATACCTCTCGAGCCAATCCTGCTGATCCATCCATACGGAGACCTCGCGGAAGAACTTCGCCTGGTCCTCCTGCGACGCGCCCCACATGCCAAACTCCGTGAGCCAGATGGGCTTTCCGGCGATCGCGTACGCCTCGCGCATGTGCTTCTTGAAGTACTCAACGCCCCCCGTTGGGTCGTACCAGTGGATCGGCACGAAGTCGATCTTGCACGCTCCGTTGCATTCCGCGAGGAACTGCTTCAGCCAGTCCAGTCCTTGGTTAGGGCTGCCGCTGTTGGAGACTGCCGGCGCCCCCAAAGAGGCGGACCCGGCGTGAGGATTCATGTGCGTGATGTATGCCTTTGCGGCCGCCGAGGGGCTCATGTTCGCCTGCGAGGGGAGGTCGGGCTCGTTGAAGCTGCGGAGATGTTAGCATGTTGATTCGGGGGATGGAGGTGTGGGTGGGGACATACGCGAGCAGGTGCTTGGCCCCCTTGGCCAGAGCGGCCTTCACGTTCCTGGGCCAGTCGGCGAACGTCTTCTCACCCCAGAGCATGGGGACGTATTCGAACTTGCCGACGGTGGAGGCGGCGCCGGCCGCCCAGTCGTAGCCCCAGGTGATCTCGCCGCTCGAGAACTGGCTGCACAGGCTGGCATCGTTGTAGCCGAGACCACGTTTGCCGGTGGCACGGGGGACGATGGTCGACGGGATTGCGGCGGAGTCTAGGGATCAGGTCAGTCGATTGGTCCGAGACGGAGGAGCAAGAGATGGGTGCTTACTGGCAACCGTGGCAAGCACGAAGAGCGAGGTGATGGCCTGGATGGGAGAAATCATCTTGTATGAGTTGAGAGTGTGGGGAAGTGAGGTGAGGTGATGTGATGGCCGGTTTGGATGTGAAGACAAAGTGAGTCGAGAGAGAGCGAGAGAGGTAGTAGTAGGAGGAGGTTATATTCTGCGCGCTGCGCTGAAGAGACCGTGATGCTGATGCTGAAGTAGGATCGAAATGGTCGTGGGACTGCAAGCAGTTAAAAAGAAAGAGAGTTGATGCTGCTGGAGCAACGAGTGAACGATGGAGGGCGAGGAAGGACTGTGGATGGTCGGAGACAAAGACAGTGAGCGACTGGCAGTGAGTGGATGAGAGGAATGCCAGGAGGAGCGCAGAGGGTTTTAAGTGGACGAGTTCGGCTACCACCCACGCACACGGGACTCTGGATTGACTCTCCTCTCTGCCTCTGTCTCTCTTTGTCTCTCTCGCCTGAGCTGACGGGCTGATGCTAAGCAGGGAGGGGGGGAGCCCTGGAAGTGCCAAGGCCCGAAGGGACGTCCACCCGAAGTCTATCTGGGAACTTGGGGCCAGATGGAAATCCCACTACTGCAGGTACGGAACAGGGGTTTTTTTTTCACGGCCCCTGTTCTGGTGGGGGATGTTTTCCACGAGTCCGAGCGCTAGAAGAACCGCAAAACTGCTCAGGCCAACAAGGTCTGCAGACGCAGCGGTGTCGAGGCGCTCGTCTAGGCAAGGAAATGAAGAAGAGTTGGGCGTCAAGGTAGAAAGAAGGTATGATATGTACGCACTATTGGGTGTATACACTGTAAACTCTAGATAGGTACCGGTATACTCAAGATGGGTGTTCTAGACAGAGTGTATATCCGACACGCGAGTGTGTGCCCGTGTGCCGGTACTGGATACATAGCAGATACGAAGATGCAGCCACGACGACGTGTCGTCCAGCGGCCAGGTAACCAGGTGCCTAGGTCGCTCGGGGCTGAGGGTTGCAGTGCGCGAGCATACCCAACCTGCTGGCCGAAGTTCGTTTGGCAGAACTCCGGATGTAGAGTTCGGTACGTGCTACACACGAGAGAATGCGGTCGCGCCCGTTGGCTGGTTGGCGGGCCTCGTACACACATAGGAAAGTCCCAGCCCAAACAGCACCGCACCGCACTGCAATGCACTCACAGTCCTTGTTTCCCCCATATTCTCGTAATAGAGATTGCTTTTCCCCCAGGTCAGCCCGCCGCCAGGCAGGCGAAACGACAGCGAGCATATGTATGAGGGCGCTCTCGTTACTCGTATCATACCTACATAAATGCCGTACATGCTTCTATGTACGTGCACCTACCTGGTGCCGTAAACAGCCTATCGAAGCGCACGCCTCAGAGCTGAGAGCACAGAGCATCCAGCCGGGAAAAACAAACCGCCCAGTCCAATCCATCTTCTACGCAAGGCGTGGACGGTATGTAGAAGAACTTTTCTGTCTATGCATGTACATAGAGTACCTTCATAGATACTTGGTAGGGTATGTACCAGTATGTACTCGGTACTCTAGACTTTGGACTCTGGAGTGCATGAAGAAAATTTCTATCCCTATATATCCCTATCCCTATCCCTTGCCTGGACCTGGCGCGTGCCATGCAATTTATTCTCAGCCTTAGCGAGAGCAGGCGGCCAGGCCCACCGCCTATGTAGTTATCTACAGGGTAACATGGGAACATGGTTGGCCCTGCTGTTCTCGATTGTTCTCTGAAGACGGGAAGAGCTGGGAACGGGAAGAGCCGCCTCGGCCTTGCTACTGGCCATTCTCCCCTGCCAGCTTTGAGAGAGAGAGCTCAGAGAACAGCAGTTTATGTCGCATACGGCCCTTTGCTACTGGCATACTACCTATGCCGGCAGCTTATGGAGACCACAACCCCGACACGCACTCGACACAGCGAGGCGGATGTCTGAGACTCGAAGGCTGGACGGAGAGACGATATGTACCAGCACCTACGAGTGCTCGCCACCGATACTCCACCACAAAATGGCCAGCCGCTCATTCGTACGAGAAGTCGTGTCGCGGGTACGTACCATGTACCTGTTGTATTTACCTTCCTAGGTACTCGCACCACGGTCCTCCTCCCGCGGCGGTGTTGTCGGCTGCGGTCTCACGTCGTTGGGTGGCCTTGAACCGGGTTCGATACGATTCGATAGGTACCTGGTGCCCACCCAGGCGCAGGGCCGCGTATGTACCCACTCACCATCTCGCCTCCACTGCACCCCCCACCACCCTCCACCACCACAGCCTTCCGACGGCCAAGACACTGGACACTGGACAGGACAGGACTTGCGAATGGGAGCGGAAATGCTTATCGCCGTCCCCCGTGTGCCGTCCGCTTTCTGTCTGTGTCTGTCGCCGCATGCTCGATTCGTAATTCTGACCCATTCGGTCCTGCGTGTCAACCAATTGTTGGCCCCCTCGCCCCCGCCCTCGTCCTCGTTTCAGAGCTGGCCCCCATGCACAGGTTGTGTTCCTGAGTCGTGACAGTACTCGAGAATACTCTAGCTTGTCGCCCCCAGTTGAGGACGTATAGTGCGTCGCCACGTCTTATCCCACGCCCACCACATATCCATACATCCACCACCCATCCATCCACCTATCCACCCACCATCGATCCTTACTTCCATCCATCCATCATCAATCCATCTACTGCAGGAACTGCCGTTCTTCGCTCAGCTCATCGCTTCGTCCTGCAAGAGCCTACAGGAGCCTGCAGGAACAAAAGACACTCCGGCAAATTATCGTTCGTCGCCGCTGCCACCTTTGTCAGCTACCATACCAGCTACCATACCGACGCAACGACAGCCCGGCGAATTATCGTTCGTTGCCGCTGCGGCCTTTGTCAGCTGGATACCATACCGACGCAACGATGCTGCGGCGTGCTTACTGGACTTACTGGACCTACTGGACTTACATACTGGACTTATTGGAGCCCGCGCGACGACCGAGCGGGACGCTTGCAGAACAAGAACTGGCGCCGCACATTATGGCGATCGTGACAGTACAGTACATGAACTCGAGCCGAAAACAAACCACCATCCAACCTCGCCAGCGAAGACGAAAGAAGAAGCGTGGGGAAGACAAGAGCTGGCGATTCGTCCGCTGGAAGTTGGAAGTTGGAACCGCATAGGTAGCCTGTGGGTAGTCTGTGGGTAGGTACCCACATCACCAGACACCGAATGAATGCACTCAGCCGGTATCGACGCATCGACGCGGGTACATACACCTGCCCAGTGCCCGGTGCCCAGTCCCAGCTGCTCGCTATCTATCTATATATCCTCATCGTGCATGCGCGCCATACCAATGATACCATACAGATATCACCTGCGTGACTGCGTGACTGCGTCAGTCACGGTTCCGAACCACGGCGACGACTTTATATGTATACGGGCGGGGGACAGGAAGTGGAACTGGAACCTGCACGTATGTATGGAGGCTTTGCTTCTGCTGCAGACTGCAGTCCGTATAGGTCGGTGGGTATAAAGTACCGTACAGGTACCTCGTTCGAGTGCCAAGGCTGTCTTTCTTGTCTCTTGTCTCTTGTCATCCAGCGAGTCGACTGTAGTCTGTGCCGCCTCCTTCCCTCGTTCGTATCTATCGGTACAGTACAACGCACGCATCCTCGCATCCTCGCATCGTCACTGCCTATCGTATCGTGCTCCCCCAGCTGTACGGAGACGAGGATAGCTAACGATACCTACATAGCTAACTTTGGGCGATTGCATGCGATTGCTTGCGACTCCCAGTCTCCCAGAATACAGATACCTATGTCTTGGCATTTCCTCTCCACCGCCCCTTCGTTCGACGTTCTCTTGTCTCGGCGACCGGTCTCAGTCTCGGTCTCTTGGCGTGGAAAACAACGCACAGGTAGAGTACTAGTACATGATGACATGTATACCGGTAGTAGAGACCACTCGAGCGACTTTTTCCTTCTTCTTGGGCTGGGTGAATCCAGCTGAGAGGGAGAGAGAGAGAAAGCAGAGGTCCCTCGATTGGAGGACTACAGTCGAGCCGAGTGAGAGTACCTACGATATTTTCCTTCGAATCCCGACCCCATGCGCCAATGCTCTACATACTCTATCATCCATATCGGCGGGGACTCTGGGATTCTGGGAATTCATTTGTCACACGGAGATTACCGCCCAACCCCAGCATCGGATCAACAGATCAATCATCCCGGTGGTCGCGAATTACTTCCCCACGTTAGATAGGTAGATTAACCACGAAGATCATCATATGTATCTACTAGATGACTTCATTAGTGTTGGGATAGGCTGAAGACAGGGGTTCAGCCTCGCTGTGCGACCCTCATACATTTCTTATTTTTCTTCAAACCAGCGATTCAATCACCACCACAACCACTGTTCAAGACGTTCTCTTTCCCTCGAGCATATTTTGACATTGTTGTCATGATAGTTGTGGTGGTTGGGACCGTTGGGTGATGAGAGAGAGACCCTCTCACTATCATCAGCCTCATCTTGCAGCGCCAAGATTCAGCCTATCCCAATACTAATGAAGTCATCTAGTACCGTATTATCTCAGATAACTGACCTATCGCACAAAGTCATTAGCGCTGTTACACATGGGCTTGGAGCGTTTCGCATGTGGTTAGCGCTGGATTGGAGGCCTTGGAGCTTAGTCAATATCAGTTACTAGCGCAGAATTCCCGTGACCGTCTACACTGCTATGTAGAGTACATACCGCCCGTCGCCCTCCCGCCGGTCGCGCCCGCCAGTCGTGAACACGGGTGGGGGGGCGACGACTGGGGGGCGACTAGCGGGGGCAATGGGCGGGGCACGACGATTGGGACGCGACTGGCGGGGGGGCCATGGGTGGGCGCGACGGGCGGGGGGGCGACGGGCGACGGGCGGTATGTACTCTACATAGCAGTGTAGACGGTCACGGGAATTCTGCGCTAGTAGCTGATATTGAGTAAGCTCCAAGGCCTCCAAGCCAGCGCTAACCACATGCGAAGCGCTCCAATGACTTTGTGCGACAGGTCAGTTATCTGAGATAATACGGTACTATATCCGATACATGCATGTTACCTTGCTCTAGATAAACATCTCGGTGGTCGCGAATTACTTTACCACGTTGGATTAGATAAGTACATAGCTTCGAAAATAAAATGATACCTGTGATGATCTATCCTTATCGCCAAAATAGTGAACAGTGAAGACAACCCGGTCTGTCGACGTCGGGGGCAGGCGTGTAACTATGGCGTCACGAAAGTGCAAATCCCAATTACCCATATGTGCACATATAACTAGCCCCGGCGTGTTCCGCTCGTTTCGTTTCGCGGTTTCTTTGCTGTGATCACCGCCACGGGTTAACTACGGCGGAGTCTTTGCATATGAGGGGGGGGCGGTCAT